TACCAAACTGTATAAACTATAAACTGTATGTATTTATTAATTACAATACTGTATTGCACAGTACAATGTAAAGTAAAAGAACAAGGTAAATTCTTAGCCTACCTATATGAACTGCAATTTAATAGAAAGTTTATTCAGTAAACAATCCTATCTGCATCACACAAGGCGGGAGATGCGTACATCCCGGCAGCATCCCAACGTACAGTATCGTACCTCGGACGCTACTGCGTTTGCCTGCCGCGCCAAATTTCAAATATTTTACAATTTTGTCATATCGCTATCGCCATCGTAAGATTGAAATATCGTAAAGTCGGACCATCGTAACTCGGAGACTATCTGTACAGTTAAGTTAGAAATGAAGCCCTACTTCTACAAAAAATTCATGTCTCTAAGGAGCTTCTTTACAAAGGTATCTTAAGTTAGGCTTAATATGGTAGAATTGACGCCCGTAGGTTCCCAAGTCCTCTGCAAGTCACAATAACATTTGAGTTTATTCTCATCTAGATGATGATGATGATGTTTGTGTTGATGTAGGTGATGCGAGTTCATGAAGTTGACAATCGTATTGATTATTCGTGTTCATTTTTTTGGGGGGGTTAGATCACGTTATAAAGTGTCACAATCTGACCCCAAAGAAATCAGATACCAATCATAATATTAGTCGTGAAAAGCCTACTTGTTGCATAGTTATTGCTAATTACAGTAAAACCTCATTATTTGATCATTCGTAATTGGGGACAATTCGGCATGGCTGCGCTTTCGGCATATATTTAATGTATATTAGTAATTCGCCATGAGCAGAATTGCCGTACCGAATGATCCAATTTCGGCAAACACGTGGAGCGATGCCGCACCCCACTACCAGAACAACGACTCAGTATAGTGGCGGTGCACGTGGTGAGCGCGAGTGCAGACCTGTTGCTTTCGACTTTTCCTTGCTTGTGCACTCTGTGCAAGCCACAACCCTCGTCGTCTACACCTACATCAAGAAGTAATAGAAAGGGACTGAAGTATAAATCGCTTAGTCTGCGAGATAAATCCAAAGAATTGGATAGACTTGATGTAGGCGTGTCAATATGTATGGTGTGTGAAGAATTTCGAGAACAAATTTAGATTATTTTTAATTGGGGCAGGAGGCACGGTTGAGTACCATTGTACAGAATATTGGATAATTCGTCAAGGCCAGAGCCCCATGTGTCGAATTAACAAGAGTTTACTGTATTTTCATTTTGATTGTTAACAGTTGTTTTTCATGATGTGCACGATACATTTCATATATATTAGTTAACCATAATGTAATGGTCGATTACTCTAAAACCTTGCCTATCGCGGGGGTTATGTTCGTGAAAATAGCAACAATCAGCAGTTTCACACTCCGAAACTACAAAGGCATACAGGGAAAATAGGGTTTGCTTCGGGGTTTTGTAATACAACAACCCCTGCCATTAGCTTTATATTACCCTACATTAGCCCAACATGAAATGAGCAGTATATTTTGTTCAATATCGGATCTTATATGGTATTAAAAGTGGTGGTTGCAAGCCATGGAGTCAACATTGCGGGGGACCAAATCTTCCAGGGGTCTGGGGGACCCCCCCAGAAAAAAAAATCTAAATTTGAAAACAAATTTCCTGCCCAAAATATAAAAAAAATTCACTAACACATGGGATGTACTTTATATTTTTTACAATAATGTCTAATAGTATATTGTATTACATTGCTCTGTTTTTTTTCTGTTTTACCTTTTCTTGTTTCATTGTATGTATAGTGCTGAACTTTACGCGGACAACTTATTATTTTTCCGTCGTCACTTTATTTGACCAAACTCACCTCTTTCTCTCAGTCTCTCTCCCCAGACTCTCCTCTCTGCTTCGCCCGTCTCGCTCTCCCTCGGCTTCGCCGTCTCACTCCAACTGTCTCTCGCCTCCATCTCACTCCAACTGTCTCTCTCTCGCTTCCGTCTCACTCCAACTGTCCCTCTGTCTTCTCTGCTCCGTCTCACTCAAGCTGTCGCTTTCTCTCAGATTTCCGTCTCACTCGACTGTCTCTTCGTTCCCGTTCCATGTAGCCTATACTTCATGGTCTCTTATTCTTGATGCCTCACCACTACCCTATTCTACCTCTATTCTTATCGTCTCTACTGCTACCCTAACTTCTTCTTCTGCTCCATGCTACCCTTATTCTATCTTATCATATCTTCTTCTCTGCCTCCGACCGTCTCCGTCCAGCTCCCCGCACCACTCCCCGTTCTCACTTCTCAGTCGCTTCCCGTATTTATCCCAAGTCCTCTATTACTTTCCAATTCTAATTACCAGCCACCCCACCATGCCCCGCGCCCGCGGCCCCCGACCGCCACCTGCTCCCATTCCCAGACTTCCTGACAACAACAACAACAACCGGCCAATCACTGCCCTGCATCCCATAATTACCTAACGAGCCGTCTCTGCCCGGCAGTTGTCCCCCAGCAACACCTGTTTGTCCTGATACGACCCCACTGTTCACAATCCACACGTGTTTACAATTTCCCCCCTTGGCGTGCGTTAAACCACTACATACATATATAATGGCAGAGATTAGGAATTAATAAAGTACAACCATAACCACAATCATATAAACAGAAATCTATTTTATAGCAATATATTGGGGGGGGACATTTTGAGCATATTTGAATATTGGAGGCAAGAGAACATGGGGGAGAGGTTAAAAAGGGGTTTGTGAAGGCCTGGTTATAGCTGGGGGCTGGAAGCATTCAATAGTAGTAAGGGTAGTGTTAGGGGTAGGTGTAGTGATAGGGGTAATGCTATGGGTTTGGGTAAGTTTGGTCATAGCTAAAACTATTTAATCTTGATTTGAAGCTTTCGTGACTGCAGGAATCCATACTCTTTGGTTCTTGAGGTAAAGTCACGTAGGTAGAAAAATAAAAGATCACGACGTTTCGATAGCAACACAAGCCATCGTCCTCAGGTGAAACAATACAGCAGGCTGACTGCTGAGGCAAGACGAAATGCAGCGAGAGAGCTACTGCCACCAGGGGAGATATACGTGCGTGGTGGGTACACCCAAGGGTAAGTGGGCGGGGCCAGGGATGGAATTTTCAGTAAGGGGCCGTCCATAAATGACGTCACGCACCTAGGGGGGGGGTCAGACATTTGTGACAATGTGTGACGAGGGGGTAGGGGGGGTTTGAGAAATGTGACATCACATCAAAATGAGCAACTTTAAATAAATATAGAATTGTTATAACAATACTAATTGTTATAACAACACTCCTACAACATCAGAGTGCAGCACCACATTAAATACGCACTACAATGACAATAGTTTAAAGCGATTTGAAGCATGTTTAATTTCAAAATGGAAATATGGTTTTGGGGGGGCGGGGGTGGGCAGAGCTTTGCGACGTCATATTTGAGGGGGGGTCTGACTTTTTGTGACGCCGTGTGACGAGGGGGGGGGGCGGCAAAAATCGTCCAAAATCGTGTGACGTCATTTATGGACGGCCCCTAAATGGCCAAATCCGCGATGTGAAACCCCGCGATGTGCAAGGTTTTGTTGTACATTACAAATGACGATGTTCGTGATTTAAGTGTTGAATTTGACGATGGTTATCGAGTTAGTAACGATGTAAGTGTTGATATTGATGACGATGCTAATGATGTATATGTTGGTTTTGACGATGATGATCATGATGGTGATGAAGTGATGATATTAATTTTGCTGCTGTAATTAGCTACTGCATGGGGACACACGAACATACGCAAAGGACATGGGGAGACATTGGGACACATTGCTGCTGTAATGTTGCTACTGCATGGGAGACTATTGCACAGCCTACACATCGGGCAGCAACGCCATGAACAAGGGAAGCCCAAAAGTCTATCGGTGTGTAAACAAGGAATCACTGTCGGTTTTGTATGCAACAGCCTATCACACAGTAGGTACACGTGTCGTGACTAACGCGGAGACAGGTAGACTTGGAGACCACTTCTTTATTTAACAAGCACCATCGGGATAAAACACTGGGCTATGCCCATCCCCAAACCCTTATCAACAGTTTGCCTTTGACGACCGCTTGTGTTGCGATCGAAACGTCGTTATTTATTTCATTTTATTTTCTACCCACGCGACTTTACCGAAAGAACCAAATAGTATGGATTACTGCAGTCACGAAAGCTTCAAATCGAGATTAGTTAGAACAGTTGGTAGGCCGTCTGACTAGCGGCGCCCCGGGATGGTGAAGACGAAGACGACGACGAGAAGAACGGTGGCGATGGACTTCAGCGGCACGGCAGGAGATCACCCCACTTCCAGCGACAGCCACGAGGTTCCCCACAGGGACCCCTCTTATACGGCCAGCGTGGCCACGCCCCCTTTCTGGAACCTACCAGCGGGTTCCTGATGGACCCCTTCTGTGAACTTCCCCCTCGATCCCCCTATCGTGTATATCACGGCCTGCCGACGTCAGAACTGCCGTACGCCGCAGATCCCCTTTTTCGCCAGCAGCCAGCGCTATGCCACTACGCATGCATGGCAGGCTGTATGCAATTTGCTGTTTTTCTTGGTTCTTTCGGTACAGTCACGTAGAAGGGAAATAATAAAATAATACACATTAAACATAATAAAATAATTATCTGAATGACGCTGTCTTTCCGACAGACCTGTTCTTCACCTGAGGACGGCTGCTTGCGTTGTGACCCGAAGCGTCGCGAGAATTATTTTATTGTTTTATTATTATTATTTTATTATTTCCCTTCTACGTGACTTTACCGAAAGAACCAAGAAAATGAATCCCTGCAGTCACGAAAGCTTTAAATCGCAATTTGCTGTTCTTCGCTGTGTTATATGTCTGTGGATCTGTATGTAAGGCTTAGGGCTCTATGCGAGTCTTTGGGCAATTTTGAGTCGAGTGTTTTTTGTCAAATTTCCTGCCTCCTTATTGGTCATCCAGAAATCTCCACCCCCTGCCCCCCCCACCACAAAAAACAATCCACATTGTAGAAGAGGAAAATTTGGGATTTATTGTTTTTATTTGCATAGGACATTTGCAGTGCAGAAGTTGTACAGAACCCCAATCGTCCCCCCATCGTTGCTTAACACTATGCCCGGAGAATGGATACAGCAGATTCATATTGACGATTAAGCAGACATTGTGATGATCTGGGCTTAGGCAGGACATAACAGTTCATTTAAGGAAGAACACGGCACATTGGAGACTATAGCAGTACATTGTAGAGAGCAGGAGAGATGCGGCGAAGTGACCGCTTGGTTGAAAAACAAAAGCCTACACAGCTGAGCCAACAGTTGGGCTTACTGGCTTCACAATTCTTTGGCGACAGCGGATGAACATCATGAACGGCATGAGACCATCACATGAATGTGTGGATACTTTATGCATGAATGGAGCATCAAAGACACTTCACCGTGTGGGTGTGTGATGAACAACTTTAAAGTGATGGGACATCCAGTGGACCATTCGCTGTTACTATTCTATGAAAAGTTTCTGAAATTTCTGAAAGCTCTTGACTGGCTTACACAACTTAATACCGAACTGTTATATGTTGCTATTCCTGCTTGCGACATGCCCATTGTAGAGCCACTAGTACCCGTTGTGTTAACAGAACAAAACCGACTATTAACTCGCAATCGCTGTCCCTGAATTGGGAAACGTGGAATATCGAGGGGGTATGGAATCTGTACAAGTCTTGCAAGTGTAGATGTATGTGTTTGCTTCTATATGCTAATGTGCAAATATGTGCTAATGGATTATAATGTCCACATCTGATCCACAATGGAGAGATAAATTGTATGTATTATATTTGTATTGAACATATGTATCGTGGTGGCAGAGCAGTGGTGCAGTTGTCCGGATTGACAAACGGACTGTAATATATAACAATTATCACTTCATCCGGTCAACGGTGGTGAATCTTTGCTGATTTTATCTGTGCTACATATCGAGTAGTAGAATAGATTAATGAAGTCTAGAGTTTTCCTTGCTGCGGCCTTGCTCAAAGATAGAGGTGTGGTGTCTGTTATGAACCTATAAAGAGAACCAGTAATCTGCTGTAAGAAGAAATAACCCTGAATATGCCCAGTCTTGTCACATCTCTGAAGCTAAGTGGAGTCGGGCCCGGTTAGTGGCTTGATTGGTCCAGTGCCAGGTTCTGGATAAATAATTGGCATTTTTTGTATTATTATGTAAGTGCTGAGTGTAGTCCCTTCGGATGTATGTGTGGTTTGTTTTCTTTCGGATTTTCCAATTTCCTCCCACATTAAGTGCAATTCTCACGAATGGAATCTTCATCGAAGCGAACCCGAGGCGGGTGCAGTTGTCGCCATGAACTGTAGCAATATCTGAGTGATGGATGGTGGGGTTATGCTTAATAGTGCGGTGGTGCGGGGGAAGGGGAGTCACACTTTCAGCTCAGGTGACCAAAAGCCCCGTGCATCGATGGGCTGAGATGTGTTTTTAGTTGTGCAATGTATTTAAGTCGTTATCACTCCTATGTAAGTGCCATGCATATTTCTATGTCTCTAGCAGCAAATATTTATTATCACTATGTTACATTACATGTTCTACTGCAGGACGATCCATTTATAGTTAACCCACTAAAATAATATGGAGAAATCATACATAAAACAACATTTTTTCAAAGCCTCTACATATCTCCCACCAATCTCAATACAATGATGACATTTTAACAATATCCTCTGCCGGATATGGAGCCATCGCTTTCACAATATTCGGTCACTTTTGAGAAGTGATCGAATATTGGAGTATCTATAAATGGACCACCCTGTATATTATAAGTGCAGATGCTTTTGCTGTTGGTGGAGGACGTGATTGTGGTTAATGTTGCCAGTCGTAATGCGTCATCAATGTGTTTTGTGGTGGTGATGGTCGCTGTTGTGGTTGTATCGTTTGTTCCGGTTGCATCGATTTGCGATGACGGATATCTTGACAGGATTGTTGATAATGGTAGTTGCTGTTCTGGTGGTATCAGCGCCTCTTGGTTTTATCGACGATGAGAATCGTAGTGACGATGTTGCTGGTGAGAGGTATTATAGCTACCAAATTTCTGGTTGACCTTCCGGAACATGTAGGGAACTGGTGGCCCCTCCCTCAGTCAGCCACACCTCCTGCTGATAGGCCCCATCCACTCCTCTGCCAATTCCACCCATAACATGAGTTAAGCATAAGGCATGAAAATATAAAATATTGACAAGATCCCAATGTTCACAAATGCGCTTCAGCACACCGGGACAGCCTTTCTGAAACCATCCCTGCCAAACCAGGACGTTTGGTTGCTTTAGGTGATACTGGTGGTGATGGCAAATCTGTCCAGAGAAGATTGTGCGGTCTGATGACGTTTACAAAGATGACGATGAGGATGGTGTATTGTGACAGGCATTACTCTCGTGGCTACAGTAGCAGCGGCTCTGGTTATTTGAGTAATTTGCTGGTGACAGGTGCGATGCGAGTTTTGCCAAATGTGTTTGTCATTGCCGATGTGGGCTGACATTTCTGCAGCTGCTGCTGCTGCTGCTGTTTCCATTGCTGTGTGAGTTGCTTCACCACGGAGATGTTCAGAAAGACTTGCGGAGGTCCAAGTGCGGGTAGTACATTCCCCATGGGATCTTCAGCACTTTGTAGGCGTCGCCTCTGTTCTTGAAGTATCTCACGAGAGCCTGTGATTGTTGGCCAAAAGTGTGTGTGAGGTTGGGAGGTGGGGTAACAAAGATGGAAACAATCAGCCATATTTAGATTTATCCACAAGTATGCACGCCAGTGGCAGCTCCTGCAAAATCTCTCAGGGGGGGCAAATGTTTGGATGATTGATAAGGATAAGGTCCACCCTATGCAATGGATAAATTAACAGCTTAAGCATGTAAAGGCAACTTCACTTCTTTAATATTAATGAAAAATAAAGTGACTCTTACAACACATCTTGTTTGTTTCTATACTCACTATTATTACAATCCACTCAGTTTCTTTTATTAAAGATTCCACTAGGTGGCGACAAATAATATTGTTGACTGAAACGTGCTTACGTATGATGACGTAAGCACGTTAGTGCGAGCCCTCCCGGAAGCCATAGAGAATGCATTGCAGCGCCCGCCGTTCAAAAAAAAACATCTTTGAATGTAAGTCTATGGGAACACTCTGGGCGATTCTCAGCCGGAGTGAAATCGCCCAAAAAGAGGCGGTACTCCACAGAACGTGACATGACGCTGATTGGACTATATCCAGAGGCACAGTGACGGCTAGCGTAACTCTGTGGTTGAGATTTGTGGTGCGTCGCCCAATCGCCCTAATGAAGAAACCGCCCCTGATGCACGCACATGTTTTTTGTGTTTAATTTCTTGCCCTTTCCCCATACCTCCGATTAGCACAGTTGGATACTTACGTAAAGGAGAAGTTCACACTGGAATTGCAATCCAAATTGGTACACCACAGTCAATCGATTGTTGGGTCACATATGGTAGATTTAAAAACGTTGTTCAGCGTGGAAAAATAGGCTAAAATGCTCCCCAGAGGTATAGTCTAGAGCTCCCCCTAATGGAGACTCTTCCATCAACAGTGGCTTGAACATACAGCTTTCGAAGCTGTGCAACGGTGTTTTTGTAAGACGTTAAATACTATACGGACGAAATAATGAACGGGCATGTTGCCATACCAGCACGATGTAGGCGATGATCAGGGCCAACAGAATGAGGCAGCAGAGGGCGATGATGAAGTAGACCCAGTATGGCAGGGATCTGTTCGGACTTGAACTTGTATTCGTATTCGTGTAGTACACCACCTCCTTGTCAACTGCACCGACACACACCGCAGACAATTTTAGCCACGGTTCATAATTCTCTTTCCGGTTTGAAGTCATTGTTTAAAAAAAAATCCTCGATTTCATCACGCTACTGGCATAAGGTCACGATTTCATCCTCACCACTTAATAGTTGTACCGCACCTCTCGTGCGGTAAATTTCGAGGTGCCCTGCGGCAGGAGACCCCCAGTATCGGCAGTTATTGTGTGGCACAAGGTGAAATGTGACATCGGCAACTAAGTGGGAATTATTGTTCCAATAGGGAGTGATATTGGTTACGTGATTTTTTTAAATCCAGTTTCAGTTCTATCAGTAATTGACCATGACGCTGATACACAATGGCCTCCTTTTTGAATAACGTCACGTGATCTTTAACGTCCACTGTGAAGCAGAATGCGCTTATTTGTGGTTAATTAACCCACAGCTTAACCAGCGTGGCCACTGGCCTTGAACCGAGAGTCGCTGCAACAAACGGAAAATGCACTACCGATTGGCCATATTACCAGCCATGTTGATGAATTATTACAAACCAGGGTCCACATTTAATTTAACGATCCTTTGAGTAATGTGTACCATCTCAGCTATTGTTGTCTCATGTTCAAATTTTGTTTCATTTGTTCCATTACCATGAAGTGAATGTATGTCATTTAAATACGATTTGCATAAAAGTACATAAATAGTCCTGTCCTCAAAATCAACCAGAATATGCCTGATCTTGCCGGATTTCAGAGGCCAAGCATGTTTGAGCCTGGATAGTGGTTAAATTGTCCATGCATTGTATAGGTGTGGGCTAATGCAGGTCTGTGTTGTCAACAGAGGGCCATGCTTGAAAAAAAATCACTGCGCAGTCATTTATGCTCTTACATATGTATCGCATGCCTTCACCAATAAACACCATGATGTGATGTGTTTTTTCATTTTAAAAAACACATTTAAACAATAAAATGAGCAATGACTATCAGGATAAATAAAACCTCGTTATTTCGGTATTTGATCATTCATAATTTGGGATAATACGGCACGGTTGCACTTCGGCATATATATAGTGTATATTAGTAATTCGCCATGAGCCAATTTGCCGTTCTGAATGGTCCAATTTCGGCGTACACGTGGAGCGATGCCTGCGCCCCACTACCAAAACAACGACTCAGTATAGTGGCGGTGCGCGTGGTGAGCGTGAGTGCAAGACCTGTTGCTTTGGACTTTACCTTGCTTGTGCACTCTGTGCAAGCCACAACCCTCTCAGAAATCTCGTCTACATCTACATCAAGAAGTAATAGAAAGGGACTGAAGTATAAATCGCTTAGTCTGCCAGACAAATCAAAAGTTTTGGATCGAATTCATGCAGGTGTGTCAATGTGTATGGTGTGTGAAGAGTTTAGAGAACAAATTTGGTGCAGGAAGAATTGTACATAATTCGGAATATTGGATAGTTTGGCAAGGCCAGAGACCCATATGTATCGAATTAAGAAGGGTTTACTATATAACGATATTTCGTAAAACAAACGATATGGTTATGCATCTTAAGGCGTACACATTTTTTTTTTATCATAGTTGTTGAGCACGTGCCCAAAACTCCAACAGGCCATCAATAATCAGCACTGTTAAAATTGTATTAGATAAGAGCTAGTACGTTTTTTTTGTAATTCAGCAAGATTAAAGAGACGACGGCGAATTCTAAATTTGAGAAGTGCGACGAAAGAAGCAGCAAGAACAGGTCCCTGCGGGATGGGCTGGTAGGAACGAACAAATGAATGGCTATAATAATATGAAATGGCAGGGGTACGATACGAAGGGAGAGTTTGAGGCCTAGTTCTAGGCTTTAGGCCTAGCTGTAGGCTTTAGGCCGCTGTGAGTTAATTTTTTATTTAAATGTTTTAATTAAAAACTATCTCAGGGAATTATAAGGGAATGTTACACTTGTTTAGCCAGGAAAGCCTCACTGAGTCTAAAGGTTTTTGTAGGGTCCTGCCAAGTGTTTGCAGTAGGGGGCGATGTTGCTACACCTAATGGGACATCGGACGGACGGACGGACGATATAATCTATTGTAGGCTGGTTCACTTCGTTCCTACCAGTATAACGGTTGTCACCTGGAGTATGGTGGATGAGAGTGATATGGAAGAGACAAAACAGCCATTCTGGTCGGAGTAGTAGTGATAGACGAGCGACAAGGAGGAAACTAACCGTCGGTGAGCAAGTGATCGGAGTCAATCGGCAATATATTATAGGACTGCCGTATCGCGCAAACCCTACCCAGGAATTGTAACGGTGTGGGTTGACGATGGGCTCCATGCCACTCCTCTGTACTCACCGTACACCTTGAGGCTGCCCGGCCGCAGCCGGTACGGTCCCAGGTAGGTCATGTTATTGGTTCCTTCGGTGAACTCTTTCATCAGCGTGGGCACGTTCTCACCACCGTTCTTTAGGAAAGAGCATTTGCCCTCCACAGTAATGGAGCCGATCCTGCAATGAGAGAAGCAAAGCTGCTTCTGTTAAGTCGATTAAAAACATGTACAGTCCACTGCTCGCAGAAAGGACCTCCACTATACCCCGCCACATGCATCCTGTGTTGTACCTATTTATACAGATGGGGGGGGGGGGGGGGGTGGAGTATTTAAACATTGGAAAATAATAAAATCTAACAACCTCCCCGCAACCCAAGAAAGGGTTTTGATAATCTGATCAATGATTGAATTAACAATCTCCAGGACATTAGTCACTTCTGTGGCTGAACTATTCGCTTTTATCGGTGGGTTTGTGGTTAGAGCTCCTTGGCTACCGTGGATGTATTTATGTACGTTGAACTTCTTTTGCACCATACATAGCCAACCGTGCTAATCGGAGGTGCGAGGAAAGGACAAAAAACTAAACACAAAGCCGTTCTCAAGAAATTCGTTTTCAATCTAGAGTATTTAAACGTGCGTAGCTCCTGGAGCTTCCTACTATCAGAACAAAGAGAGACACCCGCAGAAATGCACTCGAAAGGGTGCAATGCACCGACCGTCTTTGATGGATAGCCAAAATCCGCTACGAGGATGACCAGAATTGGCGTGATGGTGTATGTTCCTTGACGAGATCAGCAAGGATAATACTGCAGGTATATTAACCATACATGTTCACCAAATCCTTTACCGTAGACTTTAAGATCCCAGGACATAATCTGAGGAAAAGTATGACATGTGCGTTTGCATCACAGCCCAATTTGCCAAAGTTTTGAGATTACTCACAAATTACGAAATTAGAAATAAAAACGTAGTAACATTGCCCCTTACCGACAGCTTATACGCATTTGCAGGAAGACCCAAGTCGGCCGAAGACATCTAGGATCCTGGACCAAGCCCTCCAGCCCTTATCAGGACTAGGGCTCAGTGTCACCAGTGGTCGGGGAGAGAGCCCCTAGGTCCAGCCAGAGGACGCTGGGATAGCAGGGAGATTAGATAGCCTGCAAGGTCCGGAGGCTGTACCTCCTTAGAATAGGAGCTAAGCGTGAGCGTGGAGCTGTACAAGGTCCGGAGGCTGTACCTCCTCAGGGTAACGGGTGACGGGACCATATACCCCTTTGTGCGATAGGGACTGTGTATTAAGACAATAAACAGTGTGTGCCATAAAGAAGTTCAGAAGTCCGTCCTTTACAACACTACATATGCACCATGTGCTTCACAGGGACAGCTAGCCAATGGGTGGGTTCCTTGGTTAGACTTCCGGTGCATTGGAATAGTTGAGATGAAATAGTGATGTATGGGGTTTGAAATGATGAGGTATTTAAGCTCCGTTATACTTCTAAATGGTAAAATAACGCCATCTAAACAAAACTTCACACTCAGAGAGCAATAATGAACCAGTTTGGAAACAGATGAAATGTCTTCACTTGTGAGGCTTTCGTGACTGCAGGAATTCATCCTCTTTGGTTCTTTCGGTAAAGTCACGTAGATGGAAAATAGAAATAAATAAAATAATAGATCACGACGTTTCGATCGCAACAACAAGCGACTATCTTGTTGTTGCGATCGAAACGTCGTGATCTATTATTTTATTTTATTTATTTTTATTTTCCATCTACGTGACTTTACCGAAAGAACCAAAGAGTATGAGTAAGTTCTAGATTTGAAGCTTTCGTGACTGCAAGGATTCATATTCTAAGGTTTTCGGTAAAGTTACGTAGGTAAAACATTTTAATTAATAAAAGTAAAATAAAATAAAAATCACGACGTTTCGGAGGCAACACAAGCTTCCGTCTTCAGGTCGAACCGTCACAGCACGATAGCTGTATCAAATATCTTACTTGATACAGCAAGTATCTTACTTGATACAGCAATCGTGTTGTGACGGTTCCACCTGAAGAAGGAAACTTGTGTTGACTCCGAAACGTCGTGATTTTTAGTTTTATTTTACTTTAATTCATTTTAATTTAAAATGTTTACCTACGTGGCTTTACCGAACACCTTAGAATATAGTACTGAGTAAGATTAAATGTTGTTCGTACCAGAAGCTTGAGACATTGTATTCCCGGTATAAATATCTTGCCCGCTGTTCTTTCTGGAATAACTTGGTAATCTATGAGAGAACAAAGAGAAAAATATTAGCCTTTCCCGGACAAGAGACATGGCACATGTGGTGGTTGGTACAAGCAGTTATTGGTACATGTAATAGTGTCATACATAGTAATGCAATGCAATTACATCATGCATTTACAAATCATCTAAATGCTACTGCATCTGAATGTTGCCTGACCGGAAACAGTGGAATGTATATGTTATAGAGGGAAAGAGGCCGTCCAGTCATGGGCAGAGGAAAACATGGAAGGTCGGCAGCCGGGGGAGTCAAGAACATGGATAGGTAGGAGAAGGTAATTCCAGACTATGAAGAGTAACAGAGAGGAATAAGCAAAGATTGACTGCGGGCTTCTCCAAAAGCTTTGGATGCTGCAGCAGAGAGTGTTTGTCGGGGAGTAGAGTGAGGTGTGAGGTGAGTGATAAAGGAGCACGTGGAGAGAACTAAAGTGAGATGAGAGGGGAGAGAGATAGGAGGATTGTGTGACCCCCACTTAAACATGGTACAATTGTAATACGAGAGTTCACCGCAGAGGTCGCAACCGGGTACCCGATACCCGTACCCTACCCGATACCCGGCTACCCGTACCCAGCCGGGTACGGGTACGGGTACCCGTTTGCGACCCTGGTGCGGCCGGGTACTGGTAGGCCGTGAGTCACTGGTGAGTAACCGTTTGTCGCACATTTCCCAACGTCTTGTCTCTTCTCACAATTCAAGTTCCTAGAATCAACCCACCCACGCCTGCAACATGGCTTCATCCCAGAGGTCGCAATCAGGTACCCGATACCCGTACCCTACCCGTACCCGGCCGGCCGGGTACGGGTAGGGTACGGTTACGGCCGGGTACGGGTACCCGTTTGCGACCCTGGTGCGTACGGGTAAGGAATCAAAACCCGTTTGCGACCTCTGGGCGCGAGTAACCACCGAGCCGCGTGGAACGGAGTGCAGCCGTGTCAGAGAGAGAGCGAGAGAGCAGAGCTGTCTAGCTGTGGGAAAGAAGTAATAAAGACGAAGACACAAGCCCAGATCGTCGTCGCAGTGGCTTATTTGCGTGGTGGTGCGGGAAGCCGTTGAATCTTAATGGACTCCCCACTGTATTGTATAAAGGCGGTGAGTGGTATAATTCTAGATTTGAAGCTTTGGTGACTGCAAGGATTCATATTCTTAGGTTTTTTTGGTAAAGTCACGTAGGTAAAACATTAAAACATTAAAATTAATAAAAGTAAAATAACATAAAAAATCACGACGTTCCACCTGAAGATGGAAGCTTGTGTTGCCTCCGAAACGTCGTGATTTTTATTTTATTTTACTTTTATTAATTTTAATGTTTTAATGTTTCACCTACGTGACTTTCCCGAAAAAACTTAAGAATATGAGTGGTATAATGTGAGTCGATGAGTGGTGACTGTCATGTGAGCAGGACGTGTCTGATGAAATGTCAGAAGCGCGTCACTGGTCCAGGGGAGACAGTTAATTCAGATGCAGCAGTAGGGTTACGGCGGTATCATTTTTTTCTGATACGATAGAATATCAACTTTCACGATATAATGACCATCACCAAAACTTGTGATATGAATACAGCAGTTCCTTACCTCCGTGGTGATGTTTCTGGCATATTCAATGTAGAGTGGCTTTTCAGGGTTGTAGAGATCCTGATGAAATTCACGATTGATAATGGTGAACTGGACCTTGTATGATTCCAGTTCCTCTGGTTTCTTGGTGGTTGACACTGTGGTGGTGGTTGTCTTCGATTTGGTCGGTTTCACTGAAAATACACAGAGCTCAGATCACACTTGCGCTTATGTTCGAACATGTCTTCATCATCAGCAGCCATGGTCAATCCACTGCTGGATAAACGTATTCTCGAACCGCCATCATCTCTTGACGATCCTACGATGTAACGATCCACCCAGCATGTGCACTGATTGTATCGCTTCATCAACTCAGTGAATTCCCGCAGATGTCCCTGATTCCTTGGACCATCGGCCATCGTGCCCTCTAGCCATGACGTGTCCCGTCCCAAGCCCACTTAGATTGCTGAACAATTTGAGTTATTAACTTAACCTGCGTTTTCTCATCCACGTGTCACTCGTTTTGTCTCAAAGCAATTCTAAACATAGATTTTTCCATGCTTGTTTTCACGCTTAAGCTTCTATTCATGTTTCTGATCGATACCAGCGCTGATAATATGCAACGTAAAAAACTTTATTGTATAGGCACTTAGGAATGTTGCTTCAAATATTATATTTATGAACCTAAGATCATCACTCGCTCGTGTATTTAGAGAATTAATAAAGCACAGAGTGGGATGTGAAATGTCATGGTAGGAAATAATCTGTCATCCCCATGTAGATGGGTGCAGTCGGTTGCCACCTACTGGCAGACTAATGACCTCTTAAATACACCTTGTGCAGCACAGGGACATCTACCACGGGGGGGGGGGGGGGTGTCTGCTTGTCTAGACTGCAGATATAGATTTATTTATTTGTTATCCTGGTCAATATTCGAATATTCTAATGTTAAGAAAATGCAATGCCAAAATATGACTATGGAATAATTATCTTGTCTCTAATTATATGGTTGCAACAATTAAATAAAATTGTCTTATACCCCGATAATGATGCATTACACTTCTATTAGAGCTGTGTTTTGAAGGTGATAGGTCAATCTTACTGACTTGTTTTTTTTACACAACTGGAAAATTAACAATGTTCACGTCCCAATGTCGTGTAGTTACCTGCAGCTGCTGTTGATCGTTTCTTGGAGGCAACCGTGGTTGGTTTTTTAGCCTCAATTTGTTTGTGTGTTGCTGGAACAATCACTTCTGCACAAAATATATATGGATTAGGGTGTATATGTATATAATACAACACGAGACAACTTCATCACTGAATATGATATGTCCACAAAGGAGTTGTTGCCATGGCAGGTTTGGAGTCTTTATCTCTCTTCTAAAGTGACTACCGTCGTCACTGTTCCCATAAACTTCACTCGTTGATTCCTGCACCCATGTTGAAGACTCGGTCTACCAGACTTGACTGTTGCGTCTCATCCATACTGTGTTCAACCAACAAATAGCTATTTTTCGGGTCATTTGGTAAAGTCACGGAGATAGGTTCAAAGAAAATGACAAAAAACTAAAATATTATTTGGGTCTTTCAGTAAAGTCACGTAGATAGGTGATTTTTTGTTATTTTCTTTGAACCTATCTATGTGACATTACCGAAACACCCAAAGAACATGAATTCCTACAGTCACGAAAGCTCGCAACACAAGCGGTCGTCTTCTGGAAAGGGGGGGGGGGTTAGCTCCCAAAGACAAACTGTTTATAAGGGGTTTGAAATGGGCGTAGCCCAAATGTCAGCAGCCAATGGCAATGCAGGTGGTGGGCAGCCAAACCGACGTGGTTGGTTTTCCACCACCTGGCGGCCCTTTGATTGCTGGAAAACCAACCACCATCGGGTTGGCTGCCCACCACCTGCATTACCATTGGCTGCTGACATTTGGGTTACACCCATTTAAAACCCTTATAAACAGTTTGCCTTTGGAAGTTAACCCCCCTTTTCCTGAAAATGACTGCTTGAGTTGCGATCGAAATGTCGTAGTTTTTGTTATTTTATCTGAACCGATCTACCTGACTATTTACAAAAGACCCAAATAATATGAATTCCTGCAGTCACGAAAGCTTTAAGTCAAGATTCAACATATAGCTGGTGAAAACATTTATCTTTCAGCGTCTTCCCTGGCACTGCTTTACATTGGAATTCCATTCTACTGCCTCTCTTCCCTTGTTCAAGTCAATAAATACATTATCTCCGATTGCATTCATGTTTTCAAGATCAATGGTCAATCTTACTGACTTGTTTTCTTTACACAACTGAATACTGCATGATCGTGTCGTCCCAATGTCGTGTAGTTACCTTCAACTGCAGGGGTCTTTTTGGGTTTATTTTTCGTTGTTTCATGAGCAGCTGCTGTTGATCGTTTCTTGGGGGCCACCGTAGTTGGTTTTTTAGCCTCAATTTGTTTGTGTGTTTCTGGAACAATCACTTCTGCACAAAATATATATGGATTAGGGTGTATATGTATATAATACAACACGAGACAACTTCATCACCGCATATGATATGCCCACAGCGGAGTTGTTGCCATGGCAGGTTTGGAGTCTTTATCTCTCTTCTATAGTGACTACCGTCGTCACTGTTCCCATAAACTTCACTCGTTGATTCCTGCACCCATGTTGAAGACTCGGTCTACCAGACGTGGCTGTTGCGTCTCATCCATATTGTGTTCATCCAACAAATAGCTATTTTTCGGGTCATATGGTAAAGTCACGTAGATAGGTTCAAAGAAAATGACAAAAAACTCAAATATTATTTGGGTCTTTCAGTAAAGTCACGTAGATAGGTGATGTTTTGTTATTTTCTTTTAACCTATCTATGTGACATTACCGAAACACCCAAAGAATATGAATTCCTGCAGTCACGAAAGCTTTAAGTCAAGATTCAACATATAGCTGGTGAAAACATTTATCTTTCAGCGTCTTTCCTTGCACTGCATTACATTGGAATTCCATTCTACTGCCTCTCTTCCCTTGTTCAAGTCAATAAATACATTATCTCCGATTGCATTCATGTTTTCAAAATCAATGGTCAATCTTACTGACTTGTTTTCTTTACACAACTGAAGAGTGCATGATCGTGTCATCCCAATGTCGTGTAGTTACCTTCAACTGTAGTGGTCTTTTTGGGTATATGTTTAGTTGTTTCATGAGCAGCTGCTGTTGGTCGTTTCTCAGGGGCCCCTTTGGTTGGGGCCTGAGTAATGGGTGGTGCAGGGGGGCCACCTGCTCTGGAGCAGCAGAATCTGACCTTGTAGTTGTAACATGGCAGTCCTCCTTGATCCTCATTTACACATTTCAGTCCTTCATTCTTGTCACAAGTTATTGTCTGGCCCAATTCCTCCCATGGGGTATTAGGGAATCTCTCTGCTTTGCAGTCAATTTTTTCCACTGATGAGTCAGCCAGACAGACCACTTTCCCTGAGGCTGTGACCTTCTGGTAAGATTCCTCATCTCCGCCATTGTCTAGATCTGGATATTGCTCATCGTACCACTGAGACCAGCCTGTAGCACAGTCTTCTTCTGCAAAGATATCATCTTAATCAGTCTTCAAACGCAAACATATTGGGAGATGTTTAAGACATGTTTATGCATTAAAACAGGCCGAATGACAGTCACCGAACCCCATCCTTGTGTTTCAGTTGATTTTGTTGCCTCAATGTGTTGCTGTGTTGCTGGAACAATCACTTTGCACACAATATACATTAATTAAGGTGTATCTAATATTAAACAATACACATCTTCATCACTGAATAGGATACGTGCACAAAGGAGTTGTTGGCACGGCAGGTTTGTAGTCCTTATCACACTTCTATTGTGACTGCCATGGTCACTGTTCCCATAAACTTGACTCATTAATTTCTGCACCCATACCATTGGAGCCTCATTTGTCAGTAAAAAATATGATAATTGTTTTTTTTACCCTCCTATCTGGCAACAAAACTGACACCTTTTTTTACAAAGAGTCATGTTTGCATAGACCACAATACCTGCAGTCATAGTGGGCCTTTTGGCGTCATCTGGTCCAACACCATGTGAGACTGGGCTCTAAGGAAAGCTGTCTCGGGTGTGGACCAATCAACTTCAAGGACAGTGCATACATTATCAGAGTTGTGTTTTGTTTACATTCCGTCAATGCAAACATGACTCCTTGTAAAAAAGGTGTCGGTTTTGTTGCCAGATAAAAGGGTAAAAAACAATTATCATATTTTGCTACTGGCAAAGGAGGTTCCAATGGTGTAAATGCTTAACCCCGAGCTCTCATACTCTGATGGTGCATTGTCTTTGAGTTGTGCACCTTTTGGCGTCATCTGGTCCAACCCATGTGAGACTAGGCTCTAAGGAAAGCTGTCTCGGGTGTGGACCAATCAACTTCAAGGACAGTGCACATTATCAGAGTTATGTTCTTTTGTTTGTATTATGACTGCAGGTATTGTGGTCTATGCAAACATGACTCTTTGTAATAAAAAGTGTCAGTTTTGTTGCCAGATAGAAGGGTAAAAAAACCAATTATCCTGCACCCATGTTGAAGACTTTGTCTACCAGAGCTGACTGTTGCATCTCATCCATACTGTATTCAACCAACATTTAGCAGGTGATAAAATGTGTCCGTCTGCGTATTCCCTTGCACTGCTTTACTTTGAAATTCCCTTTTATTGCCTATTTTACTATGTGGCTACAACCTCGTTCAATGCAATGCGTACATTAACATATATCTATTATACCTTCAAAACTGTTTGTTAATAACCACTTGCCATTTTCGGCTGATGCTCAAGAATTGATGAATAAATAATGTCACGTGTCATAGAATTACCTTCAGCTGCGGTGGTCAGTCTTGGAGTTGTTGATTTCTCTGGATTCTTCAGAGTTGTCCAAGGACCGACTGTTTTGGGTGGATGTTTAGTTTCCTTCCTGGGTGGAGCATTAGTTGTGATCGGATGAGGACTTACCACCTCAGAGCAGCAGAACCTGACCATGTAGTTGAAGCATGTCAATATGCCCTGGTTCTCATTCGCACATCTCAAGCCGGTCTCCTTATCACAGGTGATCGTTTGCCATAGTTTTTTCCAATTCTTATGTGGGAACTTATCCGCTCTGCAGTCGATTTTTTCTACAAAGGTGTTATCCGGGCAGACCACTTTGCCCGACTCTATGACCATTTGGTAGGTTTCCACATCGCCTCCATTTGCCTCAGTTGGAGTGTGCTCGTCGAACCACTGGGACCAGCCCGTACTGCAATGCTCTTCTGCAAAAGCGGACATTTTCCAACAAGACATTTTCAGATATATTAAAACATTGACTTAAAGCTTTCGTGACTGCAGGAATTCATATTCTTTGGGTCTTTCGGTAAAGCCACGTAGATAGAAAAAAATCTAAATAATAACAATATCACGACGTTTCGATCGCAACACAATCAATCGTCTTCAGGTGAAAAGAAGACAATTGATTGGGTTGTGATTGAATCGTCGTGATATTATTGTTATTATTTTGATTATTTTTCTATCTACGTGGCTTTACCGAAAGACCTAAATAATAGTTTAAAACATGTCTTCGTATTCTCCACAATTTTATCCCAATTGTGCTGTGGGCATCACGTCACAGGACAAAGCATACTTTACGATCTCACAGAGCAGTGCAACCCTTCATGTTAGAGAACAGCCCAACAGAAACGGATATGATGGCGCATCTTTTGAGATCTTTTCAAGTGACCTGTGCTCCAGACATAGTTAGAATGAAGCACTTCCCACCCGCCCCCCACTCACTCTGTACATAAAATTGAGGTGTGTCATATGACAGTCAAACTGATGATTTAATTTTGAGAGGGCAGAGCCACATACAGTTGAGGACCCGGTGGCTGCCTGAATTCACGCCCAAAACCTTATCAGTGCTCTAACCTCTGAGCCACTCGGCAACCTCAGAAGGTTATTCTGGCACCCCCCCACCCACCTCTCAGGCTCAGTCCTTTGTTATGTAGACTAGCCGTAGTCTCAAGCCGCACCTTGCCATAATAAAGGCTCAGTCCTTTGTTATGTAGACTGGCCATAGTCTCAAGCCGCACCTTACCATAATAATAAAAAGTGGGCCGTTCCTGGCCCATTACCCCCACCCTCAAACAGTATATATACGGGGTAGTATCCCTTGGAATCTCTCATTTACTTGATACAGCTATCGTGCTGTGACGGTTCCACCTGAAGATGGAAGCTTGTGTTGCCTCCGAAACGTCGTGATTTTTATTTTATTTTTATTTTACTTTTATTCATTTGTATTTTTTACCTACGTGACTTTACCGAAAAAACCTAAGAATATGAATACTTGCAGTCACCAAAGCTTCAAATCTAGAGTTATATTTCTAAACTGCTGGTGAAAGAGCCTACACCAAAGGCGGCTAAATAGTGGATGTGATGGTTGCACATATAGCCATCGCATATCCACCCTGACCAATGAACTGCTCACACCCAGTGCAGTATTTGTGCATGCTGTGACTGATATTTGATATAGATGTTCACACATCCCAAATGTTCACGTGCATGGTGTAACTCAGTTATTTTTAAATCCTTTATATTAAGTTCGCTTGCTTGCTTGCTTGCATGCTTGCTTGCTTACGACCGTGCAAATCTTTCGGTCGTTTTTTAACCCACTTCCCATGATCCAATCGAGCTGACATTTTCCACACAGACTCGTTGTACCAGACAATTAATGTTCGTGAAAAAAATTCCCAAAATGTTGCACTTTTTAGGCAAAAAAAAATATTTTACATATATTCAAAAGAACTCATTCTTGGCTTTGGCTGAACGTCACAGTATAAGAGCCCAGAGCGTAACCCCTCCACAGGCCGTGGTGGAGTAGCGCAGTTGGTAGCGCCCTCGCTTCCCATGCCAAAGGTTGCGGGATCGATCCCCGCGTCCTCCACAGGCGAATATATTTTTAAATCCTTTATATTAAGTTCGCTGCCACGCATATAAAAGATTTATAGTGATAAACTTTATTTTTACGGGTTATACTTATTTTATATAGATTTTCACATATCTACATACACCTCAGTCCCCAGCAATACAAATATGCAACATTGTACAGTAAACCAAATCGATTGACATTTTCCCACGTGACAATTTCATTTGATTGACTCTGTCCGGTAGTGGAGGGTTATAGTTAAAATTTGACTTTATACTTTCACGATCTTACCCCATAGAAACAAATTATAATTCACATTGGTCGTGAAAGCCTACGTATAAAAATATACAGTTTTTCAACTCGACAAGATATAAACACTTCATAAAGAATTCTTCTTAAATATGGAGCATATATTTTCGTGGTGAAATTCATATTCCTATTATGATGGCCAAGGATACATAACTCACCTGGATTTTTGAAAATTCTATTGATCAAAACGTATTAAATTATGCAGGCCATTATTTGGGAAAACAACGTACCGTCATCTTCCGTCGTTGTAGATATTGCTTTTTTGGTTGAGGTTTGTGGTGCTTTTGTGGAGACATCTGGAGTCTTTTGTTTCGGAGCTGCTGAGCTTTTCACTACAGCACTCCGTTCCGTTGACTTTTCTTCAACTGCTTGTGAGGACGTCACTTGGAGAGAAACGCGGCAGAAAGAAAACGCAATGAGTGTGGGGAGGTTCAACTATGAGTTTGATTTATTCACTTTCCCTACAATGGTGATAATGAAGCTCTCGCACAATGCAGACCAATTCAATTCTGATCAAGTGTGGTCAAAATTGGAAATCACTGCTGTATCCCTGTTTATTTTACATTGGAACGTGTAAGTTGCCTATGCAAACTGAAGTAAAAAATGTGAGCGTCAAAAATCCCCGGTCAAATGTCATATTATCCAAATATGATGTTGTAACTAAGTTACAGTGGGTAAGGATATATGTCAAATACTGTCTTTAAAATGTAATACAAGTTTCATGAATGAAATCTTGACAATTATGATGAAATGGTCTTTTAAAAAAGATGATTAGAAAAACGAACACTTATTTTCTTAAAATATGCTGTCACGTTTTCCATGATTTACCTTTAGGTGTTGGTTTTACAGATGGCCGTGGTGCCTGTTCTGTTGCTTGTGTCACAGGAACACTGCGGCCTGCAAATAAAACGACAGAACTTAAATACATCAAATTATATAGATTTGGTGTATCCAATTTATGTTCTAAATGCAATGACATTTATTAAGTATGAAGAAAACTTTTGCTCATTAAAATCAATACTGATCACTATTCTCACTCCAAGTTTACCGTCAGCTGCAGTGGTCTCTTCGGGCACTGGTGGCGACTCTGGTTTGCTTTTCTTTGTTTCTGGAGCAGCTTCTGTCGATGCTTTCTCAGGGGCCCCTTTGGTTGGGGTCTGAGTAATGGGTGGTGGCGGGAGGCCACCTGCTCTGGAGCAGCAGAATCTGACCTTGTAGTTGTAACATGGCAGTCCTCCTTGATCCTCATTCACACATTTCAGTCCTTTATTCTTGTCACAAGTTATTGTCTGGCCCAATTCCTGCCATGAGGTATTAGGGAATCTCTCTGCTTTGCATTCAATGTTTTGCACTGGTGAGTCAGGCAGACAAACCACTTTCCCTGAGGCTATGACCTTCTGGTAAGATTCCTCATCTCCGCCATTTTCTTCATCAGGATATTGCTCATCGTACCAGTCAGACCAGCCTGGAGCGCAGTCTTCTTCTGCAAATAAATGATCTTATCAGTTATCAAATGCAAACAGATTGTGGAAAAGATTTAAGCCCTATTCATGCATTCAAACATGCCTCGTGACTTGTTACCACAATGCAATGCTTACCTTGTTCGGTGGGTGTTTTAGTTGGTTTTGAGGCCTCGATTGGTTGCTGTGTTGCTGGAACAATCAATTCTGCAAAAGAATATACGTGAATTATGGTGTGTATAGTATGAAATAAAACACATCATCATCACTGAATATGATACGTCCCAAAATCAAGTGTTTTTTCAGGACAGATTCGAGTTTCTCTTGATTGCAGTGAAGTGAAACCAAGTGTTGGGTGTAGACATTGAAATGGAAGACTTCCATAAAGTGACCAACTGGTTGGCTTTTTACACCGTTTGATTTTTAAAAAGTTGTTAACATTGATTTATACGGACGAGTGGAATGGGGGAATAATAACTTCAGAAAATGCGTATCTGGAGCAGTGTGTGAACATCACCACTTTGGAAATTATCCACGTGCAGTGTGTGCCTGTTAAATACATGTATTACCTGAAGCATAGTGTTTATCAATATAATATACATACACGGTGGCTTTCGAACGTGTATTTTTGTTAACATGGATTATAATATATCGTTATTTTACCTCTCAAAAACGTGTTAAATGTAATTTTCAATATATTTTTGAACGTACATTTTTTGTAAGTCAAACATTACAAACACGCGTCCAAGCATTATGCTCGTATCCCAAACTATAGGGTTGCAATTGTTGATTCAAAGTTGTCATTGGTCCCAAAGAGATGCAATACTTCCTCTTGGTGGAATGTTTGCAAGGTGAAGGGTGACAATATTACCGACTTAACATTTTAACACGTCAGAGGCTTTCGCGACCAATATCATCCATAAAATAGGTTTTTAGGGTTAAACCCGCTACCACACAACACAGCCAATTAGTAAGGTTTGTCGCATAAACAAAACATGCCAAATCATTACTAGTGTGTTGAAGATTGCAAATGGGGATTTGCTCTCCAACACACTGGTGTACTGTACTAGTAACGAATTTGCATGTTCTGTTTAGGTGACAAACCTTACTAATTGGCTGTGTCGGGTGGTGGCGGGTTTAACGACGTACGTATATTCACGCGATCTAATATTATGGATGACTTCATATTGTTTTATAACTCGTAGAGAATGTCTGTTGTTCATGTGCCCAGTGTTGTCATAGTCACCTTCAGCTGCAGTGGTCTCTTCGGGCACTGGTGGCGACTCTGGTGTGCTTTTCTTTGTTTCTGGAGCTGCTTCTGTCGATGCTTTCTCAGGGGCCCCTTTGGTTGGAGCCTGAGTAATGGGTGGTGGAGGGAGGCCACCTGCTCTGGAGCAGCAGAATCTGACCTTGTAGTTGTAACATGGCAGTCCTCCTTGATCCTCACTCACACATTTCAGTCCGTTATTCTTGTCACAAGTGATTGTCTGGCCCAATTCCTGCCATGGGGTATTAGGGAATCTCTCTGCTTTGCATTCAATGTTTTGCACTGGTGAGTCAGGCAGACAAACCACTTTTCCTGAGGCTATGACCTTCTGGTAAGATTCCTCATCTCCGCCATTTTCTTCATCAGGATATTGCTCATCGTACCAGTCAGACCAGCCTGGAGTACAGTCTTCTGCAAAGATACATTCTTAATCAGTTTTCAAACTATGACTATGCATATATCAACTCCATTTACTCTAAGAGATTGTTCTGAAAGCTATAAAATGTATCAAACCTATGAATGTCCCATTGGTAGGAGTGTACATCAAAATATGAATTTACATACAGCAAGTATTGAGTGAATCTCTACATCATGTATGGACTGTACATAGAGCTACTGTATTTTCTTTGAAAATCAACCTGAACACACCTGGCCCTTCGGAGGGTGAGGGTTCTAGCTTCTTGATGCCAGAGGTTGAAGGTGCGGGTGACTTCTCCTTCGGTGCAGTTGGTTCTTGAGGAGGAGCGCCACTCTCTTCAGGAGCTGGCTTTGTTGATTTTTCCTCAACCGGAGGTTTCGGTGTCACTTTGAAAGAAAAGCAAGGGATGGATGTTGACAGAATGAAGATTGCTGATGCATTCTCAATTACCCCTTGAAAAATGTTGTAAACAACCTTCAGACGATACTTTTAATCTGCCTTTCAAATGAGTTACTGGAAAGTGTTCTAAAATAATGTACAATTTTGCCAAACCACTGTTCATTTAAGGCCTCCTCACGCTCTCTTTAGTGTGAATGTGGGGATCATGGATGGGGAAACATGGAAGTACAGCACAATAAAGGGTTCTGGCATTCTGCACTCTGTAGTCCACATTGTAAATATTCAGCCTTATGACATCAGTTATGCAGGTAGTCACCCATTTAAAAGTCATCCTTGCGTCACCCTATTTAGTTTCTAGCATCTAACACAATCAGTCACATTCTGTGTGATTTGATCCTAAGCAGTATAAATCTGTATATAAATATACTCTTAGAAAATGAACACACCTGGCCCTTCTGAGGGCGATGGTTCTGGCTCCTTGTTGCTGGCGGTTGGAGGTGCGGGTGACTTCTCCTTCGATGCAGTTGGTTCTTGAGGAGGAGCGCCACTCTCTTCTGGAGCTGCCTTTGTTGGCTTTTCCTCAACCGGGGGTTTCGGTGTCACTTTGAAAGAAAATCAAGATACAGATGTTGAAAGAATGTACATTTAAAAGACGTGGGAAGATGGACACACAGTAGAATAAATGCGTTTAGCATTCAGCCCTCTGCCGCCTATAACTTGCAGTTTATAACTCACATTGTGGACGTGGTCACCCGTTCATGCCATTCAGTTACAAACATACTTCGTCTCTGAGATCTAAAAATGTAGTTGCATTTTGCGTGATTTGATTATGAGCATTATGTATCACGTGTTTTTATATTCTTAGAACATGGACACACCTGGCCCTTCTGGCTTTGAGGGTTCTGGCTCCTTGATGCCAGAGGTTGGAGGTGCGGGTGTCTTGTCCTTCGGTGCAGTTGGTTCTTGAGGAGGAGCGCCACTCTCTTCAGGAGCTGGCTTTGTTGGCTTTTCCTCAATGGGGGGTTTTGGTGTCACTTTGAAAGAAAGTCAAGGGATGGATGTTGACAGAATGTAGATTGTTTAGACGTGGGAGCATGGACATACAGAACAATAAAGGTGCGTGGCATTCTGCCCTCTCCAGCCACATTGTAAAAATTTTGCCCATGATATCTGTTACACAAGTAGTCACCAATCCAAACCTCATCCAGGTGCAATTTTAATTCGATTATGAAATCTAACATATTAAGTCGCATTGTATGATTTGATCCTAATTATTATACAGCCGGTATATATATAAAATATTGCAAAATGAACACACCTGGCCCTTCTGGGGGTGATGGTTCTGGCTCCTTGTTGCTGGAGGTTGGAGGTGCGGGTGACTTCTCTTTCGATGCCGTTGGTTCTTGAGGAGGAGCGCCACTCTCTTCTGGAGCTGCCTTTGTTGGCTTTTCCTCAACCGGGGGTTTCGGTGTCACTTTGAAAGAAAATCAAGATACAGATGTTGAAAGAATGTACATTTAAAAGACGTGGGAAGATGCACACACAGTAGAATAAATTCGTTTAGCATTCAGCCCTCTGCCGCCTTTAACTAGCAGTTTATAACTCACGTTGTGGACGTGGTCACCCGTTCATGCCATTTAGTTACAAACATACTTCGTCTCTGAGATCTAAAAATGTAGTTGCATTTTGCGTGATTTGATTATGAGCATTATATATCATCTGTTTTTATATTCTTAGAACATGGACACACCTGACCCTTCTGGCTTTGACGGTTCTGGCTCCTTGATGCCAGAGGTTGGAGGTGCGGGTGTCTTGTCCTTCGATGCAGTTGGTTCTGGAGGAAGAGTGCAAACCTCACTGATTGGCTTTGCCAGGTGGTGGTGCATTTACATACACATTTACCTGATTAACCCAAAAAAACACAATTATGAATGATGGCATTTCATATGTTATCGATGTGATTTTGCAACTAATTCCAGAATGGTACCTGGGCTTGCTTTAGATGGAATTGGTGCAGGGGGTCCACCTGCTCTGGAGCAGCAGAATCTGACCTTGTAGTTGTAACATGGCAGAAAGTCCTGATCGTTATTAGAGCATTTTAAGCCTGTGCTCTTGTCACAAGTGATCGTCTGGCCCAATTCCTCCCATGGAGTATTAGGGAATCTCTCTGCTTTGCAGTCAATTTTTTCCACTGATGAGTCAGGCAGACAGACCTCTCTCCCCGAGTCTATAACCTTTTGGTAGGATTCCTCATCTCCGCCATTTTCTTCATCAGGGTATTGATCATCATACCACTCAGACCAGCCTAAAGCACACTCGTCTGCAAAAATATAACATTAATCAGTGATGAAATTCCAGCAGATTTTGCAAAATATTTCAACCATATGTATGCATTCAAACAGGCCTCAAGATTATGTTACCACACTCTAATCCTTACCTTGTTTGGTGGGTGTTTCATTTGGTTTTGTAGCCTCAATTGGTGGCTGTGTTGCTGGAACAATCCATTCTGCAAAAAATATACTTGAATTATGATGTGTGTATCGCATAAATAATACACATCATCATTATCACTGAATATTACATCTCCCAAAATAATTTTTGATCGGACAGATAAGTAGTTTTGAGTTTGGTAACATTGAATCATAGGGACGAGTGGAATGTGGAACAATAACTTCAGAAAATTAGAATCTGGAGCACTGTGTTAACATCAGAAATTGGGAAATTAGCCAGGTGTAATGTGTGTATTTATTACGTGGATACCTGTAGCATGATGTTTATCTATATAGCATGCGTACACGGGCAATGTATTTTACTTGATTTTGTTTAATTTTCAAACGTTCATTATTTAAACGTGTATTATAACCTATCATGTGATGTCACAAAACGTCTTTAAAGTAATTTTAAATGTTTTTGATCTCACGTGTTTCGAATATATTCATAAGTCAAATATTGGAAAAACTGCCAAAGCATTGTTATTATTATTTTCCAAACTATATGTTTTAAGTGTTGAGTAAAAGCTGTCTTTGATGCCAATAAAGATACACTACTTCTGATTGGTAGAATGTTTACAAGGTGAAGGTCGGTAATGTTACTGACGTGATTTAATTTAACTAGCAGAGAATTGATGTTGTTCATGTTCCAATTGTCATAGTTACCTTCACCTATAGTCGTCTCTTTAGGCACTGGTGGGGACTTTGGTTTCCTTTTCGTTGTTTCCGGAGCAGCTGCTGTTGGTGGAATTTCAGGGGCCCCTTTGGTTGGGGCCTGAGTAATGGGTGGTGCAGGGGGGCCACCTGCTCTGGAGCAGCAGAATCTGACCTTGTAGTTGTAACATGGCAGTCCTCCTTGATCCTCATTTACACATTTCAGTCCTTTATTCTTGTCACAAGTTATTGTCTGGCCCAATTCCTCCCATGGGGTATTAGGGAATCTCTCTGCTTTGCATTCAATGTTTTGCACTGGTGAGTCAGGCAGACAAACCACTTTCCCTGAGGCTATAACCTTCTGGTAAGATTCCTCATCTCCGCCATTTTCTTCATCAGGATATTGCTCATCGTACCAGTCAGACCAGCCTGGAGTACAGTCTTCTGCAAAGATACATTCTTAATCAGTCTTCAAACTGTTACTATATATCAACTCCATTTCTACAAAGTAATGTTCTGACAGCTATAAAATGCATGATACCTATGAATGCACGCTGGCTACAAGTGTACAGTAAAACATGTATTTACGTACAGCAAGTATACAGTGAGTCTTTATCATGAATGGATTGAACATAGAGCTACTTAAATTGTTGTTGAATATCAACCCGAAAGCCTGGTGAGCTGCCATACCCCTTCTGTTAGCACCAAATACATTTACAAAGTCACGGTCGCTCAATTACTCTGACACAGGCTGACCTACTGCTTCGTAAATTCCTCCTATTCTTTACCAATCCAGCCTAGAGTCTGTTAGTCATACCCTGTTCCAGTAAATGAGCCAAGTTTGGGAATGGAAGACTGTAAAGCAGGACAAAAGCCCAAATTGTAAATGCTGAAGGACACTAGGATAGCCTTTTTGTCACCGGGAATGTCCTAGCACAACCAGAACATATGGTTGCTTTGACTGAACATATGATTGCTTGCAATATATTATCCACATGCGATGTTGCAACTATTTCCACCATTGTACCTGGGCCTGGAGTTGCGGGTGATGGTTCTGGCTCCTTGCTACTGGAGGTTGGAGGTGCGGGTGTCTTTTCCTTCGATGCAGTTGGTTCTTGAGGAGGAGCGCCACTCTCTTCAGGAGCTTGCTTTGTTGGCTTTTCCTCAACGGGGGATTTTGGTGTCACTTTGAAAGAAAGTCAAGGGATGGATGTTGACAGAATGTAGATTGTTTAGACGTGGGAGCATGGACATACATACAGAAAAATAAAGGTGCGTGGCATTCTGCCCTCTCCAGCCACATTGTAACAAAAATTGCCTATGATATCTGTTACACAAGTAGTCACCAATCCAAACCTCATCCAGGTGCAAGTTTGATTTGATTTTGAGATCTAACATATTAAGTCGCATTGTATGATTTGATCCTAATTATTATACAGCCAGAACATATATATATAAAATCTTGCAAAATGAACACACCTGGCCCTTCTGGGGGTGATGGTTCTGGCTCCTTGTTGCTGGAGGTTGGAGGTGCGGGTGACTTCTCCTTCGATGCAGTTGGTTCTTGAGGAGGAGCGCCACTCTCTTCTGGAGCTGCCTTTGTTGGCTTTTCCTCAACCGGGGGTTTCGGTGTCACTTTGAAAGAAAATCAAGATACAGATGTTGAAAGAATGTACATTTAAAAGACGTGGGAAGATGGACACACAGTAGAATAAATGCGTTTAGCATTCAGCCCTCTGCCGCCTATAAATTGCAGTTTATTACTCACGTTGTGGACGTGGTCACCCGTTCATGCCATTTAGTTACAAACATACTTCGTCTCTGAGATCTAAAAATGTAGTTGCATTTTGCGTGATTTGATTATGAGCATTATATATCATGTGTTTTTATATTGTTAGAACATGGACACACCTGGTCCTTCTGGCTTTGAGGGTTCTGGCTCCTTGATGCCAGAGGTTGGAGGTGCGGGTGTCTTGTCCTTCGATGCAGTTGGTTCTGGAGGAAGAGTGCAAACCTCACTGATTGGCTGTGCCAGGTGGTGGTGCATTCACATTCACCTGATATAACCCAAAAAAACACAATTATGAATGATGGCATTTAATATATTATCGATGTGATTTTGCAACTAATTCCAGAAGGGTACCTGGGCTTGCTTTAGATGGAATTGGTGCAGGGGGTCCACCTGCTCTGGAGCAGCAGAATCTGACCTTGTAGTTGTAACATGGCAGTCCTCCTTGATCTTCATTTACACATTTCAGTCCTTTATTCTTGTCACAAGTTATTGTCTGGCCCAATTCCTCCCATGGGGTATTAGGGAATCTCTCTGCTTTGCATTCAATGTTTTGCACTGGTGAGTCAAGCAGACAAACCACTTTCCCTGAGGCTATAACCTTCTGGTAAGATTCCTCATCTCCGCCATTTTCTTCATCAGGATATTGCTCATCGTACCAGTCAGACCAGCCTGGAGTACAGTCTTCTGCAAAGATACATTCTTAATAAGTCTTCAAACTGTTACTATATATCAACTCCATTTCTACAAAGTAATGTTCTGACAGCTATAAAATGCATGATACCTATGAATGCACGCTGGCTACGAGTGTACAGTAAAACATGTATTTACGTACAGCAAGTATACAGTGAGTCTTTATCATGAATGGATTGAACATAGAGCTACTTAAATTTTTGTTGAATATCAACCCGAAAGCCTGGTGAGCTGCCATACCCCTTCTGTTAGCACCAAATACATTTACAAAGTCACGGTCGCTCAATTACTCTGACACAGGCTGACCTACTGCTCCGTAAATTCCTCCTATTCTGCTACCAATCCAGCCTAGAGTCTGTTAGTCATACCCTGTTCCAGTAAATGAGCCAAGTTTGGGACCGGAAGACTGTAAAGCAGGACAAAAGCCCAAAGTTTAAATGCTTCAGGACACTAGGATAGCCTTTTTGTCACCGGGAATGTCCTGGCACAACCAGAACATATGGTTGCTTTGACTGACCATATGAGTGCCTGCAATATAATATCCACATGTGATGTTGCAACTACTTCCACCATTGTACCTGGGCCTGGAGTTGCGGGTGATGGTTCTGGCTCCTTGCTACTGGAGGTTGGAGGTGGGGGTGTCTTTTCCTTCGATGCAGTTGGTTCTTGAGGAGGAGCGCCACTCTCTTCAGGAGCTGGCTTTGTTGGCTTTTCCTCAACGGGGGGTTTTGGTGTCACTTTGAAAGAAAGTCAAGGGTTGGATGTTGACAGAATGTAGATTGTTTAGACGTGGGAGCATGGACATACTGAACAATAAAGGTGCGTGGCATTCTGCCCTCTCCAGCCACATTGTAAAAAAATTGCCTTAGATATTTGTTACACAAGTAGTCACCAATCCAAACCTCATCCAGGTGCAAGTTTAATTCGATTATGAGATCTAACATATTAAGTCGCATTGTATGATTTGATCCTAATTATTATACAGCCGGTATATATATAAAATATTGCAAAATGAACACACCTGGCCCTTCTGGGGGTGATGGTTCTGGCTCCTTGTTGCTGGCGGTTGGAGGTGCGGGTGACTTCTCCTTCGATGCAGTTGGTTCTTGAGGAGGAGCGCCACTCTCTTCTGGAGCTGCCTTTGTTGGCTTTTCCTCAACCGGGGGTTTCGGTGTCACTTTGAAAGAAAATCAAGATACAGATGTTGAAAGAATGTACATTTAAAAGACGTGGGAAGATGGACACACAGTAGAATAAATGCGTTTAGCATTCAGCCCTCTGCCGCCTATAACTTGCAGTTTATAACTCACATTGTGGACGTGGTCACCCGTTCATGCCATTCAGTTACAAACATACTTCGTCTCTGAGATCTAAAAATGTAGTTGCATTTTGCGTGATTTGATTATGAGCATTATGTATCACGTGTTTTTATATTCTTAGAACATGGACACACCTGGCCCTTCTGGCTTTGAGGGTTCTGGCTCCTTGATGCCAGAGGTTGGAGGTGCGGGTGTCTTGTCCTTCGGTGCAGTTGGTTCTTGAGGAGGAGCGCCACTCTCTTCAGGAGCTGGCTTTGTTGGCTTTTCCTCAACGGGGGGTTTTGGTGTCACTTTGAAAGAAAGTCAAGGGATGGATGTTGATAGAATGTAGATTGTTTAGACGTGGGAGCATGGACATACTGAACAATAAAGGTGCGTGGCATTCTGCCCTCTCCAGCCACATTGTAAAAAAATTGCCTTAGATATTTGTTACACAAGTAGTCACCAATCCAAACCTCATCCAGGTGCAAGTTTAATTCGATTATGAGATCTAACATATTAAGTCGCATTGTATGATTTGATCCTAATTATTATACAGCCGGTATATATAAATATATAAAATCTTGCAAAATGAACACACCTGGCCCTTCTGGGGGTGATGGTTCTGGCTCCTTGTTGCTGGAGGTTGGAGGTGCGGGTGACTTCTCCTTCGATGCAGTTGGTTCTTGAGGAGGAGCGCCACTCTCTTCTGGAGCTGCCTTTGTTGGCTTTTCCTCAACCGGGGGTTTTTGTGTCACTTTGAAAGAAAATCAAGATACAAATGTTGAAAGAATGTACATTTAAAAGACGTGGGAAGATGGACACACATTAGAATGAATGCGTTTAGCATTCAGCCCTCTGCCGCCTATAACTTGCAGTTTATAACTCACGTTGTGGACGTGGTCACCCGTTCATGCCATTCAGTTACAAACATACTTCGTCTCTGAGATCTAAAAATGTAGTTGCATTTTGCGTGATTTGATTATGAGCATTATATATCATGTGTTTTTATATTCTTAGAACATGGACACACCTGGCCCTTCTGGCTTTGAGGGTTCTGGCTCCTTGATGCCAGAGGTTGGAGGTGCGGGTGTCTTGTCCTTCGATGCAGTTGGTTCTGGAGGAAGAGTGCAAAACTCACTGATTGGCTGTGCCAGGTGGTGGTGCATTTACATACACATTCACCTGATATAACCCAAAAAAACACAATTATGAATGATGTCATTTAATATATTATCGATGTGATTTTGCAACTAATTCCAGAATGGTACCTGGGCTTGCTTTAGATGGAATTGGTGCAGGGGGTCCACCTGCTCTGGAGCAGCAGAATCTGACCTTGTAGTTGTAACATGGAAGTCCTCCTTGATCCTCATTTACACATTTCAGTCCTTCATTCTTGTCACAAGTTATTGTCTGGCCCAATTCCTCCCATGGGGTATTAGGGAATCTCTCTGCTTTGCATTCAATGTTTTGCACTGGTGAGTCAGGCAGACAAACCACTTTCCCTGAGGCTATAACCTTCTGGTAAGATTCCTCATCTCCGCCATTTTCTTCATCAGGATATTGCTCATCATACCAGTCAGACCAGCCTGGAGTACAGTCTTCTGCAAAGATACATTCTTAATCAGTCTTCAAACGGTTACTATATATCAACTCCATTTCTACAAAGTAATGTTCTGACAGCTATAAAATGCATGATACCTATGAATGCACGCTGGCTACGAATGTACAGTAAAACATGTATTTACGTACAGCAAGTATACAGTGAGTCTTTATCATGAATGGACTGAACATAGAGCTACGTAAATTTTTGTTGAGTATCAACCCGAAAGCCTGGTGAGCTGCCATACCCCTTCTGTTAGCACCAAATACATTTACGAAGTCACGGTCGCTCAATTACTCTGACATAGGCTGACCTACTGCTCCGTAAATTCCTCCTATTCTGCTACCAATCCAGCCTAGAGTCTGTTAGTCATACCCTGTTCCAGTAAATGAGCCAAGTTTGGGACCGGAAGACTGTAAAGCAGGACAAAAGCCCACATTTTAAATGCTGCAGGACACTAGGATAGCCTTTTTGTCACCGGGAATGTCCTGGCACAACCAGAACATATGGTTGCTTTCACTGAACATATGATTGCTTGCAATATATTATCCACATGTGATGTTGCAACTATTTCCACCATTGTACCTGGGCCTGGAGTTGGGGGTGATGGTTCTGGCTCCTTGCTACTGGAGGTTGGAGGTGGGGGTGTCTTGTCCTTCGATGCAGTTGGTTCTTGAGGAGGAGCGCCACTCTCTTCAGGAGCTGGCTTTGTTGGCTTTTCCTCAACCGGGGGTTTCGGTGTCACTTTGAAAGAAAATCAAGATACAGATGTTGAAAGAATGTACATTTAAAAGACGTGGGAAGATGGACACACATTAGAATAAATGCGTTTAGCATTCAACCCTCTGCCACCTATAACTTGCAGTTTATAACTCAAGTTGTGGACGTGGTCACCCGTTCATGCCATTCAGTTACAAACATACTTCGTCTCTGAGATCTAAAAATGTAGTTGCATTTTGCGTGATTTGATTATGAGCATTATATATCATGTGTTTTTTATATTCTTGGAACATGGACACACCTGGCCCTTCTGGCTTTGAGGGTTCTGGCTCCTTGATGCCAGAGGTTGGAGGTGCGGGTGTCTTGTCCTTCGATGCAGTTGGTTCTTGAGGAGGAGCGCCACTCTCTTCAGGAGCTGGCTTTGTTGGCTTTTCCTCAACGGGGGGTTTTGGTGTCACTTTGAAAGAAAGTCAAGGGATGGATTTTGACAGAATGTAGATTGTTTAGACGTGGGAGCATGGACATACAGAACAATAAAGGTGCGTGGCATTCTGCCCTCTCCAGCCACATTGTAAAAAAATTGGCTATGATATCTGTTACACAAGTAGTCACCAATTCAAACCTCATCCAGGTGCAAGTTTAATTCGATTATGAGATCTAACATAATAAGTCGCATTGTATGATTTGATCCTAATTATTATACAACCGGTATATATATATATAAAATCTTGCAAAATGAACACACCTGGCCCTTCTGGGGGTGATGGTTCTGGCTCCTTGTTGCTGGAGGTTGGAGGTGCGGGTGACTTCTCCTTCGATGCAGTTGGTTCTTGAGGAGGAGCGCCACTCTCTTCTGGAGCTGCCTTTGTTGGCTTTTCCTCAACCGGGGGTTTTGGTGTCACTTTGAAAGAAAATCAAGATACAGATGTTGAAATAATGTACATTTAAAAGACGTGGGAAGATGGACACACATTAGAATGAATGCGTTTAGCATTCAGCCCTCTGCCGCCTATAACTTGCAGTTTATAACTCACGTTGTGGACGTGGTCACCCGTTCATGCCATTCAGTTACAAACATACTTCGTCTCTGAGATCTAAAAATGTAGTTGCATTTTGCGTGATTTGATTATGAGCATTATATATCATGTGTTTTTATATTCTTAGAACATGGACACACCTGGCCCTTCTGGCTTTGAGGGTTCTGGCTCCTTGATGCCAGAGGTTGGAGGTGCGGGTGTCTTGTCCTTCGATGCAGTTGGTTCTGGAGGAAGAGTGCAAAACTCACTGATTGGCTGTGCCAGGTGGTGGTGCATTTACATACACATTCACCTGATATAACCCAAAAAAACACAATTATGAATGATGGCATTTAATATATTATCGATGTGATTTTGCAACTAATTCCAGAATGGTACCTGGGCTTGCTTTAGATGGAATTGGTGCAGGGGGTCCACCTGCTCTGGAGCAGCAGAATCTGACCTTGTAGTTGTAACATGGAAGTCCTCCTTGATCCTCATTTACACATTTCAGTCCTTCATTCTTGTCACAAGTTATTGTCTGGCCCAATTCCTCCCATGGGGTATTAGGGAATCTCTCTGCTTTGCATTCAATGTTTTGCACTGGTGAGTCAGGCAGACAAACCACTTTCCCTGAGGCTATAACCTTCTGGAAAGATTCCTCATCTCCGCCATTTTCTTCATCAGGATATTGCTCATCGTACCAGTCAGACCAGCCTGGAGTACAGTCTTCTGCAAAGATACATTCTTAATCAGTCTTCAAACTGTTACTATATATCAACTCCATTTCTACAAAGTAATGTTCTGACAGCTATAAAATGCATGATACCTATGAATGCACGCTGGCTACGAGTGTACAGTAAAACATGTATTTACGTACAGCAAGTAAACAGTGAGTCTTTATCATGAATGGACTGAACAAAGAGCTACTTAAATTTTTGTTGAGTATCAACCCGAAAGCCTGGTGAGCTGCCTTACCCCTTCTGTTAGCACCAAATACATTTACGAAGTCACGGTCACTCAATTACTCTGACACAGGCTGACCTACTGCTCCGTAAATTCCTCCTATTCTTTTACCAATCCAGCCTAGAGTCTGTTAGTCATACCCTGTTCCAGTAAATGAGCCAAGTTTGGGACCGGAAGACTGTAAAGCAGGACAAAAGCCCAAATTTAAAATGCTTCAGGACACTAGGATAGCCTTTTTGTCACCGGGAATGTCCTGGCACAACCAGAACATATGGTTGCTTTGACTGAACATATGATTGCTTGCAATATCTTATCCACATGTGATGTTGCAACTATTTCCACCATTGTACCTGGGCCTGGAGTTGGGGGTGATGGTTCTGGCTCCTTGCTACTGGAGGTTGGAGGTGGGGGTGTCTTTTCCTTCGATGCAGTTGGTTCTTGAGGAGGAGCGCCACTCTCTTCAGGAGCTGGCTTTGTTGGCTTTTCCTCAACGGGGGGTTTTGGTGTCACTTTGAAAGAAAGTCAAGGGATGGATTTTGACAGAATGTAGATTGTTTAGACGTGGGAGCATGGACATACAGAACAATAAAGGTGCGTGGCATTCTGCCCTCTCCAGCCACATTGTAAAAAAATTGCCTATGATATCTGTTACACAAGTAGTCACCAATTCAAACCTCATCCAGGTGCAAGTTTAATTCGATTATGAGATCTAACATAATAAGTCGCATTGTATGATTTGATCCTAATTATTATACAACCGGTATATATATATATAAAATCTTGCAAAATGAACACACCTGGCCCTTCTGGGGGTGATGGTTCTGGCTCCTTGTTGCTGGAGGTTGGAGGTGCGGGTGACTTCTCCTTCGATGCAGTTGGTTCTTGAGGAGGAGCGCCACTCTCTTCTGGAGCTGCCTTTGTTGGCTTTTCCTCAACCGGGGGTTTTGGTGTCACTTTGAAAGAAAATCAAGAAACAGATGTTGAAATAATGTACATTTAAAAGACGTGGGAAGATGGACACACATTAGAATGAATGCGTTTAGCATTCAGCCCTCTGCCGCCTATAACTTGCAGTTTATAACTCACGTTGTGGACGTGGTCACCCGTTCATGCCATTCAGTTACAAACATACTTCGTCTCTGAGATCTAAAAATGTAGTTGCATTTTGCGTGATTTGATTATGAGCATTATATATCATGTGTTTTTATATTCTTAGAACATGGACACACCTGTCCCTTCTGGCTTTGAGGGTTCTGGCTCCTTGATGCCAGAGGTTGGAGGTGCGGGTGTCTTGTCCTTCGATGCAGTTGGTTCTGGAGGAAGAGTGCAAAACTCACTGATTGGCTGTGCCAGGTGGTGGTGCATTTACATACACATTCACCTGATATAACCCAAAAAAACACAATTATGAATGATGGCATTTAATATATTATCGATGTGATTTTGCAACTAATTCCAGAATGGTACCTGGGCTTGCTTTAGATGGAATTGGTGCAGGGGGTCCACCTGCTCTGGAGCAGCAGAATCTGACCTTGTAGTTGTAACATGGAAGTCCTCCTTGATCCTCATTTACACATTTCAGTCCTTCATTCTTGTCACAAGTTATTGTCTGGCCCAATTCCTCCCATGGGGTATTAGGGAATCTCTCTGCTTTGCATTCAATGTTTTGCACTGGTGAGTCAGGCAGACAAACCACTTTCCCTGAGGCTATAACCTTCTGGAAAGATTCCTCATCTCCGCCATTTTCTTCATCAGGATATTGCTCATCGTACCAGTCAGACCAGCCTGGAGTACAGTCTTCTGCAAAGATACATTCTTAATCAGTCTTCAAACTGTTACTATATATCAACTCCATTTCTACAAAGTAATGTTCTGACAGCTATAAAATGCATGATACCTATGAATGCACGCTGGCTACGAGTGTACAGTAAAACATGTATTTACGTACAGCAAGTAAACAGTGAGTCTTTATCATGAATGGACTGAACAAAGAGCTACTTAAATTTTTGTTGAGTATCAACCCGAAAGCCTGGTGAGCTGCCTTACCCCTTCTGTTAGCACCAAATACATTTACGAAGTCACGGTCACTCAATTACTCTGACACAGGCTGACCTACTGCTCCGTAAATTCCTCCTATTCTTTTACCAATCCAGCCTAGAGTCTGTTAGTCATACCCTGTTCCAGTAAATGAGCCAAGTTTGGGACCGGAAGACTGTAAAGCAGGACAAAAGCCCAAATTTAAAATGCTTCAGGACACTAGGATAGCCTTTTTGTCACCGGGAATGTCCTGGCACAACCAGAACATATGGTTGCTTTGACTGAACATATGATTGCTTGCAATATCTTATCCACATGTGATGTTGCAACTATTTCCACCATTGTACCTGGGCCTGGAGTTGGGGGTGATGGTTCTGGCTCCTTGCTACTGGAGGTTGGAGGTGGGGGTGTCTTTTCCTTCGATGCAGTTGGTTCTTGAGGAGGAGCGCCACTCTCTTCAGGAGCTGGCTTTGTTGGCTTTTCCTCAACGGGGGGTTTTGGTGTCACTTTGAAAGAAAAAGTCAAGGGTTGGATGTTGACAGAATGTAGATTGTTTAGACGTGGGAGCATGGACATACAGAACAATAAAGGTGCGTGGCATTCTGCCCTCTCCAGCCACATTGTAACAAAAATTGCCTATGATATCTGTTACACAAGTAGTCACCAATCCAAACCTCATCCAGGTGCAAGTTTAATTCGATTATGAAATCTAACATATTAAGTCGCATTGTATGATTTGATCCTAATTATTATACAGCCGGTATATATATATAAAATCTTGCAAAATGAACACACCTGGCCCTTCTGGGGGTGATGGTTCTGGCTCCTTGTTGCTGGAGGTTGGAGGTGCGGGTGACTTCTCTTTCGATGCCGTTGGTTCTTGAGGAGGAGCGCCACTCTCTTCTGGAGCTGCCTTTGTTGGCTTTTCCTCAACCGGGGGTTTCGGTGTCACTTTGAAAGAAAATGAAGATACAGATGTTGAAAGAATGTACATTTAAAAGACGTGGGAAGATGCACACACAGTAGAATAAATGCGTTTAGCATTCAACCCTCTGCCGCCTATAACTAGCAGTTTATAACTCACGTTGTGGACGTGGTCACCCGTTCATGCCATTCAGTTACAAACATACTTCGTCTCTGAGATCTAAAAATGTAGTTGCATTTTGCGTGATTTGATTATGAGCATTATATATAATGTGTTTTTATATTCTTAGAACATGGACACACCTGGCCCTTCTGGCTTTGAGGGTTCTGGCTCCTTGATGCCAGAGGTTGGAGGTGCGGGTGTCTTTTCCTTCGATGCAGTTGGTTCTTGAGGAGGAGCGCCACTCTCTTCAGGAGCTGGCTTTGTTGGCTTTTCCTCAACGGGGGGTTTTGGTGTCACTTTGAAAGAAAGTCAAGGGATGGATGTTGACAGAATGTAGATTGTTTAGACGTGGGAGCATGGACATACAGAACAATAAAGGTGCGTGGCATTCTGCCCTCTCCAGCCACATTGTAAAAAAATTGTCTATGATATCTGTTACACAAGTAGTCACCAATCCAAACCTCATCCAGGTGCAAGTTTAATTCGATTATGAGATCTAAAATAATAAGTCGCATTGTATGATTTGATCCTAATTATTATACAGCCGGTATATATATATGTAAAATCTTGCAAAATGAACACACCTGGCCCTTCTGGGGGTGATGGTTCTGGCTCCTTGTTGCTGGAGGTTGGAAGTGCGGGTGACTTCTCCTTCGATGCAGTTGGTTCTTGAGGAGGAGCGCCACTCTCTTCTGGAGCTGCCTTTGTTGGCATTTCCTCAACCGGGGGTTTCGGTGTCACTTTGAAAGAAAATCAAGATACAGATGTTGAAAGAATGTACATTTAAAAGACGTGGGAAGATGGACACACATTAGAATGAATGCGTTTAGCATTCAGCCCTCTGCCGCCTATAACTTGCAGTTTATAACTCAAGTTGTGGACGTGGTCACACGTTCATGCCATTCAGTTACAAACATACTTCGTCTCTGAGATCTAAAAATGTAGTTGCATTTTGCGTGATTTGATTATGAGCATTATATAACATGTGTTTTTATATTCTTAGAACATGGACACACCTGGCCCTTCTGGCTTTGAGGGTTCTGGCTCCTTGATGCCAGAGGTTGGAGGTGCGGGTGTCTTGTCCTTCGATGCAGTTGGTTCTTGAGGAGGAGCGCCACTCTCTTCAGGAGCTGGCTTTGTTGGCTTTTCCTCAACGGGTGGTTTTGGTGTCACTTTGAAAGAAAGTCAAGGGATGGATTTTGACAGAATGTAGATTGTTTAGACGTGGGAGCATGGACATACAGAACAATAAAGGTGCGTGGCATTCTGCCCTCTCCAGCCACATTGTAAAAAAATTGCCTATGATATCTGTTACACAAGTAGTCACCAATTCAAACCTCATCCAGGTGCAAGTTTAATTCGATTATGAGATCTAACATAATAAGTCGCATTGTATGATTTGATCCTAATTATTATACAACCGGTATATATATATATAAAATCTTGCAAAATGAACACACCTGGCCCTTCTGGGGGTGATGGTTCTGGCTCCTTGTTGCTGGAGGTTGGAGGTGCGGGTGACTTCTCCTTCGATGCAGTTGGTTCTTGAGGAGGAGCGCCACTCTCTTCTGGAGCTGCCTTTGTTGGCTTTTCCTCAACCGGGGGTTTTGGTGTCACTTTGAAAGAAAATCAAGATACAGATGTTGAAATAATGTACATTTAAAAGACGTGGGAAGATGGACACACATTAGAATGAATGCGTTTAGCATTCAGCCCTCTGCCGCCTATAACTTGCAGTTTATAACTCACGTTGTGGACGTGGTCACCCGTTCATGCCATTCAGTTACAAACATACTTCGTCTCTGAGATCTAAAAATGTAGTTGCATTTTGCGTGATTTGATTATGAGCATTATATATCATGTGTTTTTATATTCTTAGAACATGGACACACCTGGCCCTTCTGGCTTTGAGGGTTCTGGCTCCTTGATGCCAGAGGTTGGAGGTGCGGGTGTCTTGTCCTTCGATGCAGTTGGTTCTGGAGGAAGAGTGCAAAACTCACTGATTGGCTGTGCCAGGTGGTGGTGCATTTACATACACATTCACCTGATATAACCCAAAAAAACACAATTATGAATGATGGCATTTAATATATTATCGATGTGATTTTGCAACTAATTCCAGAATGGTACCTGGGCTTGCTTTAGATGGAATTGGTGCAGGGGGTCCACCTGCTCTGGAGCAGCAGAATCTGACCTTGTAGTTGTAACATGGAAGTCCTCCTTGATCCTCATTTACACATTTCAGTCCTTCATTCTTGTCACAAGTTATTGTCTGGCCCAATTCCTCCCATGGGGTATTAGGGAATCTCTCTGCTTTGCATTCAATGTTTTGCACTGGTGAGTCAGGCAGACAAACCACTTTCCCTGAGGCTATAACCTTCTGGAAAGATTCCTCATCTCCGCCATTTTCTTCATCAGGATATTGCTCATCGTACCAGTCAGACCAGCCTGGAGTACAGTCTTCTGCAAAGATACATTCTTAATCAGTCTTCAAACTGTTACTATATATCAACTCCATTTCTACAAAGTAATGTTCTGACAGCTATAAAATGCATGATACCTATGAATGCACGCTGGCTACGAGTGTACAGTAAAACATGTATTTACGTACAGCAAGTAAACAGTGAGTCTTTATCATGAATGGACTGAACAAAGAGCTACTTAAATTTTTGTTGAGTATCAACCCGAAAGCCTGGTGAGCTGCCTTACCCCTTCTGTTAGCACCAAATACATTTACGAAGTCACGGTCACTCAATTACTCTGACACAGGCTGACCTACTGCTCCGTAAATTCCTCCTATTCTTTTACCAATCCAGCCTAGAGTCTGTTAGTCATACCCTGTTCCAGTAAATGAGCCAAGTTTGGGACCGGAAGACTGTAAAGCAGGACAAAAGCCCAAATTTAAAATGCTTCAGGACACTAGGATAGCCTTTTTGTCACCGGGAATGTCCTGGCACAACCAGAACATATGGTTGCTTTGACTGAACATATGATTGCTTGCAATATCTTATCCACATGTGATGTTGCAACTATTTCCACCATTGTACCTGGGCCTGGAGTTGGGGGTGATGGTTCTGGCTCCTTGCTACTGGAGGTTGGAGGTGGGGGTGTCTTTTCCTTCGATGCAGTTGGTTCTTGAGGAGGAGCGCCACTCTCTTCAGGAGCTGGCTTTGTTGGCTTTTCCTCAACGGGGGGTTTTGGTGTCACTTTGAAAGAAAAAGTCAAGGGTTGGATGTTGACAGAATGTAGATTGTTTAGACGTGGGAGCATGGACATACAGAACAATAAAGGTGCGTGGCATTCTGCCCTCTCCAGCCACATTGTAACAAAAATTGCCTTTGATATCTGTTACACAAGTAGTCACCAATCCAAACCTCATCCAGGTGCAAGTTTAATTCGATTATGAAATCTAACATATTAAGTCGCATTGTATGATTTGATCCTAATTATTATACAGCCGGTATATATATATAAAATCTTGCAAAATGAACACACCTGGCCCTTCTGGGGGTGATGGTTCTGGCTCCTTGTTGCTGGAGGTTGGAGGTGCGGGTGACTTCTCTTTCGATGCCGTTGGTTCTTGAGGAGGAGCGCCACTCTCTTCTGGAGCTGCCTTTGTTGGCTTTTCCTCAACCGGGGGTTTCGGTGTCACTTTGAAAGAAAATGAAGATACAGATGTTGAAAGAATGTACATTTAAAAGACGTGGGAAGATGCACACACAGTAGAATAAATGCGTTTAGCATTCAACCCTCTGCCGCCTATAACTAGCAGTTTATAACTCACGTTGTGGACGTGGTCACCCGTTCATGCCATTCAGTTACAAACATACTTCGTCTCTGAGATCTAAAAATGTAGTTGCATTTTGCGTGATTTGATTATGAGCATTATATATAATGTGTTTTTATATTCTTAGAACATGGACACACCTGGCCCTTCTGGCTTTGAGGGTTCTGGCTCCTTGATGCCAGAGGTTGGAGGTGCGGGTGTCTTGTCCTTCGATGCAGTTGGTTCTGGAGGAAGAGTGCAAACCTCACTGATTGGCTGTGCCAGGTGGTGGTGCATTCACATTCACATTCACCTGATATAACCCAAAAAACACAATTATGAATGATGGCATTTAATATATTATCGATGTGATTTTGCAACTAATTCCAAAATGGTACCTGGGCTTGCTTTAGATGGAATTGGTGCAGGGGGTCCACCTGCTCTGGAGCAGCAGAATCTGACCTTGTAGTTGTAACATGGCAGAAAGTCCTGATCGTTATTAGAGCATTTCAAGCCTGTGCTCTTGTCACAAGTGATTGTCTGGCCCAATTCCTCCCATGGAGTATTAGGGAATCTCTCTGCTTTGCAGTCAATTTTTTCCACTGATGAGTCAGGCAGACAGACCTCTCTCCCCGAGTCTATAACCTTTTGGTAGGATTCCTCATCTCCGCCATTTTCTTCATCAGGGTATTGATCATCATACCACTCAGACCAGCCTGAAGCACACTCGTCTGCAAACATATAACGTTAATCAGTGATAAAATTCCAGCAAATTTAGCAAAATATTTAAACCATATGTATGCATTCAAACAGGCCTCAAGATTATGTTACCCCACTCCTATTCTTACCTTGTTTGGTGGGTGTTTCATTTGGTTTCGTGGCCTCAATTTGTTGCTGTGTTGCTGGAACAATCCATTCTGCAAAAATATACGTGAATTATGATGTGTGTATCGCATAAATAATACACATCATCATTATCACTGAGTATTACATCTCCCAAAATAACTTTTTGATCGGACAGATAAGTAGTTTTGAGTTTGGTAACATTGAATCATAGGGACGAGTGGAATGTGGAACAATAACTTCAGAAAATTAGAATCTGGAACACTGTGTTAACATCAGAAATTGGGAAATTAGCCAGGTGTAATGTGTGTATTTAATACGTGGATACCTGTCGCATGATGTTTATCTATATAGCATGCGTACACGGGCAATGTATTTTACTTGATTTTTTTTACTTTTCAAACGTTCATTATTTAAACGTGTATTATAACCTATCATGTGATGTCACAAAACGTGTTTAAAGTAATTTTAAATGTTTTTGATCTCACGTGTTTCGAATATATTCATAAGTCAAATATTAGAAAAACTGTCAAAGCATTGTTATTTTTTCCCAAAGTATAGGTTTTCAATGTTGAGTAAAAGCTGTCTTTGATGCCAATAAAGATACAATACTTCTGATTGGTAGAATGTTTACAAGATGAAGGTCGGTAATGTTACTGACGTGATTTAATTTAACTAGCAGAGAATTGATGTTGTCCATGTCCCCATTGTCATAGTTACCTTCACCTATAGTCGTCTCTTTAGGCACTGGTGGGGACTTTGGTTTCCTTTTCGTTGTTTCCGGAGCAGCTGCTGTTGGTGGAATTTCAGGGGCCCCTTTGGTTGGGGCCTGAGTAATGGGTGGTGGCGGGAGGCCACCTGCTCTGGAGCAGCAGAATCTGACCTTGTAGTTGTAACATGGCAGTCCTCCTTGATCCTCACTCACACATTTCAGTCCGTTATTCTTGTCACAAGTGATTGTCTGGCCCAATTCCTGCCATGGGGTATTAGGGAATCTCTCTGCTTTGCATTCAATGTTTTGCACTGGTGAGTCAGGCAGACAAACCACTTTCCCTGAGGCTATAACCTTCTGGTAAGATTCCTCATCTCCGCCATTTTCTTCATCAGGATATTGCTCATCGTACCAGTCAGACCAGCCTGGAGTACAGTCTTCTGCAAAGATACATTCTTAATCAGTCTTCAAACGGTTACTATATATCAATTCCATTTCTACAAAGTAATGTTCTGACAGCTATAAAATGCATGATACCTATGAATGCACGCTGGCCACGAGTGTACAGTAAAACATGTATTTACGTACAGCAAGTATACAGTGAGTCTTTATCATGATTGGACTGTACTTAGAGCTACTGATTTTTCGTTGAGTATCAATCGAAAGCGTGGTGAGCTGCCATACACCTTCTGTTAGTACCAAATACATTTACGAAGTCACGGTCGCTCAATTACTCTGACACAGGCTGACCTACTGCTCCGTAAATTCCTCCTATTCTGCTACCAATCCAGCCTAGAGTCTGTTAGTCATACCCTGTTCCAGTAAATGAGCCAAGTTTGGGACGGAAGACTGTAAAGCAGGACAAAAGCCCAAATTTTAAATGCTTCAGGACACTAGGATAGCCTTTTTGTCACCGGGAATGTCCTGGCACAACCAGAACATATGGTTGCTTTGACTGAATATATGAGTGCCTGCAATATATTATCCACATGTGATGTTGCAACTACTTCCACCATTGTACCTGGGCCTGGAGTTGGGGGTGATGGTTCTGGCTCCTTGTTGCTGGAGGTTGGAGGTGGGGGTGTCTTGTCCTTCGATGCAGTTGGTTCTTGAGGAGGAGCGCCACTCTCTTCAGGAGCTGGCTTTGTTGGCTTTTCCTCAACGGGGGGTTTTTTTGTCACTTTGAAAGAAAGTCAAGGGATGGATGTTGACAGAATGTAGATTGTTTAGACGTGGGAGCATGGACATACAGAACAATAAAGGTGCGTGGCATTCTGCCCTCTCCAGCCACATTGTAAAAAAATTGCCTATGATATTTGTTACACAAGTAGTCACCAATCCAAACCTCATCCAGGTGCAAGTTTAATTCGATTATGAGATCTAACATAATAAGTCGCATTGTATGATTTGATCCTAATTATTATACAGCCGGTATATATATATATATAAAATCTTGCAAAATGAACACACCTGGCCCTTCTGGGGGTGATGGTTCTGGCTCCTTGTTGCCGGAGGTTGGAGGTGCGGGTGACTTCTCCTTCGATGCAGTTGGTTCTTGAGGAGGAGCGCCACTCTCTTCTGGAGCTGCCTTTGTTGGCTTTTCCTCAACCGGGGGTTTTGGTGTCACTTTGAAAGAAAATCAAGATACAGATGTTGAAAGAATGTACATTTAAAAGACGTGGGAAGATGAACACACATTAGAATGAATGCGTTTAGCATTCAGCCCTCTGCCGCCTATAACTTGCAGTTTATAACTCACGTTGTGGACGTGGTCACCCGTTCATGCCATTCAGTTACAAACATACTTCGTCTCTTAAAACTAAAAATGTAGTTGCATTTTGCGTGATTTAATTATGAGCATTATATATCATGTGTTTTTATATTCTTAGAACATGGACACACCTGGCCCTTCTGGCTTTGAGGGTTCTGGCTCCTTGATGCCAGAGGTTGGAGGTGCGGGTGTCTTGTCCTTCGATGCAGTTGGTTCTGGAGGAAGAGTGCAAACCTCACTGATTGGCTGTGCCAGGTGGTGGTGCATTTACATACACATTCACCTGATATAACCCAAAAAAACACAATTATGAATGATGGCATTTAATATATTATCGATGTGATTTTGCAACTAATTCCAGAATGGTACCTGGGCTTGCTTTAGATGGAATTGGTGCAGGGGGTCCACCTGCTCTGGAGCAGCAGAATCTGACCTTGTAGTTGTAACATGGAAGTCCTCCTTGATCCTCATTTACACATTTCAGTCCTTCATTCTTGTCACAAGTTATTGTCTGGCCCAATTCCTCCCATGGGGTATTAGGGAATCTCTCTGCTTTGCATTCAATGTTTTGCACTGGTGAGTCAGGCAGACAAACCACTTTCCCTGAGGCTATAACCTTCTGGTAAGATTCCTCATCTCCGCCATTTTCTTCATCAGGATATTGCTCATCGTACCAGTCAGACCAGCCTGGAGTACAGTCTTCTGCAAAGATACATTCTTAATCAGTCTTGAAACTGTTACTATATATCAACTCCATTTCTACAAGGTAATGTTCTGACAGCTATAAAATGCATGATACCTATGAATGCACGCTGGCTACGAGTGTACAGTAAAACATGTATTTACGTACAGCAAGTATACAGTGAGTCTTTATCATGAATGGACTGAACATAGAGCTACTTAAATTTTTGTTGAGTATCAATCCGAAAGCCTGGTGAGCTGCCATACCCCTTCTATTAGCACCAAATACATTTACGAAGTCACGGTCGCTCAATTACTATGACATAGGCTGACCTACTGCTCCGTAAATTCCTCCTATTCTGCTACCAATCCAGCCTAGAGTCTGTTAGTCATACCCTGTTCCAGTAAATGAGCCAAGTTTGAGACCGGAAGACTGTAAAGCAGGACAAAAGCCCACATTTTAAATGCTTCAGGGCATTAGGATAGCCTTTTTGTCACCGGGAATGTCCTGGCACAACCAGAACATATGGTTACTTTCACTGAACATATGATTGCTTGCAATATATTATCCAAATGTAATGTTGCAACTATTTCCACCATTGTACCTGGGCCTGGAGTTGGGGGTGATGGTTCTGGCTCCTTGCTGCTGGAGGTTGGAGGTGGGGGTGTCTTTTCCTCAACGGGGGGTTTTGGTGTCACTTTGAAAGAAAGTCAAGGGATGGATGTTGACAGAATGTAGATTGTTTAGACGTGGGAGCATGGACATACAGAACAATAAAGGTGCGTGGCATTCTGCCCTCTCCAGCCACATTGTAAAAAAATTGCCTATGATATCTGTTACACAAGTAGTCACCAATCCAAACCTCATCCAGGTGCAAGTTTAATTCGATTATGAGATCTAACATATTAAGTCGCATTGTATGATTTGATCCTAATTATTATACAGCCGGTATATATATATATAATCTTGCAAAATGAACACACCTGGCCCTTCTGGGGGTGATGGTTCTGGCTCCTTGTTGCTGGAGGTTGGAGGTGCGGGTGACTTCTCCTTCGATGCAGTTGGTTCTTGAGGAGGAGCGCCACTCTCTTCTGGAGCTGCCTTTGTTGGCTTTTCCTCAACCGGGGGTTTCGGTGTCACTTTGAAAGAAAATCAAGATACAGATGTTGAAAGAATGTACATTTAAAAGACGTGGGAAGATGGACACACATTAGAATGAATGCGTTTAGCATTCAGCCCTCTGCCGCCTATAACTTGCAGTTTATAACTCAAGTTGTGGACGTGGTCACCCGTTCATGCCAATCAGTTACAAACATACTTCGTCTCTGAGATCTAAAAATGTAGTTGCATTTTGCGTGATTTGATTATGAGCATTATATATCATGTGTTTTTATATTCTTAGAACATGGACACACCTGGCCCTTCTGGCTTTGAGGGTTCTGGCTCCTTGATGCCAGAGGTTGGAGGTGCGGGTGTCTTGTCCTTCGATGCAGTTGGTTCTGGAGGAAGAGTGCAAACCTCACTGATTGGCTGTAACAGGTGGTGGTGCATTTACATTCACATTCACCTGATATAACCCAAAAAAACACAATTATGAATGATGGCATTTAATATATTATCGATGTGATTTTGCAACGAATTCCAGAATGGTACCTGGGCTTGCTTTAGATGGAGTTGGTGCAGGGGGTCCACCTGCTCTGGAGCAGCAGAATCTGACCTTGTAGTTGTAACATGGAAGTCCTCCTTGATCCTCATTTACACATTTCAGTCCTTCATTCTTGTCACAAGTTATTGTCTGGCCCAATTCCTCCCATGGGGTATTAGGGAATCTCTCTGCTTTGCATTCAATGTTTTGCACTGGTGAGTCAGGCAGACAAACCACTTTCCCTGAGGCTATAACCTTCTGGTAAGATTCCTCATCTCCGCCATTTTCTTCATCAGGATATTGCTCATCGTACCAGTCAGACCAGCCTGGAGTACAGTCTTCTGCAAAGATACATTCTTAATCAGTCTTCAAACGGTTACTATATATCAACTCCATTTCTACAAAGTAATGTTCTGACAGCTATAAAATGCATGATACCTATGAATGCACGCTGGCTACGAATGTACAGTAAAACATGTATTTACGTACAGCAAGTATACAGTGAGTCTTTATCATGAATGGACTGAACATAGAGCTACTTAAATTTTTGTTGAATATCAACCCGAAAGCCTGGTGAGCTGCCATACCCCTTCTGTTAGCACCAAATACATTTACGAAGTCACGGTCGCTCAATTACTCTGACATAGGCTGACCTACTGCTCCGTAAATTCCTCCTATTCTGCTACCAATCCAGCCTAGAGTCTGTTAGTCATACCCTGTTCCAGTAAATGAGCCAAGTTTGGGACCAGAAGACTGTAAAGCAGGACAAAAGCCCACATTTTAAATGCTTCAGGACACTAGGATAGCCTTTTTGTCACCGGGAATGTCCTGGCACAACCAGAACATATGGTTACTTTCACTGAACATATGATTGCTTGCAATATATTATCCACATGTGATGTTGCAACCATTTCCACCATTGTACCTGGGCCTGGAGTTGGGGGTGATGGTTCTGGCTCCTTGCTACTGGAGGTTGGAGGTGGGGGTGTCTTGTCCTTCGATGCAGTTGGTTCTTGAGGAGGAGCGCCACTCTCTTCAGGAGCTGGCTTTGTTGGCTTTTCCTCAACGGGGGGTTTTGGTGTCACTTTGAAAGAAAGTCAAGGGATGGATGTTGACAAAATGTAGATTGTTTAGACTATGGGAGCATGGACATACAGAACAATAAAGGTGCATGGCATTCTGCCCTCTCCAGCCACATTGTAAAAAAAATGCCTATGATATCTGTTACACAAGTAGTCACCAATCCAAACCTCATCAAGGTGAAAATTTAATTCGATTATGAGATCTAACATATTAAGTCGCATTGTATGATTTGATCCTAATTATTATACAGCCGGTATATATATATATAAAATCTTGAAAAATGAACACACCTGGCCCTTCTGGGGGTGATGGTTCTGGCTCCTTGTTGCCGGAGGTTGGAGGTGTGGGTGTCTTGTCCTTCGGTGCAGTTGGTTCTTGAGGAGGAGCGCCACTCTCTTCTGGAGCTGCCTTTGTTGGCTTTTCCTCAACCGGGGGTTTCGGTGTCACTTTGAAAGAAAATCAAGATACAGATGTTGAAAGAATGTACATTTAAAAGACGTGGGAAGATGGACACACAGTATAATAAATGCGTTTAGCATTCAGCCCTCTGCCGCCTATAACTTGCAGTTTTTAACTCACGTTGTGGACGTGGTCACCCGTTCATGCCATTCAGTTACAAACATACTTCGTCTCTGAGATCTAAAAATGTAGTTGCATTATGCGTGATTTGATTATGAGCATTATATATCATGTGTTTTTATATTCTTAGAACATGGACATACCTGGCCCTTCTGGGGGTGATGGTTCTGGCTGCTTGTTGCTGGAGGTTGGAGGTGCGGGTGACTTCTCCTTCGATGCAGTTGGTTCTTGAGGAGGAGCGCCACTCTCTTCTGGAGCTGGCTTTGTTGGCTTTTCCTCAACCGGCGGTTTTGGTGTTACTTTGGAACAAAAGCAAGGGATTCGGTGTTAACAAAAGGTACATTCCATTGACATGGAAGCATGTAAGTACAGCAAAATAAAGGAATGTGGTATTCTATCCTCTGCAGACTAAAACATGCAGTCCATAACATATGTTACAGATATGGTCACCCATTCCTGCCAACCAGGTCAAGCCTATTTAGTTTCTGAGATCTGAGAAATGTATGTGCATTCTGTGCTAATTGATTGTAAGTATTTTACGGCTGGTATAAATATATATATAATCTAGCAACATTAACACACCTGGCCCTGATCGGGGTGATGGTTCTGTCTCCTTGTTGCTGGAGGTTGGAGGTGGGGGTGTCTTGTCCTTCGATCCAGTTGGCTCTGGAGGAGGAGGGCCACTCTCTTCTGGAGCTGGCTTTGTTGGCTTTTCCTCAACCGGGGGTTTGGGTGTCACTTTGAAAGAAAAGCAAGGGATGGATGTTGACAGAATTTAGATTGCTCATACATTTTCAGTTGAACCTTGTAAAATGTTGTAAGCAACCTTCAGTCGATACTTTCAATCTGCATTACAAATAATGTAATTGAAAGTTATACTAAATGTGAGGCAAGTATGGGACCAGTAGCCTCTAAAGCAGGACAAACTCACACTTTTACAATTCTTCAGGACCCTACGATGGCCTTTTGTAACCGGCAATGATTTGACCCTACCAGAGTATACGGTGGCTTGAATTGAACATATTATTCCATTTAATATATTATCCATATTTGAGTTTGCAACTAATTCCAATATGGTACCTGGGACTGGAGTTGGGGGTGAGGGTTCTGGCTCCTTGATGCCGGAGGTTGGAGGTGCGGGTGTCTTGTCCTTCGGTGCAGTTGGTTCTTGAGGAGGAGCGCCACTCTCTTCAGGAGCTGGCTTTGTTGGCTTTTCCTCAACAGGGGGTTTCGATGGCACTTTGAAAGAAAAGCAAAGGATGGATCTTAAGCGAATGCAGATTTCTTAAACATTCTTAGTTGAACCTTGTAAAATGTTGTAAGCAACCTGCAGACAATACTTTAATCTGGAATACGAATACGTTACTGGACAGTTATACTAAATAATGTACAGCTCTTTGCCAATACACTGCTCAATTAAATCCTCCCCATGGTGTCTGCGTTGGGGGGGTTATTTGACCATCCTTTATCATGCTCATTAGTGCGGGTTAGTGAACGTGGAATGGGGAGCATGGATGTACATCACAATAAAGAGGTGTGGCATTCTGCTCTGTGCAGTCCATATTGTAAATATTCAGCCTATGACATCTGTTACACAGATTGTCACTATTCAAAACCCATCCAGGCGCAAGTCTAATTCGATTCTGAGATCTAACAAATTAAGTCACATTGTTTGATTTGATCCTAAGCAGTATACTTCCTGTATATATATAATTTTACAAAATGAGCACACCTGGCCCTTCTGAGGGTGAGGGTTCTGGCTCCTTTATGCCGGAGGTTGAAGGTGGGGGTGTCTTGTCCTTCGGTGCAGTTGGTTCGTGAGGAGGAGCGCCACTCTCTTCTGGAGCTGGCTTTGTTGGCTTTTCCTCAACCGGCGGTTTCGGTGTTACTTTGGAAGAAAAGCCAGGGATTGGGTGTTGACAGAATGTACATTGCATTGACTTGGGAACATGTAAGTACAACAAAATAAAGGAATTTGTTATCCTGCCATCTGCAGCTGATAACATGCAGTCTATGTGTGGCACATTAGGAATGGATCACTCTTTTAATTATGTCCTTGTGAAGCAAGGGAGTACAGTGTGGTTCTGTGAAAGTCCTGATGTGCTGTGCAGTGCATCAATGCATGTGTGTACAGCAGCATGTGATGACTGAGTCGAGCCTGTAGGTGGCTGGCAGGGTTATTGAATGACCGCGCGGATATACCAGTCACATGGTTAATGGCGACTCGGGAGCAATGCTGGTCGTAACACACGTGCTGTTGCATTTTACAGGTAAAGGAGCCAAAGGTTGTTTTTGATCGTTATATAAATGTTCTAGACTTGTTATAGACTTTAAGCTTGGCTTTGAATTGTTCGTTTGTGATATATGCAATTAGAGGCGTTTTAGCACTGTGCACTGTAAAGGGATGATGCACTGTAATTACCTACTGTCATTGTAATTCTCTAACCCTAATACTGTTTAGTCTATAACCATGCCCATGTACCCAGAGTATGGCTACTTGCAATGCTATTGAGAATAGAACACATGTAAAGTAGTAAGCTGTACAATGGTGATATACAGTACGTATACTGTACACATACAGTACATATAATGGGTGTAAGATACCGATATAAGTGAATGGTATAGACATAAAGCTTAGGATTAAAGGAATATTCGAATAGTGATGTGCAAATGTGATTGTCAAAGACAAAGATGGTTTATCAGTAGTAGAATTGGGTTGAAGAGAAAACTGTTAATGAATAATCATGGTTAATGGCGACTCGGGAGCAATGCTGGTTGTAACATGTGCTGTTGCATTTTACAGAGTGACGGTGCTGTTCTTCACAATATTGCTATTAACCACAATAAATGTGCTTGCCCTCGATTTGGAGCACATGCCCACGTCCTTCATTTCGAGTGTGCTACATATGACACATCATACGAATGAGGTCACATTTTCCTACCATCCAGGGAAACCCTATTTTGTTTTTGAGATCTGAGAAATGTATGCACATTCTGCGCTATTTGATCAATAATATTAAACAGCTGGTATAAAGATATATTCATAAAAAACTAGCAACATTAACACACCTGAGAATACAACAAACTGTGTATATCATTACGCACATGAAGTATACAATGAGTATCTTCATCCCGAATTAATTGTACGAAACGCTTCAGAATGTTGTGGAGGATCAACGCTAAAGCACAGTGAGCTGCAAACCCCTTTTGTTAGCACCACCTACTTTTACGTAGTTATGCTGCCTGAATCATCAGCACTGCCCACATTGTTGGTAGTGTCACTATGAAACAGCCTGACCTACTGCTCGGTAAGTTACTTCTATTACGCTAAAAACCCAGCTTAGAGTCCGTTGGTCCCACCCTGTTCCAGTAAAATGAGCCAAGTATGGGACCAGAAGACTATAAAGAAGGGCAAAATGACACTTTTGCAATGCTTCAGGACCCTAGGACAGCCTTTTGTTACCGGCAACGACCTCACCCTACCAGAGCATATGGTTGCTTTCATTGAACATAGGATTGCATTTTATATATTTTCCATATGTGATTTTGCAACTAATTCCACCATGGTACCTGGGCCTGGACTTGGGGGTGATGGTTCTGGCTCCTTGTTGCCGGAGGTTGGAGGTGGGGGTGTCTTGTCCTTCGGTGCAGTTGATTCTTGAGGAGGAGCGCCACTCTCTTCAGGAGCTGGCTTTGTTGGCTTTTCCTCAACCGGGGGTTTAGGTGTCACTTTGAAATAAAATCAAGGGATGGATGTTAACAGAATGCAGATTGCTCATGCATTCTCAGTTTAACCACATAAAATGTCGTAAGCAACCTTCATACGATACTTTAAATTTGCATTATGAATGGGTTACTGGAAAGCAATACTAAATAATGTACATCCCTTTGCCAATACACTGCTTAATTGAAGCCTCCCCACTCTGTTTGAGTTGCGGGGGTTATTTGACCGTGCTTCATCATGCTCTTCAGTGCGAATTAGTGAATGTGGGATGGTGGAGCATTTACATACAGCACAATAAAGGGGATGTGGCATTCGGCTCTCTGCAGTCTATAACATGCAGTTTAAATATTCTTTGGATCTTTCGGTAAAGTCACGTAGATAGGTACAAATGAAAAAAAAATAGAAAATTATAATTACATAAAAATATTCGACCGGAAGACTTTAAAGCAGGAAAAAATCCCAATTTTGCCAATGCTTCCGCACACCAGAATAACTTTTTCTGAAACCAGGACTCCCCCCTGCCAAACCAGAACATTTGGTTCCTTTAACTGTATGATAGAATTCAACATTATCCCATCGTGATTCTGTAACAAATTCCACCATGATACCTGAGCCTGGGGTAGATGGTGGTTCTGGCTCATTCTTTATGTAAGTTGGAGGTGCGGTAAACATGGAAGTCTGCAGTGAGCAAATCTGTCAAATGCATTTTTTCTTCGAAATGTAAGAGATGTCCCATCATTTCCATTTCTATAATTGATATTATGGCCTTGTAAAAATATGGATATATGACGTTGGACTTTTAACACTGCAATCACATTCATGAATTACCGTTGGGTGTTGGTTTTTCAGATGGCTGTGGTGTCTTTCTTGAGGCTTGTGTCACTGAAACACTGCCGCCTGCATAAAAAACAATAGATCTCAAATTAATACCAAAGTAAACATTTGCTCATGCTAAAGGCTTTGAATTATATTTTTTTAAAACAATGTTTGGTCAGCATTAAATTCAACTTTGATCGCTATTCTTACTTTACCTTTAGCTGAAGTTGTTTCTTCAGGCACTGGTGGGGGCGCTGGTTTCCTTTTCGTTGTTTCTGGAGCCACTGCTGTCGTTGGTTTCTCAGGGGCCCCTTTGGTTGGGGCCTGAGTATTGGATGGTGGAGGGGGGCCACCTGATTTGGAGCAGCAGAATCTGATCTTATAGTTGTAACATGGCAAAAAGTCCTGATCGTTATTAGAGCATATCAAGCCTGTGCTCTGGTCACAAGTGATTATTTGCCCCAATTCCTCCCATGGGGTATTAGGGAATCTCTCTGCTTTGCAGTCAATTTTTTCCACTGATGAGTCAGGCAGACAGACCTCTCTCCCCGAGTCTATAATCTTTTGGTAGGATTCCTCATCTCCGCCATTTTCTTCATCAGGATATTGATCATCGTACCATTCAGACCAGCCTAAAGCACATTCGTCTGCAAACATATAACATTAATCAGTGATTAAATTCCAACAGATTTTGGCAAATATTTAAACCATATGTATGCATTAAAACAGGTCTCAAGACAATGTTACCACACTCCAATCCTTACCTTGATTGGTGGGTGTTTCATTTGGTTTTGTAGCCTCAATTTGTTGCCGTGTTACTGGAAGAATCCATTCTGCAAAGTAAAAAACGTGAATTATGGTGTGTATAGAATAAAGAAATGCACATCGTTATCACTGACTAGAATATGTCCCAAAATAATGTTTGTTAGGACAGGTAAGTAGTTTACAGTTTCAATTGATTCCAGTGAAGTGGACCCATCCAAATGTTGGGTCTGCAAATTGAAATGGATGGTTGCATCATTTGACCAAATGGCTGGCTTTTTACACCGTTTAAATTTTGTTTAAAACGTTCTAAAGATTGACTCATATGGACGAGTGGAATGGGGAACAATAACTTCAGAAAATTAGTATCTGGAGCACTGTGTTAACATCAGCAATTGGGAAATTAGCCAGGCGTAGTGTGTGTATTAAATAAGTCGATACCTGTACCATGATGTTTATCTACATAGCATGCGTACACGGGCAATGTATTTTACTTGATTTTGTTTACTTTTCAAACGTCCATTATTTAAAGGTGGATTATAACCGATCATGTGATGTCACAAAACGAGTTTAATGTAATTTTAAATGTCTTTTAACTCACCTGTTTCGAATATATTCGTAAGTCAAATATTACAAAAACTACCCAAGCATTATGCTTATATCCCAAACTATATGTTTTAAGTGTTGAGTAAAAACTGTTTTTGATGACAATAAAGATACAATACATCTGATTGGTAGAATGTTTACAAGGTGAAGGTCGGTAATGTTACTGACGTGATATATTTTAACTATAGTAATAGGTTTTTATCCTTTCAACTGGTACAAAAACTGACGCCTTTATACAAGACATCATTTTTGCAATAACCACAACACAAGCAGTCAAAATGCAAACAAAAAGAAACAACTCTGATAATGATAATGATATGCACTGTCCTTGAAGTTGATTGGTCCACACCCGAGACAGCTTTTTTAAAGCCTAGTTTCCATTGGTGTTGGACCAGATGACGCCAAAAGGCGTACATCTCAAAAACAGCGCACTATCAGAGTATTGAGAGCTCGGGGTAAGCATTTACACTGCACTGTTTTGAGTTGTACGCCTTTTAGCGTCATCTGGTCCAACACCAATGGAGACTAGGCTCTAAGAAAAGCTGTCTCGGGTGTGGACCAATCAACTTCAAGGACAGTGCATATCATTATCAGAGTTGTTTATTTTTGTTTGCATTTTGACTGCTTGTGTTGTGGTTATTGCAAACATGATGCCCTGTTTAAAGGTGTCAGTTTATGTACCAGTTGAAAGGATAAAAACCTATTACTATATTTTGCCACTGGTAAAAGTTGACTCATTGTGTAGTATATTTTAACTAGTAGAGAATTGATGTTGTTCATGTTCCAATTGTCATAGTTACCTTCACCTATAGTCGTCTCTTTAGGCACTGGTGGGGACTTTGGTTTCCTTTTCGTTGTTTCCGGAGCAGCTGCTGTTGGTGGATTCTCAGGGGCCCCTTTGGTTGGGGCCTGAGTAATGGGTGGTGGAGGGGGGCCACCTGCTCTGGAGCAGCAGAATCTGACCTTGTAGTTGTAACATGGCAGTCCTCCTTGATCCTCATTTACACATTTCAGTCCTTCATTCCTGTCACAAGTGATTGTCTGGCCCAATTCCTGCCATGGGGTATTAGGGAATCTCTCTGCTTTGCATTCAATGTTTTGCACTGGTGAGTCAGGCAGACAAACCACTTTTCCTGAGGCTATGACCTTCTGGTAAGATTCCTCATCTCCGCCATTTTCTTCATCAGGATATTGCTCATCGTACCAGTCAGACCAGCCTGGAGTACAGTCTTCTGCAAAGATACATTCTTAATCAGTCTTCAAACGATTACGATATATATGTCAACTACTTGTTCTCCAAAGTATTGTTCTTAAAGCTATGAAATCTATAAAAACTGAATGCTCCATTGCTATGAGTGTACAACAAACTTTCTATATCATTATGCACAGGAACTATACAATGAGTCTCTTCATCCTGAATTTAACGTACGTATAGCTTCAGAATGTTGTGGAGGCTAAAAGCTAAATAACAGTTAGCTGTCAACCCCTTCTGTTAGCATCACCTACTTTTACGTAGTTATGCTGCCTTAATCACCATCACTGCCCACATTTAAGAAGTGTCACTCTGAAACAGGCTGACCGACTGCTTGGTAAGTTACTCCTACTCCACTACCAACTCAGCTTAGAGTCCGTAAGTCCCACCCTGTTCCAGTAAAATGAGGCAAGTATGGGACCAGAAGCCTCTAAAGCAGGACAAAATCACACTTTTACAATTCTTCGGGACCCTACGATGGCCTTTTGTAACCGGCAATGTTTTGACCCTACCAGAGCATACGGTGGCTTGAATTGAACATATGATTCCATTAAATATATTATCCATATTTGATTTTGCAACTAATTCCAATATGGTACCTGGGCCTGGAGTTGGAGGTGATGGTTCTGGCTCCTTGATGCCAGAGGTTGGAGGTGGGGGTGTCTTGTCCTTCGGTGCAGTTGGTTCTTGAGGAGGAGCGCCACTCTCTTCTGGAGCTGGCTTTGTTGGCTTTTCCTCAACCGGGGGTTTCGGTGTTACTTTGGAAGAAAAGCCAAGGATTGGTTTTGACAGAATGTACATTGCATTGAGTTGGGAACATGTAAGTACAGCAAAATAAAGAATGTGGTATCCTGCCATCTACAAGGAATAACATGCAATCTATAATACATGTTATGTAGTTGGTCAATCATTCCTGACTTCCAGGGCAAACCTATGTCCTTTCTGAGATCTGAGAAATGTATGCGCATTCTGCGCTATTTGATTGTAAGTATTATATGGTCGGTATAAACATTTATACATTAAAAAAACTTGCAAACGTAACACACCTGGCCCTTCGGGGGATGTCGGTTCTGGCTCCTCTTTGCCGGAGGTTGGAGGTGGGGGTGTCTTGTCCTTCGGTGCAGTTGGTTCTTGAGGAGGAGCGCCACTCTCTTCTGGAGCTGGCTTTGTTGGCTTTTCCTCAACCGGGGGTTTGGGTGTCACTTTGAAAGAAAAGCAAGGGATGAGTATTGACAGAAGGTATATTGCATTTACTGGGGAGCATGTAATTACTGCAAAAGGAAGGAATTTGGTATCCTGCCCTCTGCAGCCTAAAACATGCAGTCTATGACAAATCATACGAATGTGGTCACATTTTCCTACCATCCAGGGCAACCCGATTTTCTTTCTGAGATCTGAAAAATGTATGCACATTCTGCGCTATTTGATCAATAGTATTATACAGCTGGTATAAAGATATATTCATAAATAACTAGCAACATTAACACACCTGAGAAAACAACAAACTGTGCATATCATTACGCAAAGGAAGTATACAATGAGTATCTTCATCCCGAATTAACTGTACGATACGCTTCAGAATGTTGTGGAGGATCAACGCGAAAGCACAGTGAGCTGCAAACCCCTTTTGTTAGCATCACCTACTTTTACGTAGTTATGCTGCCTGAATTACCAGCACTGCCCACATTGTTGGTAGTGTCACTATGAAACAACCTGACCTACTGCTCGGTAAGTTACTTCTATTCCGCTACGAACTCAGCTTAGAGTCCATTAGTCCCACCCTTTTCCAGTAAAATGAGCCAAATGTAGAACCAGAAAACTATAAAGCAGGACAAAATCACACTTTTGCAATCCTTCAGGACCCTCGGAAAGCCTTTTGTAACTGGCAATGACCTCGCCCTACCAGAGCATATGGTTGCTTTCATTGAACATCTGATTGCATTTTATATATTATACATATGTGATTGTGCAACTAACTCCACCATGTTACCTGGGCCTGGACTTGGGGGTGATGGTTCTGGCTCCTTGTTGCTGGAGGTTGGAGGTGCGGGTGTCTTGTCCTTAGATTTAGTTGGTTCTGGAGGAGGAGCGCAAACATTACTAATTGGCTGTGTCCGGTGGTGGCAGAGTTAAAAACTCATTTATATTTACGTGATGTAACCCAGAAAACATCATGGATATGATGACATGTAATATATTATCCATGTGCTTTGCAACTAATTTTACCAATGTACCTGGGCTTCGTGAAGATGGAGTTGGTTCAGGGGGTCCACTTGCTCTGGAGCAGCAGAATCTGACCTTGTAGTTGTAACATGGCAGTCCTCCTTGATCCTCATTTACACATTTCAGTCCTTCATTCTTGTCACAAGTGATTGTCTGGCCCAATTCCTGCCATGGGGTATTAGGGAATCTCTCTGCTTTGCATTCAATGTTTTGCACTGGTGAGTCAGGCAGACAAACCACTTTCCCTGAGGCTATGACCTTCTGGTAAGATTCCTCATCTCCGCCATTTTCTTCATCAGGATATTGCTCATCGTACCAATCAGACCAGCCTGGAGTACAGTCTTCTGCAAAGATACATTTTTAATCAGTCTTCAAACGATTACGATATATATCAACTACTTGTTCTCCAAAGTATTGTTCTTAAAGCTATGAAATCTATAAAAACTGAATGCTCCATTGCTATGAGTGTACAACAAACTTTCTATATCATTATGCACAGGAAGTATACAATGAGTCTCTTCATCCTGAATTTAACGTTACATATAGCTTCAGAATGTTGTGGAGGCTAAAAGCTAAATAACAGTTAACTGTCAACCCCTTCTGTTAGCACCACCTACTTTTACGTAGTTATCCTGCCTTAATCACCATCACTGCCCACATTTAAGAAGTGTCACTCTGAAACAGGCTGACCGACTGCTTGGTAAGTTACTCCTACTCCACTACCAACTCAGCTTAGAGTCCGTTAGTCCCACCCTGTTCCAGTAAAATGAGGCAAGTATGGGACCAGAAGCCGATAAAGTAGGAGAAAATCACACTTTTACAATTCTTCAGGACCCTACGATGGCCTTTTGTAACCGGCAATGTTTTGACCCTACCAGAGCATACGGTGGCTTGAATTGAACATATGATTCCATTTAATATATTATCCATATTTGATTTTGCAACTAATTCCAATATGGTACCTGGGCCTGGAGTTGGGGGTGATGGTTCTGGCTCCTTGATGCCGGAGGTTGGAGATGGGGGTGTCTTGTCCTTCGGTGCAGTTGGTTCTTGAGGAGGAGCGCCACTCTCTTCTGGAGCTGGCTTTGTTGGCTTTTCCTCAACAGGGGGTTTCGATGGCACTTTGAAAGAAAAGCAAAGGATGGATCTTAAGGGAATGCAGATTTCTCAAACATTCTGAGTTGAACCTTGTAAAATGTTGTAAGCAACCTGCAGACAATACTTTAATCTGGATTACGAATAAGTTACTCGACAGTTATACTGAATAATGTACAGCTCTTTGCCAATACACTGCTAAATTAAAGCCTCCCCACGGTGTCTGGGTTGGGGGGGGTTAATTGACAATGCTTCATCGTGCTCTTCAGTGCGGGTTAGTGAACGTGGAATGGAGAGCATGGAAGTACATCACAATAAAGTGGTGTGGCATTCTGCTCTGTGCAGTCCGTATTGTAAATATTCACCCTATGACATGTGTTACACAGATTGTCACCTATCCAAAACCTATCCAGGATCAAATCTTAATTAGTTTCTGAGATCTAACAAATTAAGTGACATTGTTTGATTTGATCCTAAGCAGTAAACTTCCTGTATATATATAATCTAACAAAATGAACACACCTGGCCCTCCTGAGGGTGAGGGTTCTGGCTCCTTGATGCCGGAGGTTGGAGGTGGGAGTGTCTTGTCCTTTGGTGCAGTTGGTTCTTGAGGAGGAGCGCCACTCTCTTCAGGAGCTGGCTTTGTTGGCTTTTCCTCAACAGGGGGTTTCGATGGCACTTTGAAAGAAAAGCAAAGGATGGATCTTAAGAAAATGCAGATTTCTCAAACATTCTGAGTTGAACCTTGTAAAATGTTGTAAGAAACCTGCAGACAATACTTTAATCTGGATTACGAATAAGTTACTGGACAGTTATACTAAATTATGTACAGCTCTTTGCCAATACACTGCTCAATTAAAGCCTCCCCAAGGTGTCTCGGTTGGGGGGGTTATTTGACGATGCTTCATCATGCTCATCAATGCGGGTTAGTGAACGTGGGATGGGGAGCATGGAAGTACAGCATAAAAAAGAGGTGTGGCAATCTGCCCTCTGCAGTCCACATTATAAATATTCAGCCTATGACAATCTGTTATAGGCTGAATATTTACACAGATTGTCACCTATCCAACACCTATCCATTAGCAAGTCTTAATTGTTTTCTGGGATTTAACAAATTAAGTCACATTGTTTAATTTGATCCTAAGCAGTAAACTTCGTGTATATATATAATCTAACAAAATGAACACACCTGGCCCTCCTGAGGGTGAGGGTTCTGGCTCCTTGATGCCGGAGGTTGGAGGTGGGGGTGTCTTGTCCTTCGGTGCAGTTGGTTCTTGAGGAGGAGCGCCACTCTCTTCTGGAGCTGGCTTTGTTGGCTTTTCCTCAACCGGGGGATTGGGTGTCACTTTGAAAGAAAAGCAAGGGATGGGTGTTTTGACGGAAGGTATATTGCATTTACTTGGGAGCATGTAATTACTGCAAAATAAAGGAATTTGTTATCCTGCCCTCTGCAGCCTAAAACATGCAGTCTATGACAAATCATACGAATGTGATCACATTTTCCTACCATCCAGGGCATCCCGATTTTGTTTCTGAGATCTGAGAAATGTATGCACATTCTGCGCTATTTGATCAATAGTATTATATAACTGGTATACAGATATATTAATAAAAAACTAGCAACATTAACACACCTGAGAATACAACAAACTGTGTATATCATCACGCAAAGGAAGTATACAATGAGTATCTTCATCCCGAATTAACTGTATGAAATGCTTCAGAATGTTGTGGAGGATCAACGCTAAAGCACAGTGAGCTGCAAACCCCTTTTATTAGCACCTCCTACTTTTACGAAGTTATGCTGCCTGAATCACCAGCACTGCCCACATTGTTGGTAGTGTCACTATACAACAGCCTGAACTACTGCTCGGTAAGTTACTTCTATTCTGCTACGAACTCAGCTTAGAGTCCGTTAGTCCCACCGTGTTCCAGTAAAATGAGCCAAGTATGGGACCAGAAAACTATAAAGCAGGACAAAATCACACTTTTGCAATCCTTCAGGACCCTCGGAAAACCTTTTGAAACCGGCATTTACCTCGCCCTACCAGAGCATATGGTTGCTTTCATTGTACATATGATTGCATTTTATATATTATCCATATGTGATTGTGCTACTAATTCCACCATGGTACCTGGGCCTGGACTTGGGGGTGATGGTTCTGGCTCCTTGTTGCTGGAGGTTGGAGGTGCGGGTGTCTTGTCCTTAGATTTAGTTGGTTCTGGAGGAGGAGTGCAAACATTACTAATTGGCTGTGTTCGGTGGTGACGGAGTTAAAAACTCATTTATATTTACGTGATGTAACCCAGAAAACATCATGGATATGATGACATGTAATGTATTATCCATGTGCTTTGCAACTAATTTTACCAATGTACCTGGGCTTCGTGAAGATGGAGTTGGTTCAGGGGGTCCACTTGCTCTGGAGCAGCAGAATCTGACCTTGTAGTTGTAACATGGCAGTCCTCCTTGATCCTCACTTACACATTTCAGTCCTTCATTCTTGTCACAAGTGATTGTCTGGCCCAATTCCTGCCATGGGGTATTAGGGAATCTCTCTGCTTTGCATTCAATGTTTTGCACTGGTGAGTCAGGCAGACAAACCACTTTTCCTGAGGCTATGACCTTCTGGTAAGATTCCTCATCTCCGCCATTTTCTTCATCAGGATATTGCTCATCGTACCAGTCAGACCAGCCTGGAGTACAGTCTTCTGCAAAGATACATTCTTAATCAGTCTTCAAACAATTGCTATATATATATGTCAACTCCTTTTTTCTCCATGGTAATGTTCTTAAAGCTATAAAATGTATCAAAACTGAATGCTCCATTGCTATGAGAGTACAAGAAACTTTCTATATCATTATGCACAGGAAGTATACAATAAGTCTCTTCATCCTGATTTAACCATACGTATAGCTCCAGAATGGTGTGGAGGCTCAAAGCTACATAACAGTGAGCTGCCAACCCCTTCTGTTAGCACTTCCTACTTTTACGTAGTTATGCTGCCTTAATCACCATCACTGCCCACATTTAAGAAGTGTCACTCTGAAACAGGCTGACCTACTGCTTGGTAAGTTACTCCTATTCCACTACAAACTCAGCTTAGAGTCCGTTAGTCCCACCCTGTTCCAGTAAAATGAGCCAAGTATGGGACCAGAAGCCTCTGAAGCAGGACAAAATCACACTTTTAAGATTTTTCAGGACCCTACGATAGCCTTTTGTAACCGGCAATGTTTTGACCCTACCAGAGAATACGGTGGCTTGATTGAACATATGATTCCATTTAATATATTATCCATATTTGATTTTGCAACTAATTCCAATATGGTACCTGGGCCTGGAGTTGGGGGTGATGGTTCTGGCTCCTTGATGCCGGAGGTTGGAGGTGGGGGTGTCTTGTCCTTCGGTGCAGTTGGTTCTTGAGGAGGAGCGCCACTCTCTTCAGGAGCTGGCTTGGTTGGCTTTTCCTCAACAGGGGGTTTCGATGTCACTTTTAAAGAAAAGCAAAGGATGGATCTTAAGGAAATGCAGATTTCTCAAACATTCTGAGTTGAACCTTGTAAAATGTTGTAAGCAACCTGCAGACAATACTTTAATCTGGATTACGAATAAGTTACTGGACAGTTATACTAAATAATGTACAGCTCTTTGCCAATACACTGCTAAATTAAAGCCTCCCCACGGTGTCTGGGTTGGGGGGGGTTATTTGACGATACTTCATCATGCTCTTCAGTGCGGGTTAGTGAACGTGGAATGGAGAGCATGGAAGTACATCACAAGTCAGAGGTGTGGCATTCTGCTCTGTGAAGTCCATATTATAAATATTCAGCCTATGACATCTGTTACACAGATTATCGCCTATCCAAAACCTCTCCAAGATCAAGTCTTAATTAGTTTCTGAGATCTAACAAATTAAGTGACATTGTTTGATTTGATCCTAAGCAGTAAACTTCCTGTATATATATAATCTAACAATATGAACACACCTGGCCCTCCTGAGGGTGAGGGTTGTGGCTCCTTGATGCCGGAGGTTGGAGGTGGGGGTGTCTTGTCCTTCGGTGCAGTTGGTTCTTGAGGAGGAGCGCCACTCTCTTCAGGAGCTGGCTTTGTTGGCTTTTCCTCAACCGGAGGTTTGGGTGTCACTTTGAAAGAAAAGCAAGGGATGGGTGTTGACAGAAGGTATATTGCATTTACTTGGGAGCATGTAATTACTGAAAAATAAAGGAATTTGTTATCCTGCCCTCTGCAGCCTAAAACATGCAGTCTATGACAAATCATACGAATGTGGTCACATTTTCCTACCATCCAGGGCATCCCGATTTTGTTTCTTAGATCTGAGAATGTATGCATATTCTGCGCTATTTGATCAATAGTATTATACAACTGGTATAGAGATATATTCATAAAAAACTGGCAACATTAACACACCTGAGAATACAACAAACTGTGTATATCATTACGCAAAGGAAGTATACATTGAGTATCTTCATCCCGAATTAACTGTACGAAACGCTTCAGAATGTTGTGTAGGATCAACGCTAAAGCACAGTGAGCTGCAAACCCCTTTTATTAGCACCTCCTACTTTTACGTAGTTATGCTGCCTGAATCACCAGCACTGCCCACATTGTTGGTAGTGTCACTATACAACAGCCTGAACTACTGCTCGGTAAGTTACTTCTATTCTGCTACGAACTCAGCTTAGAGTCCGTTAGTCCCACCGTGTTCCAGTAAAATGAGCCAAGTATGGGACCAGAAAACTATGAAGCAGGACAAAATCACACTTTTGCAATCCTTCAGGACCCTCGGAAAACCTTTTGAAACCGGCATTTACCTCGCCCTACCAGAGCATATGGTTGCTTTCATTGAACATATGATTGCATTTTATATATTATCCATATGTGATTGTGCTACTAATTCCACCATGGTACCTGGGCCTGGACTTGGGGGTGATGGTTCTGGCTCCTTGTTGCTGGAGGTTGGAGGTGCGGGTGTCTTGTCCTTCGATCCAGTTGGTTCTGGAGGAGGAGCGCATACCTTACTAATTGGCTGTGTCCGGTGGTGGCGGAGTTAAAAACTCATTTATATTTATACGATGTAACCCAGAAAACATAATGGGTATGATGACATGTAATATATTATCCATGTGCTTCGCAACTAATTTTACCAATGTACCTGGGCTTCGTGAAGAAGGAGTTGGTGCAGGGGGTCCACTTGCTCTGGAGCAGCAGAATCTGACCTTGTAGTTGTAACATGGCAGTCCTCCTTGATCCTCACTTACACATTTCAGTCCTTTATTCTTGTCACAAGTGATTGTCTGGCCCAATTCCTGCCATGGGGTATTAGGGAATCTCTCTGCTTTGCATTCAATGTTTTGCACTGGTGAGTCAGGCAGACAAACCACTTTCCCTGAGGCTATGACCTTCTGGTAAGATTCCTCATCTCCGCCATTTTCTTCATCAGGATATTGCTCATCGTACCAATCAGACCAGCCTGGAGTACAGTCTTCTGCAAAGATACATTTTTAATCAGTCTTCAAACGATTACGATATATATCAACTACTTGTTCTCCAAAGTATTGTTCTTAAAGATTTGAAATCTATAAAAACTGAATGCTCCATTGCTATGAGTGTACAACAAACTTTCTATATCATTATGCACAGGAAGTATACAATGAGTCTCTTCATCCTGAATTTAAAGTACGTATAGATTCAGAATGTTGTGGAGGCTAAAACTAAATACCAGTTAGCTGTCAACCTCTTCTGTTAGCACCACCTACTTTTACGTAGTTATGCTGCCTTAATCACCATCACTGCCCACATTTAAGAAGTGTCACTCTGAAACAGGCTGGCCGACTGCTTGGTACGTTACTCCTACTCCACTATCAACTCAGCTTACAGTCCGTTAGTCCCACCCTGTTCCAGTAAAATGAGGCAAGTATGGGACCAGAAGCCTCTAAAGAAGGACAAAATCACACTTTTACAATTCTTCAGGACCCTACGATGGCCTTTTGTAACCGGCAATGATTTGACCCTACCAGAGCATACGGTGGCTTGAATTGAACATATGATTCCATTTAATATATTATCCATATTTGATTTTGAAACTAATTCCAATATGGTACCTGGGCCTGGAGTTGTGGGTGATGGTTCTGGCTCCTTGATGCCGGAGGTTGGAGGTGGGGGTGTCTTGTCCTTCGGTGCAGTTGGTTCTTGAGGAGGAGCGCCACTCTCTTCAGGAGCTGGCTTTGTTGGCTTTTCCTCAACAGGGGGTTTCGATGGCACTTTAAAAGAAAGGCAAAGGATGGATCTTAAGGGAATGCAGATTTCTCAAACATTCTGAGTTGAACCTTGTAAAATGTTGTAAGCAACCTGCAGACAATACTTTAATCTGGATTACGAATAAGTTACTGGACAGTTATACTGAATAATGTACAGCTCTTTGCCAATACACTGCTAAATTAAAGCCTCCCCACTGTGTCTGGGTTGGGGGGGGTTAATTGACAATGCTTCATCGTGCTCTTCAGTGCGGGTTAGTGAACGTGGAATGGAGAGCATGGAAGTACATCACAATAAAGTGGTGTGGCATTCTGCTCTGTGCAGTCCGTATTGTAAATACTCACCCCATGACATGTGTTACACAGATTGTCACCTATCCAAAACCTATCCAGGATCAAATCTTAATTAGTTTCTGAGATCTAACAAATTAAGTGACATTGTTTGATTTGATCCTAAGCAGTAAACTTCCTGTATATATATAATTTAACAAAATGAACACACCTGGCCCTCCTGAGGGTGAGGGTTCTGGCTCCTTGATGCCGGAGGTTGGAGGTGGGAGTGTCTTGTCCTTCGGTGCAGTTGGTTCTTGAGGAGGAGCGCCACTCTCTTCTGGAGCTGGCTTTGTTGGCTTTTCCTCAACAGGGGGTTTCGATGGCACTTTGAAAGAAAAGCAAAGGATGGATCTTAAGAGAATGCAGATTTCTCAAACATTCTGAGTTGAACCTTGTAAAATGTTGTAAGAAACCTGCAGACAATACTTTAATCTGGATTACGAATAAGTTACTGGACAGTTATACTAAATTATGTACAGCTCTTTGCCAATACACTGCTCAATTAAAGCCTCCCCATGGTGTCTGGGTTGGGGGGGTTATTTGACGACGCTTCACCATGCTCATCAGTGCGGGTTAGTGAATGTGGGATGGGGAGCATGGAAGTACAGCATAATAAAGAGGTGTGGCAATCTGCCCTCTGCAGTCCACATTATAAATATTCAGCCTATGACAATCTGTTACACAGATTGTCACCTATCCAAAACCTATCCAGGATCAAGTCTTGATTAGTTTCTGAGATCTAACAAATTAAGTGACATTGTTTGATTTGATCCTAAGCAGTACACTTCCTGTATATATATATAATCTAACAAAATGAACACACCTGGCCCTCCTGAGGGTGAGGGTTCTGGCTCCTTGATGCCGAAGGTTGGAGGTGGGGGTGTCTTGTCCTTCGGTGCAGTTGGTTCTTGAGGAGGACCGCCACTCTCTTCTGGAGCTGGCTTTGTTGGCTTTTCCTCAACCGGAGGTTTGGGTGTCACTTTGAAAGAAAAGCAAGGGATGGGTGTTGACAGAAGGTATATTGCATTTACTTGGGAGCATGTAATTACTGCAAAATAAAGGAATTTGTTATCCTGCCCTCTGCAGCCTAAAACATGCAGTCTATGACAAATCATACGAATGTGGTCACACTTTCCTAACATCCAGGGCATCCCGATTTTGTTTCTGAGATCTGAGAAATGTATGTACATTCTGCGCTATTTGATCAATAGTATTATACAACTGGTATAAAGATATATTCATAAAAAACTGGCAACATTAACACACCTGAGAATACAACAAACTGTGTATATCATTACGCAAAGGAAGTATACAATGAGTATCTTCATCCCGAATTAACTGTACGAAATGCTTCAGAATGTTGTGGAGGATCAACGCTAAAGCACAGTGAGCTGCAAACCCCTTTTATTAGCACCTCCTACTTTTACGAAGTTATGCTGGCTGAATCACCAGCACTGCCCACATTGTTGGTAGTGTCACTATACAACAGCCTGAACTACTGCTCGGTAAGTTACTTCTATTCTGCTACGAACTCAGCTTAGAGTCCGTTAGTCCCACCGTGTTCCAGTAAAATGAGCCAAGTATGGGACCAGAAAACTATAAAGCAGAACAAAATCACACTTTTTCAATTCTTCAGGACCCTCGGAAAACCTTTTGAAATCGGCATTTACCTCGCCCTACCAGAGCATATGGTTGCTTTCATTGAACATATGATTGCATTTTATATATTTTCCATATGTGATTGTGCTACTAATTCCACCATGGTACCTGGGCCTGGACTTGGGGGTGATGGTTCTGGCTCCTTGTTGCTGGAGGTTGGAGGTGCGGGTGTCTTGTCCTTCGATCCAGTTGGTTCTGGAGGAGGAGCGCATACATTACTAATTGGCTGTGTCCGGTGGTGGCGGAGTTAAAAACTCATTTATATTTATACGATGTAACCCAGAAAACATAATGGGTATGATGACATGTAATATATTATCCATGTGCTTCGCAACTAATTTTACCAATGTACCTGGGCTTCGTGAAGATGGAGTTGGTGCAGGGGGTCCACTTGCTCTGGAGCAGCAGAATCTGACCTTGTAGTTGTAACATGGCAGTCCTCCTTGATCCTCACTTACACATTTCAGTCCTTTATTCTTGTCACAAGTGATTGTCTGGCCCAATTCCTGCCATGGGGTATTAGGGAATCTCTCTGCTTTGCATTCAATGTTTTGCACTGGTGAGTCAGGCAGACAAACCACTTTTCCTGAGGCTATGACCTTCTGGTAAGATTCCTCATCTCCGCCATTTTCTTCATCAGGATATTGCTCATCGTACCAGTCAGACCAGCCTGGGGTACAGTCGTCTGCAAAGATACATTTTAATCAGTCTTCAAACGATTACGATATATATGTCAACTACTTGTTCTCCAAAGTATTGTTCTTAAAGCTATGAAATCTATAAAAACTGAATGCTCCATTGCTATGAGTGTACAACAAACTTTCTATATCATTATGCACAGGAAGTATACAATGAGTCTCTTCATCCTAAATTTAACGTACATATAGCTTCAGAATGTTGTGGAAGCTAATAGCTAAATAACAGTTAGCTGTCAACCCCTTCTGTTAGCACCACCTACTTTTACGTAGTTATGTTGCCTTAATCACCATCACTGCCCACATTTAAGAAGTGTCACTCTGAAACAGGCTGACCGACTGCTTGGTAAGTTACTCTTATTTCACTACCAACTCAGCTTAGAGTCCGTTAGTCCCACCCTGTTCCAGTAAAATGAGCCAAGTATGGGGCCAGAAGCTTATAAAGCAGAACAAAATCACACTTTTACAATTGTTCAGGACCCTACGATAGCCTTTTGTAACCGGCAATGTTTTGACCCTACCAGAGCATACGGTGGCTTGAATTGAACATATGATTTCATTTAATATATTATCCATAATTTTTTATTTTGCAACTAATTCCCATATGGTACCTGGGCCTGGAATTGTGGGTGATGGTTCTGGTTCCTTGTTGCTGGAGGTTGGAGGTGGTGGTGTCTTGTCCTTCGGTGCAGTTGGTTCTTGAGGAGGAGCACCACTCTCTTCAGGAGCTGGCTTTGTTGGCTTTTCCTCAACAGGGGGTTTCGATGGCACTTTGAAAGAAAAGCACAGGATGGATATTAAGCGAATGCAGATTTCTCAAACATTCTGAGTTGAACCTTGTAAAATGTTGTAAGCAACCTGCAGACAATACTTTAATCTGGATTACGAATAAGTTTCTGGGCAGTTATAGTAAATTATGTACAGCTCTTTGCCAACACACTGCTCAATTAAAGCCTCCCCATGGTGTCTGGGTTGGGGGGGTTATTTGACGATGCTTCATCATGCTCTTCAGTGCGGGTTAGTGAACGTGGAATGGAGAGCATGGAAGTACATCACATGATAGAGGTGTGGCATTTTGCTCTGTGAAGTCAATATAAATATTCAGCCTATGACATCTGTTACACATATTATCACCTATCCAAAACCTATCCAGCATCAAGTCTTAATTAGTTTCTGAGATCTAACAAATTAAGTGACATTGTTTGATTTGATCCTAAGCAGTAAACTTCCTGTATATATATAATCTAACAAAATGAACACACCTGGCCCTCCTGAGGGTGAGGGTTCTGGCTCCTTTGATGCCGGAGGTTGGAGGTGGGGGTGTCTTGTCCTTCGGTGCAGTTGGTTCTTGAGGAGGAGCGCCACTCTCTTCTGGAGCTGGCTTTGTTGGCTTTTCCTCAACCGGGGGTTTGGGTGTCACTTTGAAAGAAAAGCAAGGGATGGGTGTTGACAGAAGGTATATTGCATTTACTTGGGAGCATGTAATTACTGCAAAATAAAGGAATTTGTTATCCTGCCCTCTGCAGCCTAAAACATGCAGTCTATGACAAATCATACGAATGTGATCACATTTTCCTTCCATCCAGGGCATCCCGATTTTGTTTCTGAGATCTGAGAAATGTATGCACATTCTGCGCTATTTGATCAATAGTATTATACAACTGGTATAAAGATATATTCATAAAAAACTGGCAACATTAACACATCTGAGAATACAACAAACTGTGTATATCATTACGCAAAGGAAGTATACAATGAGTATCTTCATCCCGAATTAACTGTACGAAATGCTTCAGAATGTTGTGGATGATCAACGCTAAATAACAGTGAGCTGCAAACCCCTTTTGTTAGCACCACCTACTTTTACGTAGTTATGCTGCCTGAATCACCAGCACTGCCCACATTGTTGGTAGTGTCACTATGAAACAGCCTGACCTACTGCTCGGTAAGTTACTTCTATTCCGCTACGAACTCAGCTTAGAGTCCGTTAGTCCCACCGTGTTCCAGTAAAATGAGCCAAGTATGGGACCAGAAAACTATAAAGCAGGACAAAATCTCACTTTTGCAATCCTTCAGGACCCTCGGAAAGCCTTTTGAAACCGGCATTTACCTCGCCCTACCAGAGCATAAGGTTGCTTTCATTGAACATATGATTGCATTTTATATATTTTCCATATGTGATTGTGCTACTAATTCCACCATGGTACCTGGGCCTGGACTTGGGGGTGATGGTTCTGGCTCCTTGTTGCTGGAGGTTGGAGGTGCGGGTGTCTTGTCCTTCGATCCAGTTGGTTCTGGAGGAGGAGCGCATACATTACTAATTGGCTGTGTCCGGTGGTGGCGGAGTTAAAAACTCATTTATATTTATACGATGTAACCCAGAAAACATAATGGGTATGATGACATGTAATATATTATCCATGTGCTTTGCAACTAATTTTATCAATGTACCTGGGCTTCGTGAAGAAGGAGTTGGTGCAGGGGGTCCACTAGCTCTGGAGCAGCAGAATCTGACCTTGTAGTTGTAACATGGCAGTCCTCCTTGATCCTCACTTACACATTTCAGTCCTTTATTCTTGTCACAAGTGATTGTCTGGCCCAATTCCTGCCATGGGGTATTAGGGAATCTCTCTGCTTTGCATTCAATGTTTTGCACTGGTGAGTCAGGCAGACAAACCACTTTCCCTGAGGCTATGACCTTCTGGTAAGATTCCTCATCTCCGCCATTTTCTTCATCAGGATATTGCTCATCGTACCAATCAGACCAGCCTGGAGTACAGTCTTCTGCAAAGATACATTTTTAATCAGTCTTCAAACGATTACGATATATATCAACTACTTGTTCTCCAAAGTAGTGTTCTTAAAGCTATGAAATCTATAAAAACTGAATGCTCCATTGCTATGAGTGTACAACAAACTTTCTATATCATTATGCACAGGAAGTATACAATGAGTCTCTTCATCCTGAATTTAACGTACGTATAGCTTCAGAATGTTGTGGAGGCTAAAAGCTAAAACAGGTCCCTGCGGGGTGGGCTGGTAGGAACGAACAAATGAATGGCTATAACAAAATGAAATGGCGGGGGTACTATACGAAGGGAGAGTTTGAGACCTAGTTCTAGGCTTTAGGCCTAGCTGTAGGCTTTAGGCCGCTGTGAGTTAATTTTGAATTTAAATGTTTTAATTAAAAACGATCTCAGGGAATTATAAGGGAATGTTACACTTGTTTAGGCAGGAAAGCCTCACTGAGTCTAAAGGTTTTTTAATTAAAAGCTATCTCATGGAATTATAAGGGAATGTTACACTTGTTTTGCCAGGAAAGCGTCACTGAGTCTAAAGGTTTTTGTAGGGTTCTGCCAAGTGTTTGCAGTAGGGGGCGATGTTGCTACACCTAATCGGACATCGGACGGACGGACGGACGATATAATCTATTGTAGGCTGGTTTCCCTTCGTTCCTACCAGTATAACAGTTAGCTGTCAACCCCTTCTGTTAGCACCACCTACTTTTACGTAGTTATGCTGCCTTAATCACCATCACTGCCCACATTTAAGAAGTGTCACTCTGAAACAGGCTGACCGACTGCTTGGTAAGTTACTCCTACTCCACTACCAACTCAGCTTAGAGTCCGTTAGTCCCACCCTGTTCCAGTAAAATGAGCCAAGTATGGGGCCAGAAGCCTATAAAGTAGGACAAAATCACACTTTTACAATTCTTCAGAACCCTACGATGGCCTTTTGTAACCGGCAATGTTTTGACCCTACCAGAGCATACGGTGGCTTGATTTGAACATATGATTCCATTTAATATATTATCCATATTTGATTTTGCAACTAATTCCAATATGGTACCTGGGCCTGGAGTTGGGGGTGATGGTTCTGGCTCCTTGTTGCCGGAGGTTGGAGGTGGGGGTGTCTTGTCCTTCGGTGCAGTTGGTTCTTGAGGAGGAGCGCCACTCTCTTCAGGAGCTGTCTTTGTTGGCTTTTCCTCAACAGGGGGTTTCGATGGCACTTTGAAAGAAAAGCAAAGGATGGATCTTAAGGGAATGCAGATGTCTCAAACATTCTGAGTTGAACCTTGTAAAATGTTGTAAGCAACATGCAGACAATACTTTAATCTGGATTACGAATAAGTTACTGGACAGTTATACTAAATAATGTACAGCTCTTTGCCAATACACTGCTCAATTAAAGCCTACCCACGGTGTCTGGGTTGGGGGGGGGTTATTTGACGATGCTTCATCATGCTCTTCAGTGCGGGTTAGTGAACGTGGAATGGAGAGCATGGAATTACATCACAAGAAAGAGCTGTGGCATTCTGCTCTGTGCAGTCCGTATTGTAAATATTCACCCTATGACATCTGTTACACAGATTGTCACCTATCCAAAACCTATCCAGGATAAAGTCTTAATTAGTTTCTGAGATCTAACAAATGAAGTGACATTATTTGATTTGATCCTGGCAGTAAACTTCCTGTATATATATCATCTAACAAAATGAACACACCTGGCCCTCCTGAGGGTGAGGGTTCTGGCTCCTTGATGCCGGAGGTTGGAGGTGGGGGTGTCTTGTCCTTCGGTGCAGTTGGTTCTTGAGGAGGAGCGCCACTCTCTTCTGGAGCTGGCTTTGTTGGCTTTTCCTCAACAGGGGGTTTCGATGGCACTTTGAAAGAAAAGCAAAGGATGGATCTTAGGGGAATATAGATTTCTTAAACAATCTTAGTTGAACCTTGTAAAATGTTGTAAGCAACCTGCAGACAATACTTTAATCTGGAATACGAATACGTTACTGGACAGTTATACTAAATAATGTACAGCTCTTTGCCAATACACTGCTCAATTAAAGCCTCCCCATGGTGTCTGGGTTGGGGAGATTATTTGACGATGCTTCATCATGCTCATCAGTTTGGGTTAGTGAACGTGGGATGGGGAGCATGGAAGAACAGCATAATAAAGAGGTGTGGCAATCTGCCCTCTGCAGTCCACATTATAAATATTCAGCCTATGACAATCTGTTACACAGATTATCACCTATCCAAAACCTATCCAGGATCAAGTCTTAATTAGTTTCTGAGATCTAACAAATTAAGTGAAATTGTTTGATTTGATCCTGAACAGTACACTTCCTGTATATATATAATCTAACAAAATGAACACACCTGGCCCTCCTGAGGGTGAGGGTTCTGGCTCCTTGATGCCCGAGGTTGGAGGTGGGGGTGTCTTGTCCTTCGGTGCAGTTGGTTCTTGAGGAGGAGCGCCACTCTCTTCCGGAGCTGGCTTTGTTGGCTTTTCCTCAACAAGGGGATTCGTTGGCACTTTGAAAGAAAAGCAAGGGATGGGTGTTGACAGAAGGTATATTGCATTTACTTGGGAGCATGTAATTACTGCAAAATAAAGGAATTTGTTATCCTGCCCTCTGCAGCCTAAAACATGCAGTCTATGACAAATCATACGAATGTGGTCACATATTCCTACCATCCAGGGCATCCCGATTTTGTTTCTGAGATCTGAGAAATGTATGCACATTCTGCGCTATTTGATCAATAGTATTATACAACTGGTATAGAGATATATTCATAAAAAACTGGCAACATTAACACACCTGAGAATACAACAAACTGTGTATATCATTACGCAAAGGAAGTATACATTGAGTATCTTCATCCCGAATTAACTGTACGAAACGCTTCAGAATGTTGTGGAGGATCAACGCTAAAGCACAGTGAGCTGCAAACCCCTTTTATTAGCACCTCCTACTTTTACGTAGTTATGCTGCCTGAATCACCAGCACTGCCCACATTGTTGGTAGTGTCACTATACAACAGCCTGAACTACTGCTCGGTAAGTTACTTCTATTCTGCTACGAACTCAGCTTAGAGTCCGTTAGTCCCACCGTGTTCCAGTAAAATGAGCCAAGTATGGGACCAGAAAACTATAAAGCAGGACAAAATCACACTTTTGCAATCCTTCAGGACCCTCGGAAAGCCTTTTGAAACCGGCATTTACCTCGCCCTACCAGAGAATATGGTTGCTTTCATTGAACATACGATTGCATTTTATATATTATCCATATGTGATTGTGCAACTAATTCCACCATGTTACCTGGGCCTGGACTTGGGGGTGATGGTTCTGGCTCCTTGTTGCTGGAGGTTGGAGGTGCGGGTGTATTGTCCTTCGATCCAGTTGGTTCTGGAGGAGGAGCGCATACCTTACTAATTGGCTGTGTCCGGTGGTGGCGGAGTTAAAAACTCATTTATATTTATACGATGTAACCCAGAAAACATAATGGGTATGATGACATGTAATATATTATCCATGTGCTTCGCAACTAATTTTACCAATGTACCTGGGCTTCGTGAAGATGGAGTTGGTGCAGGGGGTCCACTTGCTCTGGAGCAGCAGAATCTGACCTTGTAGTTATAACATGGCAGTCCTCCTTGATCCTCACTTACACATTTCAGTCCTTTATTCTTGTCACAAGTGATTGTCTGGCCCAATTCCTGCCATGGGGTATTAGGGAATCTCTCTGCTTTGCATTCAATGTTTTGCACTGGTGAGTCAGGCAGACAAACCACTTTCCCTGAGGCTATGACCTTCTGGTAAGATTCCTCATCTCCGCCATTTTCTTCATCAGGATATTGCTCATCGTACCAGTCAGACCAGCCTGGAGTACAGTCTTCTGCAAAGATACATTTTAATCAGTCTTCAAACGATTACGATATATATGTCAACTACTTGTTCTCTAAAGTATTGTTCTTAAAGCTATGACATCTATAAAAACTGAATGCTCCATTGCTATGAGTGTACAACAAACTTTCTATATCATTATGCACAGGAAGTATACAATGAGTCTCTTCATCCTAAATTTAACGTACATATAGCTTCAGAATGTTGTGGAAGCTAAAAGCTAAATAACAATTAGCTGTCAACCCCTTCTGTTAGCACCACCTACTTTTACGTAGTTATGTTGCCTTAATCACCATCACTGCCCACATTTAAGGAGTGTCACTCTGAAACAGGCTGACCAACTGCTTGGTAAGTTACTCTTATTTCACTACCAACTCAGCTTAGAGTCCGTTAGTCCCACCCTGTTCCAGTAAAATGAGCCAAGTATGGGGCCAGAAGCTTATAAAGCAGAACAAAATCACACTTTTACAATTGTTCAGGACCCTACGATAGCCTTTTGTAACCGGCAATGTTTTGACCCTACCAGAGCATACGGTGGCTTGAATTGAACATATGATTTCATTTAAAATATTATCCATAATTTTTAATTTTGCAACTAATTCCCATATGGTACCTGGGCCTGGAGTTGTGGGTGATGGTTCTGGTTCCTTGTTGCTGGAGGTTGGAGGTGGTGGTGTCTTGTCCTTCGGTGCAGTTGGTTCTTGAGGAGGAGCGCCACTCTCTTCAGGAGCTGGCTTTGTTGGCTTTTCCTCAACAGGGGGATTCGATGGCACTTTGAAAGAAAAGCACAGGATGGATCTTAAGCGAATGCAGATTTCTCAAACATTCTGAGTTGAACCTTGTAAAATGTTGTAAGCAACCTGCAGACAATACTTTAATCTGGATTACGAATAAGTTACTGGGCAGTTATAGTAAATTATGTACAGCTCTTTGCCAACACACTGCTCAATTAAAGCCTCCCCATGGTGTCTGGGTTGGGGGGGTTATTTGACGATGCTTCATCATGCTCTTCAGTGCGGGTTAGTGAGCGTGGAATGGAGAGCATTGAAGTACATCACAAGATAGAGGTGTGGCATTTTGCTCTGTGAAGTCAATATTATAAATATTCAGCCTATGACATCTGTTATACAGATTATCACCTATCCAAAACCTATCCAGCATCAAGTCTTAATTAGTTTCTGAAATCTAACAAATTAAGTGACATTGTTTGATTTGATCCTAAGCAGTAAACTTCCTGTATATATATATATAATCTAACAAAATGAACACACCTGGCCCTCCTGAGGGTGAGGGTTCTGGCTCCTTGATGCCGGAGGTTGGAGGTGGGGGTGTCTTGTCCTTCGGTGCAGTTGGTTCTTGAGGAGGAGCGCCACTCTCTTCTGGAGCTGGCTTTGTTGGCTTTTCCTCAACCGGGGGTTTGGGTGTCACTTTGAAAGAAAAGCAAGGGATGGGTGTTGACAGAAGGTATATTGCATTTACTTGGGAGCATGTAATTACTGCAAAATAAAGGAATTTGTTATCCTGCCCTCTGCAGCCTAAAACATGCAGTCTTTGACAAATCATACGAATGTGATCACATTTTCCTTCCATCCAGGGCATCCCGATTTTGTTTCTGAGATCTGAGAAATGTATGCACATTCTGCGCTATTTGATCAATAGTATTATACAACTGGTATAAAGATATATTCATAAAAAACTGGCAACATTAACACATCTGAGAATACAACAAACTGTGTATATCATTACGCAAAGGAAGTATACAATGAGTATCTTCATCCCGAATTAACTGTACGAAACGCTTCAGAATGTTGTGGAGGATCAACGCTAAAGCACAGTGAGCTGCAAACCCCTTTAATTAGCACCTCCTACTTTTACATAGTTATGCTGCCTGAATCACCAGCACTGCCCACATTGTTGGTAGTGTCACTATACAACAGCCTGAACTACTGCTCGGTAAGTTACTTCTATTCTGCTACGAACTCAGCTTAGAGTCCGTTAGTCCCACCGTGTTCCAGTAAAATGAGCCAAGTATGGGACCAGAAAACTATAAAGCAGGACAAAATCACACTTTTGCAATCCTTCAGGACCCTCGGAAAGCCTTTTGAAACCGGCATTTACCTCGCCCTACCAGAGCATATGGTTGCTTTCATTGAACATATGATTGCATTTTATATATTATCCATATGTGATTGTGCAACTAATTCCACCATGGTACCTGGGCCTGGACTTGGGGGTGATGGTTCTGGCTCCTTGTTGCTGGAGGTTGGAGGTGCGGGTGTCTTGTCCTTCGATCCAGTTGGTTCTGGAGGAGGAGCGCATACCTTACTAATTGGCTGTGTCCGGTGGTGGCGGAGTTAAAAACTCATTTATATTTATACGATGTAACCCAGAAAACATAATGGGTATGATGACATGTAATATATTATCCATGTGCTTCGCAACTAATTTTACCAATGTACCTGGGCTTCGTGAAGATGGAGTTGGTGCAGGGGGTCCACTTGCTCTGGAGCAGCAGAATCTGACCTTGTAGTTGTAACATGGTAGTCCTCCTTGATCCTCACTTACACATTTCAGTCCTTTATTCTTGTCACAAGTGATTGTCTGGCCCAATTCCTGCCATGGGGTATTAGGGAATCTCTCTGCTTTGCATTCAATGTTTTGCACTGGTGAGTCAGGCAGACAAACCACTTTCCCTGAGGCTATGACCTTCTGGTAAGATTCCTCATCTCCGCCATTTTCTTCATCAGGATATTGCTCATCGTACCAATCAGACCAGCCTGGAGTACAGTCTTCTGCAAAGAAACATTTTTAATCAGTCTTCAAACGATTACGATATATATCAACTACTTGTTCTCCAAAGTATTGTTCTTAAAGCTATGAAATCTATAAAAACTGAATGCTCCATTGCTATGAGTGTACAACAAACTTTCTATATCATTATGCACAGGAAGTATACAATGAGTCTCTTCATCCTGAATTTAACGTACGTATAGCTTCAGAATGTTGTGGAGGCTAAAAGCTAAAACAGGTCCCTGCGGGGTGGGCTGGTAGGAACGAACAAATGAATGGCTCTAATAAAATGAAATGGCGGGGGTACGATACGAAGGGAGAGTTTGAGGCCTAGTTCTAGGCTTTAGGCCTAGCTGTAGGCTTTAGGCTGCTGTGAGTTAATTTTGAATTTAAATGTTTTAATTAAAAACTATCTCAGGGAATTATAAGGGAATGTTACACTTGTTTTGCCAGGAAAGCCTCACTGAGTCTAAAGGTTTTTTAATTAAAAGCTATCTCAGGGAATTATAAGGGAATGTTACACTTGTTTTGCCAGGAAAGCGTCACTGAGTCTTAAGGTTTTTGTAGGGTCCTGCCAAGTGTTTGCAGTAGGGGGCGATGTTGCTACACCTAATCGGACATCGGACGGACGGACGATATAATCTATTGTAGGCTGGTTCACTTCGTTCCTACCAGTATAACAGTTAGCTGTCAACCCCTTCTGTTAGCACCACCTACTTTTACGTAGTTATGTTGCCTTAATCACCATCACTGCCCACATTTAAGAAGTGTCACTCTGAAACAGGCTGACCAACTGCTTGGTAAGTTACTCCTACTCCACTACCAACTCAGCTTAGAGTTCGTTAGTCCCACCCTGTTCCAGTAAAATGAGGCAAGTATGGGACCAGAAGCCTATAAAGTAGGACAAAATCACACTTTTACAATTCTTCAGGACCCTATGATGGCCTTTTGTAACCGGCAATGTTTTGACCCTACCAGAGCATACGGTGGCTTGATTTGAACATATGATTCCATTTAATATATTATCCATATTTGATTTTGCAACTAATTCCAATATGGTACCTGGGCCTGGAGTTGGGGGTGATGATTCTGGCTCGTTGATGCCGGAGGTTGGAGGTGGGGGTGTCTTGTCCTTCGGTGCAGTTGGTTCTTGAGGAGGAGCGCCACTCTCTTCAGGAGCTGGCTTTGTTGGCTTTTCCTCAACAGGGGGTTTCGATGGCACTTTGAAAGAAAAGCAAAGGATGGATCTTAAGGGAATGCAGATTTCTCAAACATTCTGAGTTGAACCTTGTAAAATGTTGTCAGAAACCTGCAGACAATACTTTAATCTGGATTACGAATAAGTTACTGGACAGTTATACTAAATAATGTACAGCTCTTTGCCAATACACTGCTCAATTAAAGCCTCCCCATGGTGTCTGGGTTGGGGGGGGGGGTTATTTGACGATGCTTCATCATGTTCTTCATTGCGGGTTAGTGAACGTGGAATGGAGAGCATGGAAGTACATCACAATAGAGGGCTGTGGCATTGTGCTCTGTGAAGTCCATATTATAAATATTCAGCCTATGACATCTGTTACACAGATTATCACCTATCCAAAACCTATCCAGGATCAAGTCTTAATTAGTTTCTGAGATCTAACAAATTAAGTCACTTTGTTTGATTTGATCCTAAGCTGTATACTTCCTGTATATATATATAATCTAACAAAATGAACACACCTGGCCCTTCTGAAGGTGAGGGTTCTGGTTCATTGTTGCCGGAGGTTGGAGGTGGGGGTGTCTTGTCCTTCGGTGCAGTTGGTTCTTGAGGAGGAGCGCCACTCTCTTCAGGAGCTGGCTTTGTTGGCTTTTCTTCTACAGGGGGTTTCGTTGGCACTTTGAAAGAAAAGCAAAGGATGGATCTTAAGGGAATGCAGATTTCTCAAACATTCTGAGAAGAACCTTGTAAAATGTTGTAAGCAACCTGCAGACAATACTTTAATCTGGATTACGAATAAGTTACTGGACAGTTATACTAAATAATGTACAGCTCTTTGCCAATACACTGCTCAATTAAAGCCTCCCCACGGTGTCTGGGTTTGGGGGGTTATTTGACGATGCTTCATCATGCTTTTCAGTGCGGGTTAGTGAACGTGAAATGGAGAGCATGGAAGTACATCACAATAAAGGACTGTGGCATTCTGCTCTGTGAAGTCCATATTATAAATATTCAGCCTATGACATCTGTTACACAGATTATCACCTATCCAAAACCTATCCAGGATCAAGTCTTAATTAGTTTCTGAGATCTAACAAATTAAGTGACATTGTTTGATTTGATCCTAAGCAGTAAACTTCCTGTATATATATATATATAATCTAACAAAATGAACACACCTGGCCCTCCTGAGGGTGAGGGTTCTGGCTCCTTGATGCCGGAAGTTGGAGGTGGGGGGGTCTTGTCCTTCGGTGCAGTTGGTTCTTGAGGAGGAGCGCCACTCTCTTCAGGAGCTGGCTTTGTTGGCTTTTCCTCAACAGGGGGTTTCGATGGCACTTTGAAAGAAAAGCAAAGGATGGATCTTAAGGGAATGCAGATTTCTCAAACATTCTGAGTTGAACCTTGTAAAATGTTGTAAGCAACCCGCAGACAATACTTTAATCTGGATTACGAATACGTTACTGGACAGTTATACTAAATAATGTACAGCTCTTTGCCATTAGACTGCTCAATTAAAGCCTCCCCATGGTGTCTGGGTTGGGGGGGTTATTTGACGATGCTTCATCATGCTCTTCAGTGCGGGTTAGTGAGCGTGGAATGGAGAGCATGGGAGTACATCACAATAAAGGACTGTGGCATTCTGCTCTGTGAAGTCCATATTATAAATATTCAGCCTATGACATCTGTTACACAGATTATCACCTATCCAAAACCTATCCAGGATAAAGTCTTAATTAGTTTCTGAGATCTAACAAATTAAGTGACATTGTTTGATTTGATCCTAAGCAGTAAACTTCCTTATATAGTCTAACAAAATGAACACACCTGGCCCTCCTGAGGGTGAGGGTTCTGGCTCCTTGATGCCGGAGGTTGGAGGTGGGGGTGTCTTGTCCTTCGGTGCAGTTGGTTCTTGAGGAGGAGCGCCACTCTCTTCAGGAGCTGGCTTTGTTGACTTTTCTTCTACAGGGGGTTTCGTTGGCACTTTGAAAGAAAAGCAAAGGATGGATCTTAAGGGAATGCAGATTTCTCAAACATTCTGAGTTGAACCTTGTAAAATGTTGTAAGCAACCTGCAGACAATACTTTAATCTGGATTACGAATACGTTACTGGACAATTATACTAAATAATGTACAGCTCTTTGCCAATACACTGCTCAATTAAAGCCTCCCCATGGTGTCTGGGTTGGGGGGGGGGTTATTTGACGATGCTTCATCATGTTCTTCAGTGCGGGTTAGTGAACGTGGAATGGAGAGCATGGAAGTACATTACAATAGAGGGCTGTGGCATTCTGCTCTGTGAAGTCCATATTATAAATATTCAGCCTATGACATCTGTTACACAGATTATCACCTATCCAAAACCTATCCAGGATCAAGTCTTAATTAGTTTCTGAGATCTAACAAATTAAGACACTTTGTTTGATTTGATCCTAAGCTGTATACTTCCTGTATATATATATATAATCTTACAACATGAACACACCTGGCCCTTCTGAAGGTGAGGGTTCTGGTTCATTGATGCCGGAGGTTGGAGGTGGGGGTGTCTTGTCCTTCGGTGCAGTTGGTTCTTGAGGAGGAGCGCCACTCTCTTCAGGAGCTGGCTTTGTTGGCTTTTCCTCAACAGGGGGTTTCGTTGGCACTTTAAAAGAAAAGCAAAGGATGGATGTTAAGGGAATGCAGATTTCTCAAGCATTTTCAGTTGAATCTTGTAAAATGTTGTAAGCAAACTTGAGACAATACTTTAATCTGGATAACGAATACGTTACTGGACAATTATACTAAATAATGTACAGCTCTTTGCCAATACACTGCTCAATTAAAGCCTCCCCATGGTGTCTGGGTTGAGGGGGTTATTTGACGATGCTTCATCATGCTCTTCAGTGCGGGTTAGTGAACGTGGAATGGAGAGCATGGGAGTACATCACAATAAAGGACTGTGGCATTCTGCTCTGTGAAGTCCATATTATAAATATTCACCCTATGACATCTGTTACACAGATTGTCACCTATCCAAAACCTATCCAGGATAAAGTCTTAATTAGTTTCTGAGATCTAACAAATTAAGTTACATTGTTTGGTTTGATCCTAAGCAGTAAACTTCCTGTACATATATATAATCTAACAAAATGAACACACCTGGCCCTCCTGAGGGTGAGGGTTCTGGCTCCTTGATGCCGGAAGTTGGAGGTGGGGGGGTCTTGTCCTTTGGTGCAGTTGGTTCTTGAGGAGGAGCGCCACTCTCTTCAGGAGCTGGCTTTGTTGGCTTTTCCTCAACAGGGGGTTTCGTTGGCACTTTAAAAGAAAAGCAAAGGATGGATGTTAAGGGAATGCAGATTTCTCAAGCATTTTCAGTTGAATCTTGTAAAATGTTGTAAGCAAACTTGAGACAATACTTTAATCTGGATAACGAATACGTTACTGGACAATTATACTAAATAATGTACAGCTCTTTGCCAATACACTGCTCAATTAAAGCCTCCCCATGGTGTCTGGGTTGGGGGGGTTATTTGACGATGCTTCATCATGCTCTTCAGTGCGGGTTAGTGAACGTGGAATGGAGAGCATGGGAGTACATCATAATAAAGGACTGTGGCATTCTGCTCTGTGAAGTCCATATTATAAATATTCACCCTATGACATCTGTTACACAGATTATCACCTATCCAAAACCTATCCAGGATCAAGTCTTAATTAGTTTCTGAGATCTAACAAATTAAGTGACATTGTTTGGTTTGATCCTAAGCAGTAATCTACCTGTATATATATAATCTAACAAAATGAACACACCTGGCCCTCCTGAGGGTGAGGGTTCTGGCTCGTTGACGCCGGAGGTTGGAGGTGGGGGTGTCTTGTCCTTCGGTGCAGTTGGTTCTTGAGGAGGAGCGCCACTCTCTTCTGGAGCTGGCTTTGTTGGCTTTTCCTCAACAGGGGGTTTCGATGGCACTTTGAAAGAAAAGCAAAGGATGGATCTTAAGGGAATGCAGATTTCTCAAACATTCTGAGTTGAACCTTGTAAAATGTTGTAAGCAACCTGCAGACAATACTTTAATCTGGATTACGAATAAGTTACTGGACAGTTATACTAAATAATGTACGGCTCTTTTCCAATACACTGCTCAATAAAAGCCTCCCCACGGTGTCTGGGTTGGGGGGGTTATTTGACGATGCTTCATCATGCTCTTCAGTGCGGGTTAGTGAACGTGGAATGGAGAGCATGGAAGTACATCACAATAAAGTTACGTGGCATTCTGCTCTGTGAAGTCCATATTATAAATATTCAGCCTATGACATCTGTTACACAGATTATCACCTATCCAAAACCAATCCAGGATCAAGTTTAATTAGTTTCTGAGATCTAACAAATTAAGTGACGTTGTTTGGTTTGATCCTAAGCAGTAAACTTCCTGTATATATATATAATCTAACAAAATGAACACACCTGGCCCTCCTGAGGGTGAGGGTTCTGGCTCCTTGATGCCGGAGGTTGGAGGTGGGGGTGTCTTGTCCTTCGGTGCAGTTGGTTCTTGAGGAGGAGCGCCACTCTCTTCAGGAGCTGGCTTTGTTGGCTTTTCTTCGACAGGGGGTTTCGTTGGCACTTTGAAAGAAAAGCAAAGGATGGATCTTAAGGGAATGCAGATTTCTCAAACATTCTGAGTTGAACCTTGTAAAATGTTGTAAGCAACCTGCAGACAATACTTTAATCTGGATTACGAATACGTTACTGGACAATTATACTAAATAATGTACAGCTCTTTGCCAATGCACTGCTCAATTAAAGCCTCCCCATGGTGTCTGGGTTGGGGGGGGGGGTTATTTGACGATGCTTCATCATGTTCTTCAGTGCGGGTTAGTGAACGTGGAATGGAGAGCATGGGAGTACATTACAATAGAGGGCTGTGGCATTGTGCTCTGTGAAGTCCATATTATAAATATTCAGCCTATGACATCTGTTACACAGATTATCACCTATCCAAAACCTATCCAGGATCAAGTCTTAATTAGTTTCTGAGATCTAACAAATTAAGACACTTTGTTTGATTTGATCCTAAGCTGTATACTTCCTGTATATATATATAAAATCTTACAACATGAACACACCTGGCCCTTCTGAAGGTGAGGGTTCTGGTTCATTGATGCCGGAGGTTGGAGGTGGGGGTGTCTTGTCCTTCGGTGCAGTTGGTTCTTGAGGAGGAGCGCCACTCTCTTCAGGAGCTGGCTTTGTTGGCTTTTCCTCAACAGGGGGTTTCGTTGGCACTTTAAAAGAAAAGCAAAGGATGGATGTTAAGGGAATGCAGATTTCTCAAGCATTTTCAGTTGAATCTTGTAAAATGTTGTAAGCAAACTTGAGACAATACTTTAATCTGGATAACGAATACGTTACTGGACAATTATACTAAATAATGTACAGCTCTTTGCCAATACACTGCTCAATTAAAGCCTCCCCATGGTGTCTGGGTTGGGGGGGGTTATTTGACGATACTTCATCATGCTCTTCAGTGCGGGTTAGTGAACGTGGAATGGAGAGCATGGAAGTACATCACAATAAGAGGCTGTGGCATTCTGCTCTGTGAAGTCCATATTATAAATATTCAGCCTATGACATCTGTTACACAGATTATCACCTATCCAAAACCTATCCAGGATCAAGTCTTAATTAGTTTCTGAGATCTAACAAATTAAGTGACACTTGTTTGATTTGATCCTAAGCAGTATACTTCCTGTATATATATATAAATCTACAAAATGAACACACCTGGCCCTTCTGAAGGTGAGGGTTCTGGCTCATTGATGCCGGAGGTTGGAGGTGGGGGTGTCTTGTCCTTCGGTGCAGTTGGTTCTTGAGGAGGAGCGCCACTCTCTTCAGGAGCTGGCTTTGTTGGCTTTTCCTCAACAGGGGGTTTCGTTGGCACTTTAAAAGAAAAGCAAAGGATGGATGTTAAGGGAATGCAGATTTCTCAAGCATTTTCAGTTGAATCTTGTAAAATGTTGTAAGCAAACTTGAGACAATACTTTAATCTGGATAACGAATACGTTACTGGACAATTATACTAAATAATGTACAGCTCTTTGCCAATACACTGCTCAATTAAAGCCTCCCCATGGTGTCTGGGTTGAGGGGGTTATTTGACGATGCTTCATCATGCTCTTCAGTGCGGGTTAGTGAACGTGGAATGGAGAGCATGGGAGTACATCACAATAAAGGACTGTGGCATTCTGCTCTGTGAAGTCCATATTATAAATATTCACCCTATGACATCTGTTACACAGATTGTCACCTATCCAAAACCTATCCAGGATAAAGTCTTAATTAGTTTCTGAGATCTAACAAATTAAGTTACATTGTTTGGTTTGATCCTAAGCAGTAACTTCCTGTATATATATATAATCTAACAAAATGAACACACCTGGCCCTCCTGAGGGTGAGGGTTCTGGCTCCTTGATGCCGGAGGTTGGAGGTGGGGGTGTCTTGTCCTTCGGTGCAGTTGGTTCTTGAGGAGGAGCGCCACTCTCTTCAGGAGCTGGCTTTGTTGGCTTTTCCTCAACAGGGGGTTTCGTTGGCACTTTGAAAGAAAAGCAAAGGATGGATCTTAAGGGAATGCAGATTTCTCAAGCATTTTCAGTTGAATCTTGTAAAATGTTGTAAGCAAACTTCAGACAATACTTTAATCTGGATAACGAATACGTTACTGGACAATTATACTAAATAATGTACAGCTCTTTGCCAATACACTGCTCAATTAAAGCCTCCCCATGGTGTCTGGGTTGAGGGGGTTATTTGACGATGCTTCATCATGCTCTTCAGTGCGGGTTAGTGAACGTGGAATGGAGAGCATGGGAGTACATCACAATAAAGGACTGTGGCATTCTGCTCTGTGAAGTCCATATTATAAATATTCACCCTATGACATCTGTTACACAGATTGTCACCTATCCAAAACCTATCCAGGATAAAGTCTTAATTAGTTTCTGAGATCTAACAAATTAAGTTACATTGTTTGGTTTGATCCTAAGCAGTAAACTTCCTGTACATATATATAATCTAACAAAATGAACACACCTGGCCCTCCTGAGGGTGAGGGTTCTGGCTCCTTGATGCCGGAAGTTGGAGGTGGGGGGGTCTTGTCCTTTGGTGCAGTTGGTTCTTGAGGGGGAGCGCCACTCTCTTCAGGAGCTGGCTTTGTTGGCTTTTCCTCAACAGGGGGTTTCGTTGGCACTTTAAAAGAAAAGCAAAAGATGGATGTTAAGGGAATGCAGATTTCTCAAGCATTTTCAGTTGAATCTTGTAAAATGTTGTAAGCAAACTTGAGACAATACTTTAATCTGGATAACGAATACGTTACTGGACAATTATACTAAATAATGTACAGCTCTTTGCCAATACACTGCTCAATTAAAGCCTCCCCATGGTGTCTGGGTTGAGGGGGTTATTTGACGATGCTTCATCATGCTCTTCAGTGCGGGTTAGTGAACGTGGAATGGAGAGCATGGGAGTACATCACAATAAAGGACTGTGGCATTCTGCTCTGTGAAGTCCATATTATAAATATTCACCCTATGACATCTGTTACACAGATTGTCACCTATCCAAAACCTATCCAGGATAAAGTCTTAATTAGTTTCTGAGATCTAACAAATTAAGTTACATTGTTTGGTTTGATCCTAAGCAGTAAACTTCCTGTATATATATATAATCTAACAAAATGAACACACCTGGCCCTCCTGAGGGTGAGGGTTCTGGCTCCTTGTTGCCGGAGGTTGGAGGTGGGGGTGTCTTGTCCTTCGGTGCAGTTGGTTCTTGAGGAGGAGCGCCACTCTCTTCAGGAGCTGGCTTTGTTGGCTTTTCCTCAACAGGGGGTTTCGATGGCACTTTGAAAGAAAAGCAAAGGATGGATGTTAAGGGAATGCAGATTTCTCAAGCATTTTCAGTTGAATCTTGTAAAATGTTGTAAGCAAACTTCAGACAATACTTTAATCTGTATTACAAATAAGTTACTGGACAGTTATACTAAATAATGTACAGCTCTTTGCCAATACACTGCTCAATAAAAGCCTCCCCATGGTGTCTGAGTTGGGGGGGTTATTTGACGATGTTTCATCATGCTCTTCAGTGCGGGTTTGTGAATGTGGGATGGGGAGCATGGAAGTACATCACAATTAAGAGGTGTGGCATTCTGCTCTGTGCAGTCTATATTGTAAATATTCAGCCTATGACATCTGTTACACAGATTGTCACCTATCCAAAACTATCCACTAACAAGTCTTTATTAGTTTCTGAGACCTAACAAATTAGGTGACATTGTTTGATTTGATCCTAAGCTGTATACTTCCTGTATATATATATATATATAATCTTACAAAATGAACACACCTGGCCCTTCTGAAGGTGAGGGTTCTGGCTCCTTGTTGCCGGAGGTTGGAGGTGGGGGTGTCTTGTCCTTCGGTGCAGTTGGTTCTGGAGGAGGAGCACCACTCTCTGCAGGAGCTGGCTTTGTTGGCTTTTCGTCAACCGGGGGTTTCGGTGTTACTTTGGAAGAAAAGCCAGGGATTGGGTGTTGACACAATGTAGATATTTCTCGAATTCTCAGTTGCACTTTGTAAATGTTGCAAGTCAAGTTTTAGACGATACTTTCAATCTGCATCATGAATTTGGTTATAGAAACGTATTCATCACGCTTGCTGAGCACAGATCTATGGGCCCCAAATTCCAAGCAGCCTTCAACACAACGGTATTAAATAATTAATAGTTTTCTTTTTGAAAGGATATAATATCTTGGGACAGAGACTTTATTATATAATTCCTAAGTGGAGCATTGTGAGAGAAGAGGTGGTGTCTATAACTATCTGTTGGCTTAACACCGAAATTTACGAGACGAAAAATCAGACAGATAGATCAGATATTCTTAGGTTTTACCTACGTGACTTTACCGAAAAAACCTAAGAATATGAATCCTTGCAGTCACGAAAGCTTCAAATCTAGATAGATCAGATCCTTGACATAGGTGGAGGAATCATTGAGTGAAGTTCACAGGAACAGTAGTCATAGTCGTGGTGATGGAAGAGTGACAAGGAGCGGCTGGAGTCAATTAGTGAGTGCTGGATCATCTATTGAAAGGTATTACTTAGGTAATGTTCTAATGTGAGTAACCACAAGTTCAGAACCAGACTGACCACCCGGTTTGTTCAACTTGCTTTGCTTCTTCAGAAACTCGGATTGTGAGAAGGAAAGACTTAAGAACACTGGAGAGTTTTACGACGTGGATATGAAGAATTGTCGTAAAATGCAAATAGAGACTGTTAATCATAATCAACGTTTTTGGGTTTAGATCGCGTTATTTATAAATGTGTCGTAACCCTCCACCACCCGACACGGCCAATCAGTAAAAAAGTGTCACGTTGACAAAAGACAAATAGTTCACTGCTTTAGCCCACCGATGTGTTGAAGCGTGAAACCACAACATTTACACGCTTCAATACACCGGTGGGCTAAAGCAGTGAACTCTTTGTCTTTTGTCAACGTGACACTTTTTTACTGATTGGCCGTGTCGGGTGGTGGAGGGTTACGACACATTTATAAATAACGCGATCTAAACCCAAAAACGTTGATTATGAATAATATCGGTCGCGAAAGCCTACGTGTTAAAGAGACTGTTAAGTAAGCGATGTGTATTGGGCACTTTGTTGGAGGTGAAAGTGTAGTTTTGGAAGGAAGTTGAAAAGGAGACCGAAACTGAAAGAACAAAAAAGATCAAACTTGATCCGGAGCTTTCATGACTGCAGAAATTACTCTTTGGTTCTTTTGGTAAAGGCACGTAGAAAAAAGAAAATAGAATACGACGTTTCTATTGCAACACAAGCAACCGTCATCAGGTAGAACTACATTTCAGAGAGAGACAAAACACAGACAGACAAACAAGCAGAGAGACACACACAGAGACACACAAAGAGAGACACACAACATAGACACACAGATACCCAATGCCTCTGTGTCGAGGCTTTAAATAGAGAGGGGTTGGGTGAGAGATAGAGGTGGGTCTGCTGGAGCAGATAAATTAGCATGCCAATGAAAGACCCAACAAGACTGGCACATTTTAGAGAGAGTTGTGTGGAAATTATTTAATTTATTTTCTTTCTACATGACTTTACCGAAAGAACCAAAGAGTAATCAAAAAAGATCCTTGACGTTTAGAGAATGATGGGCCGTGTGGTGAAATGGAGGAAGCTTCGGATCAGAGGAGGATGGAGGGAGCGAGTTGGAGCCAAAGACCTATCATTGGGCAGATGACTAAAGATCACACATCCCAAGATACACTCCAATATTGTATTCATTCTCAAACTGTTTGTAGTGTATCAGTACTTAAGTTGCACCTTGAAAACTGTAATAATGTTGCCTACTTGTATGGGTATTTACCATTTTTTGTGGTTGGCCCAGGTGGCCTTGTGGCTTCAACTGGTGGAACGATGATTTCTGCAAAAACATGGCATGTGATATACGTAAATTAAAACTGTTTGCACAGCTACACATATTTCTCAACTGGAATTCACGAAGCAATTAGCGCCCCCCCCCCCCCCCCGACTGCAAAAACCTTGGCAGGACCCTCCTGAAAATGAGTCGTGAAACTTAGTGAAGCTATTCTGGGTGAACCAGCGGGTAATAACATTTTTAAAAATACCATTTACAGTTAATTCTTAAGTGAATGTCGGCCGATAATCAGATTTACAGATTAGCAACGCTTCATTGCACCTTTTATGCGCAGGCTTGTTTTTATTAATACATTGTTTTATTACTAACTAGTGCAAGCAACATGTTTCAATAAATATAATAATTCACCTGATATGATTTTTTGGAAATGTGTTATCTATGATCAGACCACTAACAACTACTCCAAACATTTGCTATTTTTCTGCAAAAAAAATGTTGATGAACTTGATTCAACTCCTTATATTTAAAGACGTAGCCATCGGAAACTGCTCAATGTAAAGATTCGTTCTGGTTTTTTTTGGAAAGAACAAAAAATAATTCACCTAAGACTTCATGAGGGGAAGCTCTCCTACCTTTTACCGTTTTCGAATTATTCGGATTTGAACATATTAAACTGTGTATGTTTTTGTTCAAATTATTTTAATCTGAAAAATCTCAACGATTCTCGCTTCAATGTTACGTGCTGTTTAATGCATCTATCAAAGGAAAAAGCCGCAATCTTATAATTTTTAACGATTTCTGAATGACAAGCACAAGCATTTTTATGGGGTAATTTAAATCGAGATTTGGGAGCCTTAAAATTAAAAATGGCGATTTTTCTGATTGGTTTTCTGTGTCCTAAAAGCTATGAATGTACCAAATGTCAGCTTTCTACCTTGTCAGTAAGTACCCTTGAGGTTTTTGATACGTAGATACATACAGATCAACGTCTTTATTTACATAGTAGATTAATACCAGCGTTCAGGGTTTGTGACTTGGTGCTCACATAATCGCAAACATGTAAGCAAGAATAAACAATTTTGCATTATCTGTGTCTTTGCTCTGTACGACTTAATCCCTCCGCCCCAGGAGTGATGGCACAGAGGTCACAGCGTTGATCTGGTACCACTGTTAACCTGGGTTCGATTCCAGGCAGTTGCCTGTGGATATGTATATCGCCCTCAATTGCAGTGAATTTATTTACTGCCCGGTCACCAATCATTTACGCACTTGATTTAGCTAAATTCCAGCTGTGAGATAAAAATATCGGGTGGACTACCATGCTATTTCCCTCACTCTCATAAGCAGAGCGAGTGGGAGGTTAATTCGTGTACTGTGTGTGGACCTTAAAAATAGCTTCAAGGGATTTGTGAGGTCGCTTTATAATATCCGTTTTCGTGGGCCGTTTTCAAACACGAAAGATTGAACTTCTCTGCCAGAGTTCCATTCGTCTTGTGACGTGACACCAATAGTAAAATCAGGATAAAATTGGGGAGGGGGGAATTACATCAATGAACCTGAAAACCACCATCAAAGCGTAAGTTACCTTCATCTGGCACTGGGGATGTCGGTGCTGTTGACAGAGGAGCAGTGGTTGCTGGCGAAATCAGCGAGCAGCAAAACCTGACCTTGTAGTTGTAGCAGAATGGCATGGCCTGATCCGTGTGTGAGCATTTCAACCCCACGTCCTTGTCACAAGTGATTGTCTGGCCCAACTCCTCCCACGGTGTGTTCGGGTATTTGTCCGCACGGCAGTCGATGTTTTCCACCAAGAATCCCGGCGCGCAGACAACTTTCCCCGAGGCTGTGACCTTCTGGTACGATTCCTCGTCGCCCTCGTTGTCGGCATTCGGAGACTGCTCGTCGTACCACTCAGACCAGCTTCCTGAGCAGGGCACTTGACTCGCGCTCGTCGTTGCTGTTGGCTGCTGTGTGGTGTCACCTTCAACCGGAGCGCCCACCGTGGTCGTACGACCCTTGGGCGGTTGCGTCGGAGCCACGTCGGGCACAGCTGTGCTCGAGCCGACGATGGGTGGCTCGGTTGGGAGCGGCGGTACGGCGGCGGTCGCGGTAGTGGTGTTGGGAGTTATCCCACACTCCACTGAGTCTACCACCTCCCCGAGATGCGAGCAAGTTTTGGTGGTCGCACAGTACCCATCGGGGTCGAATTCTTTTGATATGAAGGAGCCCAGCTCGTACAGTCGTTCGTGGTAACAGCATCCATCTGAATATAAAATATTAGTGAGCGTTACAGGTGGGGGGGGGGGGGTTGTAATAACTGGCTTTTGAGCAATTGATTGCTCATGCCACTGCTAACACACTGCTGGGTGGACAGAGGCGAGGTGGGATTTGAGAAACCTTCACCATATTTTCAACTTCTGCGCTGGGAGATTGAATCAAACTGGCAGCCTCTGGATGGCAAGACCAGTATGCCGAGCAATACGCCGCAGCAGTCCACCAATGTTGGTTTAATCGCATCGGTTACGCAAATCATTTGAGGGTGGCTACGTATTATGAAAAAGATCGCAATTATATCTGCTAATGACACGGACGCAAAAAGGTGATTTTGAGACAACAAAAGGTGATACTGTGACCATAGCCTCGGTCTCCCCATCGTGCCTGGGCATGTCACATGACATCTTAAGGAAAAGGTTTCCCCCTGTCCCTGACATAAAGGAATGGCTGTCCTTGGGTACCTGGTATTTCGCAAAGCAGCTCAGCATTGTCGCATGTGCTGCAGTCACACAGAGAAGACACACAACAAGGACAATTATACAAGCACATACAGCTGTATTTGTAAAATAATGTTCAAAATGAATGTGATACTGGAGAGAACGAGCGCTCTAGCAGAGCGCATGGATGGCCGTCGGTGTCCAGTGGAAGAGGTTCAGTAATTCCGTACAAACCGATGGCTTTTAAATCACCAGTGCGTGTACGTGTGCCGTCTGCTGCTGCATTCAACTTAAATTATCACGCAAGCGATGTTCCGACCGAATGTTTTCGTTTTTCTTTTGTGTTGCAACTGCCGCGATTGGGGATTTACCTTGTGACCTACGTTGTTACAGGACTGTAAATTATCATAATATAAACTATCTACATAAATAAAGACCCTATGTCTCTAAAACCTCTAGCGTACATTCCGACAAGGGCAAAAGTTGAAATGTGGTACCCAGGTAACTTTTAGGACACAATTAGCAGAAGAAACAATCTGAATATCACGGATTCTTTTTTAAGGCCCCCAAATCTCGATTTTAAGCACTCAATAAACATGTTTGTGCGTGTCATTCAGCAGAAACCGTTCAAAATATAAGATTGCGGGTTTTTTTCTTTTGATAGAACGTTAAACAGCAATAAAATTGAAGCGAGAACCATTGTTCTATCTTTTATTGTTTTTTAGATTTGTCGGATTCAAGTGATTTAAAATGAAAAAATGCACATGTTATGATGTTCAAATCTGAATAATTCCAAAGAACGTAGTCTTTAAATTGAGCGATTTCCGATGGGTACGTCTTTAAATATGAGAAGTTGAATCAAGTTGTCAACGCATTTTAGTGTTTTTTTTGCAGAAGATACCCAATTTTTTTAGTAGTTGTTAGTGTCTGATCGTAGATAAAAATTGTAAAAAGAAACATCAGGTTCATTATTATATTTATTGAAACCTTTTGTCTGGCGAAGACAGGCTTTATGAACTAATTCTAATATAAACTATGATCATTATTTTTTTCTTTTACCAGGTAGGGCTCACTGTACCTATATAGCTATTTTTATTAAAAGCCACCTTGTCCACAAGTGAGAGCCCAGCGAATTGGCTTAAGTGGAAATATATAGCAACCAAATACTCTAAATGCGTGTTCCTAAATGTGGAGGGAAAGATCGGAGGACTCCGGGGAAAATCAACGTGACCACGAGCAGAGAGACACGCAAACTCCAAATATAAAAGCGTCAGGGTCGGGATCCAACCCACGACCTCCTGCATACCAGGCGAGGCAGTTAACATCTCCTAGCCACCGTGCTAACCCATCGCACCACGGCAGCATCCGTGCATTAGGGACAGACAAAACATGTTAAATGGACGCGATATTGATCCGTGAGCACGCGGTGTCAATGTGGGTGAAAGCAGAGGGACCTCACCAGATTTGGCATGTCTTGGCGATGTGGATCTGCTGCCCGGCCAGGATGACGTCATCCTCAACAAAGCAGCTGCAGTTGGCTTTTGGCACGCAGTGCATGGTGTTCTCGTCCAAGTATGGCGTGTCTGGCGGGCAGTGCGGGTAGCAGCCTGCAGCGAGAATAGCGGTGAATCGTTATCCCTACGTCACTACTAAGACTAAGGTGCCATTCATAAATGGCGTCACGTGATTTTGGATAATTTTTGACCCCCCCCCCCCCCCCCTTGTCACACGGCGTCACAAAAAGTCAGACCCCCCCTCAAATGTGACGTTACAAAGCTCTGCCCCCCCCCCAAACCATATTTCCATTTTGAAAATAAAACATGCTTCAAATCGCTTTAAACTGTTTATAGGTGGCGTCGTGTCGCCACTTTGGAAGGGTTTAGCCAGAGATCAATCGATAAAAAAAATTGCTCCGCGTTTTGGGCAACTGAGAAAATGGGAGACGTCTTCTTGCGTTGCTTGGCACAAAGGGCAGCAGTTTGGAACGTTTGGGTCGATTCGATTTTGGTAATCAGCGAGCATGGAGCAGTAACCTGACACTGCTCGTACCAGTTGACGGTAAGTCCAATCAGCTCCACATACTTCTGCTCCACATCAGTCCATCTCTTCTCTAGCCTGTGCCATGCCCGTTTAGTCCCATATATCTGGCCAACCAGAAGCTCCTTGGACATGTCGTGGCTTAGCATGCAGGCTACATAACCCAGCCAACGCAGCCAACCACTAACACCACCACGACCGCTATTAACATTGGCAACCAATGCCATCAGTACCGGCACCACCACTGCCACCAAAACTATCATCATAATGGAGCGTTTTGTAAGGTTGCACTCAGGGTCAGTAGATCAGAGGAGGTGGACAAACGTATGCATTCGGAGGATGTTGATACTGACGATAACGATGATAACGACGATGACGATAATGGTAATGATGACTATAATTACGACAAGAATGACTAGTATGATGCTAACGAGTTGACGGTGATGATGCAGTAAAAACAAACCTTCGATGGGAGGCAGGGAACCTTGGTTCAGTTTCTGGAGGTGGCTGCAGGTGCTGGGAAGGGAACTGCATGGATTGTAGTGCCACGTGCATTCCGACTCCTCGTTGTAGAAGTCGCAGAAGACGGCTGAAGGCGGGGGGAGGTGCGTAGTGTGGAGGGGAGGGATTAACAGAGGTAACATCGTAAGAAACTCATCACTGGCATCGATCTCCACGATACCTGTAGCGTTGCACCACTAGCTTGGCACGACATCCAACATTTCTCACCGCGCGCTGGGGGCTTCTTCAGGAAATCATTTGCCAGAGAAGCTCGCAGCGTGCGAAGCTAAATGTCGGGAAAATCGTCCGGAGCAAAACGTGGTATGACCCGAAAAACACACCGTCAGGCTATGTGTATGTGTGTGTGTGTTTGTTGAACTTCTTTCCCACCGTACGTAGCTAATCGTGCTAACCGGAGGTGTGGACTATATGGTAGATACCCTCTTAACGACGGCATTTGGTTCAACAAAATCGGTCATTAAGTGATTTGCTCGTTAAGCGAGTATAGTAAATACAGGCAAGTCCCCAGGTTACGGAAGGGTTAGGGGTTCCCGAGAAATATCCACAATCCGAGTTTTCCGTATGTCGGAAACTGAATTATTTTAGATAATTTAACATTTATTTGGTGTTCTTTTAGTCTTACGCTGATGTAATGTCACGTCTGTCCAATATAGCATCTGCCACATAAGCAATTAATCTGATATACACCTTCTGTTGATAATTTTGGTAATTCGTCTTTAGTACAAGATACTAGTTTTTTAATTTGTGTACTGTACCAAATCTTACTTTAATGTTTTGCTTTTGTCGGACAAACCGACAGTCATTAAGGGGAGAAGTGGGTGCAATCGAGGTCGAACAGGTGGGAACGTTGAGGTTGGAGGTTGGCGACGGGGTGACGGGAGATGGGGGGGGTGATGATAAGGGATTAATGAGGACACCTGGCGCCGGGCAGGCGGTGGGCTTAAGGGGACTCGGAATGAGCAGGCAGATATAAGCGGGAGTGTGCGTGAACGGAGAAGAGTTGCCCGGTAACCAAGAGAGAGACATCTCGCCGCTGCCGCTCAAGCCGTCAACGGGACCTGAACCCTCACACGATCGCCGGGTGGGTGTTGGCTGAACACCTACCCCCCCCCCCTCCCCCTGTTGCATGCGTTCTACTCACGGCAGCGGTCGGGCGTCCTCCACTTGATGCACACGCCAGCTTCGTTGCAGACCTGGGCGTACGCAGCCACTGCAGTGCAGAAACACTCGCAGTCGCCACCATCGCATGCGCACGAGTCGCGAATGCACGCCTCCAGGAACGGCGCGTGGTCCACCTGGGTCAGGACAAGGGGAGCGAGGTAATATTAAAAATCCGCGATCAGTCGCCAACAGAAAGGCAAGGGAGAGGAGCAGCCGCGTCGGGTGTCGAGGGCGTCCACATAACAACAACAACCGCCGTTCACCACTAAGTAGCGGTTACGTTACCACGGAGGCGCGCTTGTGCCATGCTAAGTGCACTTAGAGGTTGCGTAAAGTGTCGAAGGCCCGCTGGCAGGAGGTCACGTAACAGACCAAGGTGCCATGGGTTGACTGACTGAAATGACTGGCAGATGCACCAACTGTGCTCCATACTGCGCTAACTGTCTGCGTTTTAGCCGCCCGGCACTCCGCTCAATGTTGTGAGCGTCGTTCTTCTGCCCCCTCGTTGTTGCTGGAGGGTGACTGCCTCCAACCCCCCAGCAGCATCCTTCCTGACCCTCCTGCAGAAAGTCCGATTTTGACACTGCTGGTACCGGTCATCGGAAAGTCCAATACTTGAACGGTCAGCACACACATCACACACCTCCTCGCATGCACGGTCAAGACAAATACAAAAACAAAGATCTCCTGTTAGCGGGCACCTATGAAGGCCAGCACAGTACATAAAGGCATGGGTGGCCCGCACCACGCCGGGCTGTCCTTTATTTCCCCAGTGGCGATGTTTACACAGGCTGAGTCGACCTAGGGGAGGCCCAGGACCAGTTCAGATAATCGTCACTGGTGTTAGTGGCCGTCAGTAGGCATAAAATTCGGGTCACCAGGATCATAGCGCATCGCGCTACCCGCACAGCCACTGCTCCCCAACACCCATTCAATACGTATGGTTATCACTCAGCCGCAAACAGCGTTGAACAAAGGTGTATAATTCGTTTAACACGTAGGCTTTCGCAACCAATATTATCCATAAGAGGTTTTTTGGGTGAGATTGCATAAATATAAACGTGTCGTTAAATATAATTGTGGCCGTGTCGGGTGGTGGCGGATTTAACGACGCATTTATATTTACATGATCTAGCCCAAAAAAACCTCTTATGCGTGTCGTTGTTTGGTGCAAACTACCCCGGCGACGGGGAAACCACAGACAAGCAGAAAGGTAGCCAGAACCAGTGTCAACAGTTGCCTAGGCTCTGTGGTGAGAAATTTGGGTGTTTATTTATATCATTAACCCCTCCACTTGCTACTCCTGCCTTCACATCATGAACCATCGACGACCCACGGGAAGTCCGAGGGGGTTTTACGGCTGCGTGCCGAGTTCCAGAGGCCACCAGCGGCCAGCCCCCTCCCCCTCGACCCGCCTTGTCCACGCCGTCCGTAGGCGACTCACGTGGTCGTGGCACGAGCTGAAGACGTCACTGGCGAGCACGTGGCACTGGCGCAGCGCCCACGCTTGGCGGTGCGGGTTCTGCTGGCACGGCTCCACCGCCTCCGTCATGACGGCGCAGCTCTCCTTGATCCTCCAACTGTTGCCGAACGCCAGCACGGACGCGGTCGTGGAGCCGTCGGCCGCTGTCAAGTCGTCGCTGTCGCGCCCATTGTAGTTGCCACAGAGGCCACACAGGGTGCCCTGGGGTGGGTAAGGGGGGGTCGGGAGTAGGGTGGCATCGAGCCGTGAGCGAAACGAAGCCGAGAGTAGACAGTTCCCGGGCAGCCCAAAGGGGTTGACCCCCTCGGATTCGCAAGACAAACTGTATCAACTTGAACTCGTTTGATCCTAATACAATAATTACAATGATCCGGCGGCTTACAGGGAGGAGGGAGAGGGCAGATTTTCAAAAACGCCGGAAAATCACCAAACATCATGATTTTAAATGACTTAATTTTGGGCATTCTTGTATGACGTAACTTTTTTTTAGGTGTTTCCGTGTGTTTTTAGGGTCTTCTATAGTAGTGTAGTAGTATAGTAGTTTAGTATAATAGTGTAGTAGTATACTATAGTAGTGTGATGGGCCTTTGTAGGATGAATGTTGAGAGATTTATGAGGGGCATTGGATGACCAATAAGGTCTGAATTGGTCTGTAATAAGGTAGGGCACTAATACGGGGTTGACAGGTATGGGTCTAAGATCGGAAGTTCATGCGCCTGTGGAGGAGTTAAGTATGCAGCTCCAATCTCTTCCGGGTCATCTAGCCGGTGTAGGGCTTTCTAGAACTCCCCTCTAGGGAGGCCGTTCCGCCGGCATGGTCATGAGCAAGCAATTGCAGTGCCCCGCCATTCCCTTTGTCCCTAACACCTCTCTTTGTCCAGTCAGTGAGCTCGGCGGTTGAGTGAGCGGCTCGCAATCGGAAGATTGCAAATCCCTGGTTGGGAGATGACAACTCGGCCTCCGTCATCCGTCTGCGATCTATATGCTGATTAAGACTCTGTTGGGAAGTCTGAATAATCATTTGAGTAGGATAAAAGTGTGATTGTTTTATTCAAAATATAGCTCTTTTTCTCTTATAATCTCTCCTCCATCTAACAATAATTATTATTATTTAACACGCACCATTACCACCATCCACCACCAAAATCACCACCACCACCACAGTGACCCTGACCTTGTACTTGGAGTCGACCTTGACGAAGATGCTCGTGCGTCGGTCCCACATGACCATGATGCCGATGCCGGTCTGCACGATGCGGTAGAGCCCCACCGAGTGGATGGTCAGATCGTCCACCATCGCCGGGATCTTTCCGGCCACGGGCACCACCATCACCTCCCCGTTCACCATGTGAACCTCCACGTTGTAATCCTGGAGTGGACGAGGGAGGAAGATGAGGAAGGGAGGGAGGTGAGGGAGGGAGGGAGGTAAAGGAGGGAGATGTGGGGGGGAGGGAAAGTTGGAGGGAGGGAGATGACAGAAAGACCCCAGTGGCCAAGCACATTCGGAATAGACCCTGATGCCAGGGAATAAACTGGCGATGGGGTGAGAGAACCTGTTGTCTAATCCTCCTGGACCTCTCCTGGCCCGTAGACACCCCTAACTTTTGCACTCCCTTGTTTGCACACTCAATTGCTATGCCAAGAACAAAGAGCCATGGTCCAGCATAGACTTGCGAAGAAACCAATCGACTCGCGCGTACACGGAGACCAGTAAGCTCATCAGCTCGCAGCGCTTGGAAACCTCAAGCCAGCCCACGTCGCACCGCCGTCCGCCGGCCACTGGAATGGTCCTTGATTTCACCTTGATGTAGAAGCGGATCGCCTTGGAGCAGCTCGAGTCCACAGCACTGCAGTCCTTGCCGGTGATGATCTGAAAGTTGCCCTCGGCTGAGGAGCAGTAGTCCTGGTCGGCACAAAGCGAGGGCAATTAGGTGATCCATCCATCCAATCGCTGTGCATCCCTCCGTTTGTCCATAGATAAATCCGTCCATTTGTGCGATAATTCTCCCCCACCCAGTTGTGGAGCTGCCCGCTGTATAATGTAGAGTGTATAGTGTACTATACACTCTACACTATGCAGTAAACATTACTATATACTACACACTATACTATACACTACACTACTATACACTACACTACTATACACTACACTATACACTACACCAATATACTCAATTGAAAACTCATTTCTTTAGAACTGCTTGATGGTGTTGCTGTGTTTTTGTTTGCTGTGCTTCCCGCGCACCTCTGATTAGCGCAATTGGTTACGTACAGTGCCAAAAAAGTTAAACATTCACATATACATACGTACTACACTTTACACTACATACTACACTACACTATACACTACGCTACTATACACTACACTACTAAACACTACACTACTATACACTACACTATACACTTTTATACACTAAACTACGATACACTACATCACTATACTACATTTCTTTTGAACTGATTGTTGTGTTTAGTTTGCTGTCCTTACCCCGCACCTCCGATTAGCACGGTTGGCTATGCACGGTGTGAAAGAAGTTCAACACACATATATACATATTGATGTCTGTAAGTCCCGACTAAAAACACATATCACCAAAACCAGTTTCCTCTCGTGCACTTTGATTCTCTGACTCTTATTCTGCACCCCCCCCCCCCCTGGTTCCTGCTTAATTAGCAGTGCTCCTCTTTGTGCGTGGCGCTTTGAGACTTTATTGTGAAAGGCGCCTGATAGTCACAAATGATTGTTACGGATTCATTCGTAATGAATGAATTTGCTCGCCCGTCGTCAGTCCGTGGCGTGCGTGAGCGGCGCGTCCGTTCTGGTGCCCACCTGCACGATGCTGGAGTCGCAGTTCCCGTCGAAGATGAATCTCTTGCCGTCGAAGGTGACGTAGTGGCCGTCCCCGTACATGCGGCACGTACCAGGGCACTCGGCCGAGTTGCAGCTCCACGCGCCGCTGCCGCACGTGCTGCACCCACGCACGCGCGCGACGTCTCAAAGGGACGGAGCGGCGGGCCCTTCAAACCCCCTAGCCCAATATTTTCTCTCGTAATAACAAAAAATGTATATCCCGACGGGTATTTCGTAAAGTATAAGGAGATATGACGTCACAGGCGGGTCCCTGCTGCTTTCGCAATGTTACGAACGTGCTCCTGGAAAACCCCGTCCTCGCAAATCGGATCGTCGCAAATCGGATACCTTTTATTCTCCCATAAATGGCAGAAACAGTAGACGCGTCACTTGCCCGTGTGTGTTTTTCCTCCTTGTCAGCCATATTCAACGGGGTTTAACTGGTACAAATCCACAAACGCACTTAATAATAACAAAAGCTCGCTGCGCCAAAATGACACCGGAAACCGGACTGACTATGTCCAAACGTGCTCGGAGTCTTGTCGGAAGATGCGCCGTAAATCAAGTTTCTGTGTCCTAAACCTATCCAGGTGAAGAAATGCTGTTGTCTTTCCCCCCCACAAAGCAGTAGCCATCTAATCTCGCAGCCACCAGACTCGGGACAGCTGCGCCGCGCCAAGCCCCCCCCCCCCCCCACTTCACTCACCACACGTTGCAGTCCACCTTGATGGTATCTCCCTTGCCATAGACAATGCCGTGATGCTGGCACGGGCAATCCTCCGGAGGGATACAGTTGCCGTTGTCGTCTGGGATAAGTCCATCCCCGCACGGGCAGTCCGATTCGCACGGCGGCTAAGACAGGGGCCGAGAAGTGGGGCAAACAACACAGAGGAAGAGTGAAACGCCGGGGATTCATCTTTCGCTCCGAGCCATCCATCGTGCAATGCCTGTGTTACTAATCTGGCCAAGAGGGCATCGAAGAAGGTCGGTTTTTCCTTTTCATGTCAAAGTCCTTCGTCTTTAACGCCCAGCAATTATCACTGTCGCATGAAGCACACTTTTGGCTGATGTTTACCCCTGCTACTGTCGTGTCTGTAGTGGAGTGCCCAGTGACTGCCTCACTGCTGCAGCAGAGAGAATTTAGAGTGAAGCAGTTGTCAGGGGCGATTGATGATCCGGCACTCGCCGATTCACTCCAGTCAGCTCCTGATTGTTCACTGGCAGTCAGTCGCCTGCTGGTCACTCTTCTATCGCTACTACTATGACTATAGTGGTTACTCGTTCCCATGAACTTCACTCGCCCGTGTTGAGGACTCTATCTCTACTGGACACTAACCAATTCGTCCCGTCCATACTGTATTCAACCTCCACCATCACACAGGTCAAAACGCTTGTGTCGCGAAGCATATGTTTGTCACTGTTGCTAAGCACAGACCAAAAATCCTAAAAGCCAATAAAGGACATTTGCTAAAGTCTGAATTCATATCCCACGGTTTAACATTTTATGTCCACATGCTCAATGCATGACATGGGCAAATGACATGGCTGCCCGAGTGGCATGGAACAGGTATTAAGCCACTTTGGACTACGCTCTTTCAACAGAGGAGTAGCAAAACGACGCGAACTTTCTCTTCTTAAGCCCTCTTGTCGTGGCCAGCAGACCTGAGGCATTGGCCATTTAGCTGCTGAACCATATCGCTGATACTGCTGATGCTGCTGATGCTTCTGCTGCGATCATACAAGAGAGCATAGAACAGAACCCTGAGTGGTGGGCAGAGCGATCCCCTTGGGCTGTGTCTAAGGGGGGTCGAGTGTACTCACGCAGGGCAAGTTGATGGTCTGGCAGGTCCTCTCGCAGGCCTTCGCGTGGCTCCTGCCTCTCAGGGCGCTGCCATCGACCAGGAGCTGGAGGGCATTTTCGACCTCTGCCCAATGACATTTCACCATGGAGGACGTTAAAAACAAAATATCCCGTGCCGCCATTCGCGAAAGAGTAGCAGGCAGCTGCGCACGCCGGGTTCGTCGAGGTCACAATTTGCCAAATTCGAACCCAAAAGAATTGATCGCAAATTACTCGATTAGCATCACAACAACAACAGCCGCTATTTGCCACTAAGTGGTGGTGACATCACCATGGCGCTTGTGCCAGGCTATGTGCACGTCATGTGAAGTGTTGAACGCTACCCGCCGGCAGGACGTCATAGGACAGACCCTCCTGGCACCATGAGAAACAGTGCGATTGCCAAAGGTGTTCGTGATTCAATTTTGTTTATTGAGATGGGCCGAGGTTGTCCGAAGCTTCGGGAAAGAGACGATGATGGGAGGGAGGCAATTCGACTGTTGAGTGGCGCGAGGGAAGAAGCAGACAGAGAAGTGGACGTGATCTGCAGTGCGGTGAGTGGGTGGCTGAGTTGGGTGGTGAGTGTGGGGAGAGCGGCAGTGTGGCGGTTAGTTAGCGCATTGCACTACGGACCCGGTGGCCCGAGTTCGATTCCTGCTCACGACCAATAACGCTGGTGAATATCTGAATTGGTCCTGGGCCTCTCCTAGGTCGACTCAGCTGTGCTGGCCTTGCTGGGTGAGGAAGTTAGTAAGTGAGCGAGTGAGTTGTGAGCTGTGGTGGTGGTTGATGCGGTCTGTGAGGGCGGGCAAACTTACGGAGGGGGCTTTCACGTCGCATTCTTCCACCTGTGATCACGCGGGGATACAGAGAGTGCCAGACATCAGTGAGCACCTCACGTCATTGGTGGTGGTGTGATTAATAGTATCGTTTGTGGTGTTGGTGGTGGGGATGGTAGTGGTGGCGGTGGGGGAGATTGGAGCTGCAGGACTCACCGAGCATGGTGATGGGGTTTTCGCACCTGAGGACTCCATACTCGCAAGCACTGCCAAGGAGACACATCAACATGTCGTGGTTAAAGCTCTCGTGTGTACTAATTTACCCCTCCGCACCCCCCCCCCCCCCGTCCCTGGGAGAGTGACATGGCCCGGCTAAAAAAAGCCAGAAATCCATTATTCCAATTGTTGGTAAAGACAATCCTTGGAACAAGCCGAGACACTTGCAAATGGCGCGGCGATGTCGCGTCATTTGCACGTGTTACTTACTGAACGTCACGCCGCCACAAAGGCATCATTTGCCCAGCCCCTGGCCCTGCTTGCCAGATGTTTTTTTGTGAGGCCGTCACATATCACGGCTTTAGCTCTAGCTCGGCACTTGCAAACGGCCAGTGGGAGGAAAAAATTCCACCTATACCGCAAAAGGTCGCTCTGCTCTGGCTCGGCTCAGATGCGGCAGTGGAAAAAGCACATGAGAGCGACCATTCGTACCAGGCTAGATCGCCGACCCAGTAGAATTTCCCAGGCGGGACAATGTCGTGGCCTGTGTAGCACGGGCACTCGATGCCCGGAACACATGCTCCCTCGTGGTCCAGGAAAGTCCCCTCTGTGCACACGCAGCCTGTGGGTTACAGAGCAGTGTCAATGAGTTTAGTCTGTCGGGCAGGTTAGATGCAGTGGGTAAACGAGCATAATCGTAACAACATTAATGTGATGATAATAACATAGGACCCTGCCCGATTGCGTGCGTGAGGAAATTGGGCGCGGTGGTGGTACCTGTAGAAGGCCCCTCCCCGGCGCAGGCGTGTGGTTCCCCGAGTCCGTGGCACGTGCTCTGGCACGAGTCCACCGAGTAGGAGAACTGCTGCCCGACCGGGCACGACTCCTCTGTAAGCCAGAGCGATCGGCAGCAGCGACAATGACAACAACGACAGCAAACCATCAGCCACCGCCGCAATTGTATATCACCAAGAGCACACATCAACGACAGTGGCAACCATCGTTCGTCACTTAATTGGCAGGGACTTCACACAGGCGCTTGTGCCGGGTTGGGTGCTAGGTCACAGGACAGACCCAGGTTCCGTGGCTCGACTGACTGAGATGACTGGCAGATGCACCACCTGACTCCCCACCGTGCCAACTTGCTGCGCTTTCGCCACCCGGCGTTCCACCCGTTGTTGTGAGCGTCGCTCCTCTACCGTCCGCTGCTGTTGGAGGGCGACTGCCTCCAACTGCCAAGGGGCATCCTTCGTGAACCTCCTCCACAGAGACGGATCTTAACACCGCTGGTACCAGTCATTGGCAAGTCCACTCAGCTCCTCACCTTCCATCTACTTTATTAATCTCTAATATAAATGTACTACAATTTTATGCCGCTTGTGCCATCGGTGTCATGTCATGAGATGAAGAATCCTCTCTACAGAGCAGTGCGACCCTCCAGTCTAATAGAACGGCCCGCGAAAGCAGATATCACAGAGCTCCTTCCGGGATCCCCTCATCTTATGCAAGTGACACTCTCGTCCAAGCAAAAGGGCCCGCGGAAGCGGATATTACAGAGCTACCTCTGAGATTGCTTCAAGTGACACTCTGATCCACACACAGAGCAAAAGGCAGCACTTTTCCATGCACTGCGCCACATGAGATGCAGGTTCATCTTTTGACAGCCAAACCAATATTTCATTCTTAGAGCTGTGAATTTTGTCAATTGTAATGTGATCGGGGTGTTTTTTTGTCGTGAATTCGTCAGCGGCCGGTGCCAACCCTGTCCTTAGGTTCTCACCGCAGACTCCGCGGCTCCAGTTGTACACGGGCACCCCGCGCAGGGCACAGGCCCGAGCCAGAGAGCCCAGCGCCGCACAGTAGCATAGCTCGCTCCTCTCACAGTGGCACACGTCAAACTCACAGCTCTGTAAAGACAAAAAAAGACAAACATCCAACGTATAGCCTTAACAGACTGTTGGGGCAAGTGCTGTTAGCGAGCACCTATGAAGGCCGGCACGGCACACGAAGGGGTGGGTAGCCAACACCACGCCCGGCCGCCTTTATCTCCCCAGTGGCGATGTTTACACAACGCACCAGGTACTCATTTGAGGCTGAGTCAACCTGGGGGAGGCCCAGGACCGGTTCAGATAATCATCACTTGTGTTGGCCGTGAGTGCAGGGAGGCCGAGATCGGTGCCAGGGCTTGGCACCTGAAGATGCGGAGTGGGGTCGAGGTGGCTGAGGCAGTCGCGGAAGACGTCTGAGAAGATCTCGTCGTGGCAGCTTCGCTTGAGCTCGTCTGCGAAGACAAAACGGCACCATCCTTGGGTTATTTGGTTGTTTTGGCCAGCAAAGAGGCACCTTGTCGCCCTCCCCCCTACCCCACCCCCCCCCCCCCCATTTTTATACCCCCTAAAGATGTCACAGGTATCCCCGAGAGATATCACAAGTACCCCCTACACATGTCACGAGTATCCCCCTGGAGGAATCTCACCTAACCCCCTAGAGTTGCCACCCCCCACCCAGTACCCCAAGTTGAACACCCTACCCCTCCACCGGCACGACCAGTGGAGGAGGCGGGCAGGGGGTGGTGGGGTGCGGGGGTCGAGTGCCTCACCGTCCGCGCACGCCTTGGATGCGTGGGTGAAGCGGTGGTAGGAGACTCCCTGCAGGAGGTTCCAGGAGGAGAGGAACGCAGCCTCGCTCGCCTCGGGCACTCGCTGCGGCGTCACACGCTCGTCCGCCTCCTCCCCGTTGAAGTTGCCGCACAGTCCTGGGGACCGCACAGGAGCGCCGGGGTGAAGTTCGTCGGGAACCGAGCGCGTTGTTACCCGTCGCTCGTTCGTTGATGGCTCGCAGGAGTACAGGTGACCCTCCCTCCCCCGACTTGTGCACCCCCCCCCCCCCCCCGCTTTTACGACCTTATAGGCAGTAAGACCCCCATGGTTCACGACCAAAACTCGCATCTAACGACTGCTACCAACGCCGAGTCGATTGGCGACGAGCCTGCACGTGTCATGCACAGACTGTAGTGTATAGTAGTGTATAGTTGTGTAGTGTATAGTAGTGTACAGGTGGCATCTCTTTCGCAATGCTCTTCACTTGTTTGTAAAACTTTTTTTTTCACCTTCCGCTTCGTCTGAGAAGAGGAAACGTGATGCACGTGCAGAAGAGTAGTTGAGGATTTTCCAATGTAAAGTGTTTGTTTTTGCTAAATACATTTTGGTAAAAGTTATGGTTATTTTCATTGGTTTTCGTGGTCAGTTTTGGTATTTTCATGGTACGTGACGGGTTTCCGGGAATGGAACCCCCAATTGATAACGTTGCACCTATGGGAGATAAGGGTTCCACCTATGGCGACGGCTTGACTTCCGGCCGTCGTTCAGGATCCAATTAGATTGTAGGTGCGGGGGTCACGTGTACAGAGAACCCTCAGTTTAATGCACTAATGGGGGCAGGTAGGGGTGTCCGTAGAATCCGATTGGCCAGTTAATGGCAAAATGACACATTCTGAGCACTAAATCCACACCCTAGGGCGCACAAACTACTCACTGATATCACGGGAGACATTTTTTGCCAGGATCGTATGAAAAATAAGAATAGATTTTACCCTTTCTGGCAATAAAACACGTGTTAAGATGTTCAAACACCAGATATAAGTATTTTGCAAGGACTCATGTAGTGCATTAACCACATACAGTACTTGTGGGGAACATGCAAACAAACATGGCTCTCATAATTTATGGCATTGTCTTTGAAACTGATAGGCCTACACCAAAGACAGCTTTTTTAAATCCTTTATATTAAGTTCACTTGCTTGCGTGCTTGCGTGCTTGCTTGCTTGCTTACGACCGTGCAAATCTTTCGGTCGTTTTTTAACCCACTTTCCGTGATCCAATCGAGCTGACATTTTCCACACAGACTCGTTGTGTGTGACAATTAATTTTCGTGAAAAAATGTTTCCAAAATTTTACACTGTTTAGGGAATTTTTAAAAAATATTTAATTACCAATTGCTTAATGCTGGCAGACAATCATCTGACCCATAGGTGGCAGCCATCTCAAGCCAGAGGACGAGAGGACTCTAGCCGCCACGCATATAAAGGATTTATAGTGAAAAACTTAGTTTTTACGGGTTAATTTTTTAGGACCTAGTCTCACCAGTATCGGACCAGAGAACGCTAAAAGGCAAACAGCACATAGACAACGGACTATCAGAGCATTTATAGATTGGGGTGAGCAGCTACAACATGGGATAATACAGTACCATGCATTCACACTTTGCATACATGATCTGAGTGGTGGGTTTACATGTAAAGCCTTTGTACTCTAATGCCATACTAACCCGTACTGATAATGCTGTTGCACAAACTCATTTTCGACTTTCATTTCTCCTACTTTGACCAATTTTTTTACAATAAAAACCACGTGTTGTGTCATTAACACCATGTACCCCCCATTAAGGGGAAGGAAGTGAATTTTTGACCGGACTGATTTGCCCCAGTACGGCGAGGTATTGGTTGCGACGGTGGTTCCGCATTGAACGACGTACCCGTGACGTGACCCTGCATCGCGTCCGGCAGGCTCAAGTAGACCTGCATGATCGGTTGGACCTGGACCTGGATCTTGAGCCCGAAGTGCGTGATCACCTGGATGTAGTCCGAACTCTGGCGGAAGACCTTCAGGTAGTCTGGAGATAACGCCGAGCACGAGGATGCGTGAAGGCATAGGGGGCAGAGGGGGGGGCAAGGTAAATATAAAAATACAGTCCTTGTTTAGTGCAGTAGTAGTAGTAGATGCATCGTTCCTGAAAAGTGCGTGAAGCGGAGAGACCAATGTCCCCATAAATAATGTGACGATAAAGTTCGGCGAGATACGGTGTACTAATCGCACACACTGAGGTTGTGCCACCGCGTCACCGTATCACTGTACCGCTCACCTGCGCAGCTCAAGAAAGTACTTCGTCGTCGACAGCTCAGAAGCCGCGTTACAATGGAACGAGCGCTCCACGTTCCAACGGAGCATGTTTTGCGTTGTGACAGAATGAGCGTTTTGCGTTATAACCGAGCGAGCGTTCCGCGTTATGACAGACCGAGCGTTTCGCATTGTGACGGAGGGAGCATTCCACGTTACGACAGAGCGAGTGTTCCGTGTTGCGACGGAGCGAGTGTCAACTCCATGCGTGAGAGTGAGGATGTAGGAGGGGAGGGGGTTAAGCTCCCGGGCAAAAGCTCGCATTTGACAGAATAATAGACGTCGTGGGAAAAAGAGGGTTGCGTTCCCGCTTTCGAAATGATCACTCCCACCCCACCCAGGCCCCCTCCTCCGCCATCTTCATTTGGAATAATCCTACACGGTTCCCAGCCGCTTGCTTTCGTACCAACGGGAGGTCGTGGATTCCATCTCGACCCCTGACGATTCCTGCTGCTGTATATTTGAAGTGTGCGTGTCTCTCTCTCATCGTGGTGAGGTATTAACTACCTCGCCTGGTATACAGGAGGTCGTGGGTTCCATCTCGACCCCTGACAATACCTGCTGCTGTATATTTGGAGTGTGAGTGTCTCTCTCTCCCCGTGGTGAGGTGTTAACTACCTCGCCTGGTATACAGGAGGTCGTGGATTCCATCTCGACCCCTGACAATAACTGCTGTTGTATATTTGGAGTGTGCTTGTCTCTCTCTCCCCGTGGTGGCGTGGATTTGTCTCCGGGTTCTTTGGTTTTTCCCCCGCCACATTTAAAATCAACATCTTCATGCGTGTAGAGTATTAGGCTGCTGCTCTGAATGCCCACGTGATGATGACATTAGCCGCCTGGTTGAGCTGCTATCATCTGTAGTGGCCAGTTCTGCTTCTGGAAAAAGCTATCAACCAGCAGCTCAGTGAGGGGACCTTACACCTGGTGGAATAATGAACAGAATAAAATGGAGCGTGGCTGATGGCAATTGAGGTGCCGGTAGTTCAGTTTCAGGTTTTTCGAGTTTCAGTTTCATTTATTAGGTATAGCCCTGTGAGCCATGCGACTCTTGAATCGGGTGCAACCGCAACAAACAAAAACATGAACAAGGAACATCTTAAAGTGACTACGCGCAACAGAAAATTCAGGAAAAAACAGCAAAGTCTTCCAGAAAAAGCACCGTATATCAACGCTGTGTGAAAAATCCCAGTAGGATGTAATTCAAACAATAACAACCATAAGACAATGTAGATTAAAGTTATCAGTCTAACTCTGTACTACAACAAACAAATATGGTTAAACCAAAACGTTTTCGAAATCACTAAAATAAAGCTGGCGTTCCCCAGCAATGGCCGGACCGAGCGCTTTGCTCCCTTTGTCACTCACCTGACCGATACGGCAGCTGCAGCAAACTCTCTTCCTTGAACACCAGGCCGTCCCTCCCGAACTCCAGCGAGTCCTGTAGGGGGGGGTGGTGGTGGTGAGGTGGGATGAGAGGTAAGGCAAGGTGGTTGATCTACACCACCACGTCGCTCTGAACCTCTTCCTCCAGCGTTGCTGCACACACCCCTCTTTCGGTTCTCAATCTTTACAAACAAAATGTAACAATGTGAATAGGTACATAGAGCTTGATGCAAACAAATTAAGTTGTAACCTAACGTGCCCTGTGCTTAATTTGGGTGTTTCGATTATTTAGCTTTTCAAGAAATAATTTAGCCATGTCTCGCACACCCCCAGAAAGGGCATCACGCACCCCAACTCGTTACTAGTACAGCACTAAACCGGTTGTGTGTTGGAGTAGTGAACCAATTCGTTACTAGTACAGCACTAACCGGTTGTGTGTTGGAGAGTAAACCAATTCGTTACTAGTACAGCACTAACCGGTTGTGTATTGGAGAGTGAACCAATTCGTTATTAGTGTAGGGGTGTTACGGGAGGGAAACGGACGGGTACACAGGGGTGTCCACATCCACGTCCGCAAACGGTTACCACCCTGGGGGGCTGTGGGGGGATGCTGTGATCCCACACAGCCCCACCCCTCGGTGGCAAGTTGGTATAAAAGGCAGGAAGCGAGAGAGCTCGAGGAGAAGTGTTGGGGAGCTAAAGAGCGAAGAGCCAGTGAAGACCGAAGACCGGCAGATAGGCCCTGGAACTCCTCTGACCCGCTGTCCTTCTCAAGACCGGGTAGAGCAGGCCAGTGGCGCGGCTCCAGAGCCTCAGAGCCGATGTTCTTCTAAGAGCCGGGTCTGTCTGGCTGGGTGTCGTGACCTGTGCCTTGACCAGGGCCAGGTCAGATAGCCACCCCTAGCGCCCTTAGCGGAGGACCTGGGAGCATAACAGTTAGGCAGATAGCCTAGGGGTGTATCCCAGTCCAGTACGGGTGAAGAGGCCGTTACCCTTGCCATTGTTACCCTGTGAGTTATAATAAATAGTGTGCCTCGACTACACCGTCCATAACGGTTCACCAGTAATTACAACAACAAGCAGCAGCATCAGGCGGCAACCACAAATCTGGTTGTTGCTTCATCCGATCTGCGGATTAACCGCGTGTGTTCGATGGTGCGAAAGGAGTTCAATGCACCTGGAGACACAGAGACTTATAGAGACCGGAATTTTTATTTAGACTGGAGGAGTGGGAGGAGAGCGAGGAGGAATCCGCTCTTTGTCACAAAAGCCCAGTAGGGGCACATCTGGCGGTATCGCTGAAATCCACACTTCTTCAACCACATCGTTAGACTGGACGAGGAACATTTGCATTCATTTTTGAGGATCATTAACAAAAAATTAAAACTGTTGCCATACGAAAGAAGAAGAAGAAGAAGTAGGGACTGAGGGGGTGGGCTCATTACAGCAACAATCACAAGACAAACACGAGAGAGGAGTGCAAAATAGAGAAGGGGTAGGCAAGTCGTTGTAAGTAAATGAATATAAAGTAAAACGGAACAAGTGGCATTGGCACATAAACAACATTCCTGCCGATTTGTCAACCGCTAAATGCACGGTCGGGGGCAGGGCAGCCCCGTGGGTTCAGGGTTAGGGTTGGATTCTTACCGAGGGCGTGAGGAGAGCCACAGAATCCAGCTGTGGCAAACCCCAGTCTGCCTCCCGTGTGAAGACCTGCACACTCCACACGGATGTCTGCACACAAACACACAATCACACACAGACAATAACAATAACCGCCATTCGCCACTTAGTGGCGAATGGTCTGGCACAAGCCTGGCACAAGCACCATTCACCACGGCGTTTTGCCAGGCTATGTACACGTAGGACAAGGGGAGATCATACAAACTTCACCCACTCTCACTCTGTAGAACAAGGGCAGATCATACAAACTCTACTCAGTAGAACAGGGGGGAGATCATACAAACTCTATTCAGTAAAACAAGGGGGAGATCATACAAACTCTACTCGCTCAGTAGAACAAGGAGAGATCACACAAACTCCACTCACTCAGTAAAACAAGGGGAGATCATACAAACTCCACTCACTCAGTAGAACAAGGGGAGATCATACAAACTCCACTCACTCTATAGAACAGGGGGAGATCATACAAACTCCACTCATTAGAACATGGGGGAGATCATACAAACTCTACTCGCTCAGTATAACAAGGGGAGATCATTAAACTCCACTCACTTTCACTATATAGAACAGGGGGAGATCATACAAACTCCACTCACTCGGGAGAACAAGGGGAGATCATACAAACTTCACTCGCTCACTCTGTAGAACAAGGGGAGGTCATACAAACTCCACTCACTCTGTAGGACTGGTGGATTCATACAAACTCCACTCACTCTCACTCTGTAGGACAAGGGGAGATCTTATAAACTCCACTCACTCTGTAGCACAAGGGGTGATCATACAAACTCCACTCACTCTGTAGGACTGGTGGATTCATACAACCCCCACTCACTCTCACTCTGTAGGACAAGGGGAGATCGTATAAACTCCACTCACTCTATAGCACAAGGGGAGATCATACAAACTCCACTCACTTTTACTCTATAGAACAAGGGGATATCATACAAACTCCACTCACACACTCTGTAGAACAGGGGGAGATCATACAAACTCCACTCACTCACTCACTCTGTAGAACAGGGGGAGATCATACAAACTCCACTCACTCTCACTTTGTAGAACAGGGGGAGATCATACAAAATCCACTCACTCAGTAGAACAAGGGGAAGATCATACAAACTCCACTCACTCTTTTGAGAGTGAGACTGAGTGGAGTTTGTATGATCTCCACAGTGTTCTTGGGGGCGGGGAGGGCGTGCCCGGGCTCTGCGTACCGCTGCCATGATGTAGTCGCCCTCGGTGAGGAGGCGATGGGACGCCAGGTCGAAGGAGGTGAGGAGGCCCGCGCCCTTCACGGAGCACTCTCCTCCCCGGGGCCACGCGCGGCACTGCCAGTGGGCGCCCGTGCACGTGCTGCGGCGACGTCGTCTCTCATCATTGGGGCGTTGTGATTGAGGTCATCGTCGTCGCCATCATCGTCATTATCATCGGCATTATCATCATCATCACCACCATCATTGCTATCATCACCATCATCATCGTTATCATCATCGTCGTCGTCGTCGCCATCATCGTCATTATCATCGGCATCATCATCATCTTCGTCATCATCAACCCCAATATTGCTATCATCAACATCACCATCGTTATCATCATCGTTATCATCACCATCATTATCATCACCACCACCATCGTTAGCATCATCGTCGCCAGAGTCAACATCATCGTTATCATCATCGCCACCACCATCATCACAATCATAACACACGCCTTCATCATTATCAACACCACCTTTGTCAACATCATAATCATACATCCATCACCACCCACCGGTATCGACAGTAGCATCATCATTGTCCACGTAATAATCAGCACCACCATCATCATACACCTGAAGGCCCGTGCAGTGAAGATCAGTGTAGTGAAGATCCTTGTCGTGAAGGTCCGTGTAGCGTAGACCCATGTAGCAAAGACCCATGTTGTAAAGACCGTGTAGTAAAGACCGTGTAGTGAAGATCCGTGTAGTGAAGATCCGTGTGGTGAAGGCCTCTCACCATGAGCCCAGGGCGTCATGCGTGGTGTCCCCAGGCTGGTACTTGGCGCCTCTGTACACGCACGGGCACTGGCGCCTCGCTATGCACTCCCGTGACCCGTGGTCGTTCCGCACCGAGCCTGGCACGCGCGGGACCGAGACAACGGCAGAGATGCCCCAATGTCACAATCAGAATCTCTGCGTTTGGGCTGGAGGAAGAGGATACATCTGAGTTTGGGCTGGAGGCAGAGGAGCAACCCGAAGAAGCTATGACAACTCCTTGTTACAGATGTCACGTAGTGGGTTGGGGGGGGGGGTTCAGAAGTGACACAAATACACAGCCGGCGAATCGGGCGACTGCCCCGGGCCCCGCGCTTTGGGAGGCGACCCTCTTTTAGACGTCACGGCATCAGATATAAGACTTTCTGATTGGGTTGAAGCCGTCAAGGGGGTGGGGGGGAGGCTGGGGAGCCCACACAGTGTGATTGTGCCCCCTGGGTCACGCATCCCTGGTGAACGTGAGTGGGTGATGCTGCTGCCCCCTCGGGTCAAACATCAAAGAGCACCGACACGGACGTCACCGCATGTTCCCGCGCGCCCCCAAGCGGCTCTGCCGCCCTTCACGATCGGTCGCCCCATGCCAATCGAGCCGCCGAGTGAGCGGGCGCCGATCGCTCGCCCACCCACCCTTACCCTCGGGGCAGAAGCAGCTCGGCACTCACTCCTCGTGACAACTGATCTCTCTGATAAGAGTCGGAGAGTGAGTGAGCGAGTAAATTATTGAGCGAGCGAGTGAGTGAGTAAGTGACTGAACGAGTGAGTGAGCGAGTAAGTGAATGACCGAGTGAGCGAGCGAGCGAGTGATTGAGCAAGTGAGCAAGTGAGTGACCAAGTAAGCGAGTGAGCGAGTAAGTGATTGAGTGAGCGAGTGATTGAGTGAGCGATTGAGTGAGTGAGCGAGTAAGTAAATAACCGAGTGAGTGAGCGAGTAAGTGAGTGACCGAGTGAGTGACCGAGTGAGTGACCGAGTGAGTGACCGAGTAAGTAAATGACCGGGTGAGTGAGCGAGTAAGTGAGTGACCGAGTGAGTGAGCGAGCGAGCGAGTGATTGAGCAAGTGAGCGAGTGAGTGACATAGTGAACGAGGGAGTGAGTGAGTTAGTGACCGAGTGAGCGAGAAAGTTATTGAGTGAGCGTGAAGTGAGCGAGTGACTGAGCAAGCAACTGAGTTAGTGACCGATTGAGTGAGTGAGTAAGTGAATGACCGAATAAGTGAGTGAGTAAGTGAATGACCGAGTGAGTGAGCGAGAGAGTGAGTGACCGAGTGAGTGAGTGAGCGAGTAAGTGATTGAGCAAGCGAGTAATTGAGTGAACGACTGAGTGAACAACTTGAATTTGTGACCAAGTGAATGACTGAGTGAGCGAGTGAGTGACCAAGTGAGTGAGTGACCGAGTGAGTAAGTGACCGAGTGAGTGGGCGAGTGAGTGACCGAGTGAGTGAGTGACTGAGTGACTGAGTGAATGAGCGAGTGAGTGAGCAAGTGAGTGAGTGACCAAGTGAGTAAGTGACCGAGTGAGTGGGCGAGTGAGTGAGCGAGCGAGTGAGTGAGTGACCGAGTGAGTGAGTGACCGAGTAACTGAGTGAGTGAGCGAGTGAGTGAGCAAGTGAGTGAGCCGTACCCTCGGGGCAGAAGCAGCCCGGCACGCACTCCTCATCACAGCTGATCTCTCCAACAGGGTTGGAGCAGCTCTTCTCGCACGGTGAGCCGCAGTGCCGGAACTCCTCTCCCTCCGGGCACAAGGATGAGGAACCTGGTGATACTGAGGGCGGCGGACATGATTAATCAGCGTTATCAATCTATTAAGCTCAACAATTTTTTTACCAGGTGTAAGGTCCCCCTGAGCTATGGAGCTCTTTCTCAGAAGCGACCCGGCCATCACAAATGATAACCCAACGAAGTGGCTGATATCATCATCATCATCATCACGTGCAAATTTACAGCAGCAGCCAAATTACTCGAAATGTGTGACGTCGATTCTAAATGTGGAGGGGGGGGGGGGAACGGAGGAGCCGGTGAAAAATCCACGCGATCACGGCCAGAGAGTCGGCATCGAACTCATGACCTCCTGCATACCGGGCGAGGTAGTTAGCATCTCCCTAGCCAACCTTATTTGGCCATGCATTTGTGGCCAAGTCGCTTCTGAAATCAGCGGCAGCAGCAGAATTGTATAACAGGGCGATGCGGTGAAGGTCCTCGCGGTGCAAGTGACGTTTGCAAGTGTGAGGCTAGCGGAACGCTCTAGGCTAGTGGTTCTTCTTAACCTGGGGTACATCACTACTATACACTATACACTACACCCTACCACTACATTATACAATACAACACTATACACTACACTATACACTACATACTACCACTACATTATACACTACTATACACTACATACTACACTACATTATACATTACTATACACTACACTATACACTACAGGAATACTTTGCACTTTCGTCTGGTTAGGAACCAGAGGATGGACAAATGTCAAAAATGGACGAATGTCAAAGCAGAGCCTTTATTTAGCTTGCAAATTTATTTTGGCAAGCGAAAAAAGTACATGCAAATAACAGTAATCACAAAAATAAGCACAGTATGAATATAGTAGTATTATACTCTTATTTCAAAAATAACCATGAATTGTTTAAGTATAATTACAGTATTAATAATATATGAATAAACACGAATATAAGAAAAATAATAGATCACGACGTTTCGATCGTAACTACAGCAATTCTTGCTGTGGTTGTCCCACCTGATGACTATTGCTTGTGTTGCGATCAAAATGTCGTGATCTATTATTTTTCTACCTACGTGACTTTACGGAAAGAACCAAAGAGTATGGATTCCTGCAGTCACGAAAGCTTCAAATCAAGACGAATATAAGAGATGCTGACTGAACAGCTTCTATTCAAATACTGAACGAAAAAGATGGCGAGTGGCGCAAACGTCGTGGAAGTTTGGATGAAATCGGACAAAAGGGGAAAGCCACGTGGATGAAACTTGAAATGTGGTTATAATTGAAAACGGCCGAAAGAGTGAAGCGAAGAAAGTCAAGTGGACAAAAGCCAAGGTATCGCTGTACTATGTACTACACTATACACTACACTATACACTACACTACTATACACGACACCACTACTATACACTACACTATACACTACACACACGGAGGGGGGGGGGGGGGTTCCACTCTTACCTCTCAGCCTCTGGCGCTCCCCGACTCCCGCAGCTGGGAATGAGAGGAGGGAGAGCACGGAGCGTTAGAAAGCAGAAGTTTGAGAGGCGCGCAAATAAATGGGGCGGGCGTCCTGCAAGCGCGTTCCACTAATCCACCGACTGGATGAGGTTGCCTCTCCTCGCCACGCCCGCTCGGGTTTCTGCCGAGGGTGGCGGTGGGGTGGTCTATCGAATTAAAACACGTGGCCTTTGATGGCCATTTTGTAGACGGTAGTGGGTTTAACTCTCCAACAAGCAGTCCGGTTCAATGCTGTACTAGTAATGAAATGGTTCACAACTCAAACACACAACCGGTTTAGTGCTGTACTTGTAACGAATCGGTTCACTTTCCAACACAACAACCGGTTAGTGCTGTACTAGTCACGAATTGGCACCACGTGTTTGATCACGTGACAAACCTCTCACTAATTGGGCTGTGGTGGCTGGTTTAAATATGACAAAACATTTTATATTCACGCGATCGAAGTCCCTCCAAAAACAAAACTATTTGGAATAAAGTTTTATCCAGCGTGGGTTTGGTTAAAGGCGGGGAGCGTAGGCGGTATGGTACAACGGTGGTTTCCGCCAAACTGGCCCTCTGCTGCCCTGCCACGTAAACCACATCCCGCGGGCAACCTGTCATGCGTCACTTTGATACGTAGTCGGGCTTTCGTGACCAATATTAATCCATCAGCCACCTTTGTCTCCCCATTGGTCACGTTTTGACGCACCGCACCAGGTACCCATTTGAGGCTGAGTCGAACTAGGGGAGGCCCAGGACCGGTGTTCACAGTGAGCGGGTACTCGTGTCACCAGGTATCGTAGCGCGTATCGCTACACCACCACTCCCGAGACACACAGGCCCATACAGACAATGTAAATGTGCTTGGTAACTTCAGAATATATTTCGTAACTATAACGTCATGTATATTTATTTATGGCCCCTTCCCTCCTATTAGCCTCAAGGCCCACCCCCCCCTTACGAACTTAATCGGGCCTTGGACTGCTGCTGATGCGATGCTTTTCCATCGGCACTGGGAGACGAAAAGTGACAGATCGGGCGGGTTGCGGGCAGTCGAGAAACGCAATCGCCTTGGAGGTGGCTGACCTGGCCTGAGTGCACCTTAAGGGACCGTCCATAAATGACGTCACGCGATTTTGGACGATTGTTGACACCCGCCCCCACCCCCCTTGGTCACACGACGTCACAAAAAGTCAACCCCCCCCTCAAAAATGGCGTCACAAAGCTCTGCCCCTCCCCCCATAAAAATATATAAAACATGCTTCAAATCGCTTTAAACTAGTGTCATTGTAGTGCGTATTTAATGTGCCGCTGCACTCTGATGTTGTAGGATCAAACATCTATTAAAAATTATATTTAATTAAGTAGAACGTGTTGTCTATATTGATTTAAAGTTGCGCATTTTGATGTGACGTCACATTTCTCAAACCCCCCTCGTCACACATTGTCACAAATGTCTGACACCCCCCCCCCCCCTAGATGCATGACGTCATTTATGCACGACTCCTAAGCTGATGCGTGGTAGTCACGCAGAGCCGTACCCTTAGTCGGGGGGTGGGGGGGGCGTGGGGGTGGCCGCCCCAGGCTCCGCGCTTTGGGGGGTCGCCGCGGTGTCACAGATGAGGCACGATCGTTCCAACGCCTTTGCTGCCAATCTCGTCAAGCGGCCATAAATCGTCGTCACGCCGACTCCGCTCATCATCCTCACAGCAGCAGTGGCTATTGGCTATTGGTTGCTGGACGTCGAACAAAGACGGTGGTCACCGTATCATCGGGCGGCGCTTTCAGATGCTATATACACTGCACTATACACTACGCTATACACTGCACTATACACTACGCTATACACTACACTATACACTACTATATACTACACTATACACTACTATATACTACATTATACACTATACACTACTATACACTACACTATACACTACACTACACACTACACTATACCCTACACTATACACTACACTATACACTACTATATATTAAACTATACACTACTATATACTGCACTACACTATACCCTACACTATGCTACTATACACTACACTATACACTACTATACATGACACTATACACTACTATACACTACACTACTATACACAACACTACACCACTATACTACGGGTGCCAAATAAGTTCAAACGTACACGCCGTGCGTCAGATGAAATATGCTTTGGCTCAGTTTTGTGGGGTCGTACACGGCGTGACTTGCCCTGGGCACACGCGCACCAACGCCCCTGCTACTGACGGCCATGGGAGGGGTGGTTGGGGGATGTCCGTGATGAATGCACGAAATGTGCTGAAGTTCGCGCTGCCCGCTGAGGTGGCCAGAGGGGTTCGCTCACAAGGACCACGCCGAATCGTCCTGAGGCGGAGGTGGCCTCGTCACTGTGCTAGACGGACGTCTGCACGCAGGCACCAACGCACCCACCCGCCAATCAACACACCCACTAACCCACTCACCCGCCAACCCACTCACCCGCCAACCCACCCACCCACCAACCCACCCACCCGCCAACCCACTCACGCACTAACCGACTCACCCACCAACCCACCCACCCTCCAATCAACACACCCACTAACCCACTCACCCACCAACCAACCCACCCGCCAACCCACCCGCCAAACAACACACCCACTAACCCACTCACCAACCCACCCACCAACGCATCAACACACCAACGCACCAACCCACCCACCAACCAACCTACCCATCAATGCAGCAACGGATAAACCCGCCAACAGAACATGAAAAACCAATGGCATCTACATCTGCAGAACTTGAACAACCAGTGGCATCTACATCTGCAGAACATGAAAAACAAGTGGCATCTACATGTGAGGAACGTTAAGAACCAGTGGCATCTACATCTGCAGAACGTGAACAACCAGTGACATCTACAGAACGTGAAGAACCAGTGGCATATACATCTGCAGAACATGAAGAACCAGTGGCATCTACATCTGCAGAACATGAAGAACCAGTGACATCTACAGAACGTGAAGAACCAGTGGCATCTACATTTCTATAACTTGAAGAACCAGTAGCATCTAGATCTGCAGAACGTGACGAACCTGTGGCATCTACATCTGCAGAACGTGAAGAACCAGTGGCATCTACATCTGCAGAACGTGAAAAACCAGTGGCATCTACATCTACAGAACGTGAAGAACCAGTGGCATCTACATCTGCAGAACGTGAAGAACCAGTGGCATCTACATCTGCAGAACGTGAAGAACCAGTGGCATCTACATCTGCAGAACGTGAAAACCCAGTGGCATCTACATCTGCAGAACGTGAAGAACCAGTGGCATCTACATCTGCAGAACATGAAGAACATGTGGCATCTACATCTGCAGAACGTGAAGAACCAGTGGCATCTACATCTACAGAACGTGAAGAACCAGTGGCATCTACATCTACAGAACGTGAAGAACCAGTGGCATCTACATCTGCAGAACATGACGAACCAGTGGCATCTACATCTACAGAACGTGAAGAACCAGTGGCATTTACATCTGCAGAACGTGAAGAACCAGTGACATTTACATCTACAGAACATGTGGAATCTACATCTGCAGAACGTGAAGAACCAGTGGCATCTACACCCTAGGGTATGGCTCTTCATGACCACCACGCATCAGCTTAAGGTGCACTCAGGCCAGGCCAGCCACTGCGTTTCTCAACTGCCCCCAACCGGCCAGATCCTTCTCTCTCCGTCTCTCTCCGTCTTTCTCTCTCGGATGCGCAGTGCCGATGCAAAATCATCGCAGCAGCAGTGGCAGCAGTCGATGGAACGAGGATGCCCAAGGCCCGATTAAGTTCGCGAGAGCGGGGGGCTCTGAGGCTGATAGCAGGGAAGGGGCCATGAATAAATATATATTACATTATCGCAGTGAAAAATATATTGTGCAGTCATCAAGCAAACGTGCTAGTTTGTCTGTATGTGCCTGTGCGTCTCGTGAGCGGTGGTGTAGCGGTTCGTGCTACGCTGCCGCTACGAACCTGGCGACACGAGTTTGATTCCCGCTCGCGGCCAACACCTGGTGATGATTATCTGAACCGGTCCGGGGCCTCCCCTAGGTCGACTCAGCGTCAAATGAGTACCTGGTACGGGGTGTGTAAACATCGCCACTGGGGAGACAAAGGCGATCAGGTGTGGTGTTGGCCACCCACCCCTTCGTGTGCCGTGCCGGCCTTCATAGGTGCTCGCTAACAGCACTTGCCCCAACAGTCCGTGAAGGCTACACGCGGGATCTTTGTATACTTTACGGAAATAACCAAAGAGTATGGGTTCCTGCAGTCACGAAAGCTTCAAATCAAGATTGATATTTGTATATTTGCGCGTCTCTAGAAGGTGATCACTTTGCGCTCCGCAGCGCCCCCTTGTGTGTGTGTGTCCGTCTGGCCGAGCAGAGAGATCCTTGAGTCTGGGGGGAGGGTCAAACTTTGCCAAGGGGCTCGTGGGCGAACTCCGAGTTGGTGACACGAGGCCCACAGAGATATCCCACAAGCAATCAATCGTCCGTCCATCCGCTGGCAATGATCGCAAAAATGGAATCACCCACGTGGTGTATTTCTATTTTCTACGGGAACTCCAGTTCTATATTTCACTCCACGTTTGGAAAGCGTGCGTTGAGACTATTTACGTGATAGTTTTGGCTGTTTGTATTATACACTACAATATACACACTGCTATACACTACACTATAGACTACTTTACACTACACTACATACTACGATACACTGCTAAACACTATACATTACACTATACACTACACTATACACTACTATACACTACGCTATACACCACTATATACACTACAATATACACACCTATACCAATACCCGCCATTCGCCACTGAGTGTCTGTGACGTCACCACGGCGCCATTGCCAGGCTAGGTGCACTTTGAGGTCACGTGAAGTGTCGAAGGTTCGCTGGCAGGAGGTCACGGGGCAGACCCAGCAGGTGCCATGGGTTGGCTGACTGAGATGACCGGTAGATGCACCACCAGCTGTACCCCCTACTGTGCAACTTGCTGCGTTTTAGCCGCCCGGCGCTCCACTCGTTGTTGTGAGCGTCGCTAACTCTGCCCTCCATTGTTGTTGGAGGGCGACTGCCTCCAACTGTCCAGTAGCAGCGTCTTTCACGATCCTCCTGTATAGAGGCCGATCTTGACACCGCTGGTACAGGTCATCGGCAAGTCCACTCAGCTCCACATCCTCCTGTGCCACATCACTCCATCTCTTCTCTAGCCCGTGTCGTACCCATTTAGCCCCTCTATGTGGCCAAACAGAAGCTGCTTGGGCATGCGGTGGCTGGGCATGCGGGCTACATGACCCAGCCAACGCAGCCTTGCCTGCCGGAGGAGCTCACCGATGCCCAGATCTTTCAAGGATTTGTGAGCTCCTCGCACAATCCAGCCTGGTTAAAGCCAGGATGGATCGTAGGCAGGCCAGCCTAAATATGTATTACCGGCAAAGATGTCCATATTTCGCAAGCATAGCGAAGGGAGGGCATGCATGTGGCCGAGAAGAGCCGATTATTCGTGCAGGCGACAGATCAGGTAACTTCCACACAGCAGCTTTACGCAGCTGATAAAACAAATAATGCCGCATGACTGATTCGGAGTGAGACATCTGTTGTCAAACCGGAGCCGGTCATGAGCACACTGCCCAGGTATGGGAAACTCTCCACTCTCTCCACAACTGCTCCATCACCAATGAGGAGGTAAGGGGTTGGAGTGTTTGGTCGCACACTACACTATGCACTACACTATCCAATGCACTATACACTACGCTATACACTACACTATACACTACACTCTCCATGCATTAAGACTATTTCGGTTATATTATGGCCGCTTATAAAAGTTCCAAATGATATCGGCCCACTGTGTTGAGCGGCTATAATTTGTGAGGGCTTTGCCTTGGAGGATGGGGAATGGTTTAGTGTGTGTGTCTGCGTGTGTTTGTGTGTATCTATGTGTGTCTGGGTGATTGTGTGTGTCTGCGTGTGTCTGTGTGTATATGTGTGTGTCTGGGTGATTGTATGTGTCTGCATGTGTATGTGTGTGTCTGTGTGTATCTGTGTGTGCCTGGGTGATTGTGAGTGTATGTGTGTGTCTGTGTATGTCTGTGTGTGTCTGGGTGATTGTGTGTGTCTGGGTGATTGTGTGTGTCTGTGTGTGTCTGGGTGATTGTGTGTGTCTGTGTGTGTCTGCGTGTATCTGCGTGTGTCTGGGTGATTCTGTGTGTTTGTGTGTATCTGTGTGTGTCTGGGTGATTGTGAGTGTATGTGTGTGTCTGTGTGTGTCTGGGTGATTGTGTGTGTCTGTGTGTGTCTGGGTCATTGTGTGTGTCTGGGTGATTGTGTGTGTCTGTGTGTGTCTGTGTGTATCTGTGTGTGTCTGGGTGATTGTGTGTATCTGTGAGTGTCTGGGTGATTGTGTGTATCTGTGTGTGTCTGGGTGATTGTGTGTGTCTGTGTGTGTCTGTGTGTGTCTGAGTGGTTGTGTGTCTGTGTGTGTCTGTCGTGTTTGTGAGCAGCCAGTGTTGTTGTTGTAACGTTCTGACTGACCCGTGTCCCCTAACTGGACAACTGTGATTAAAGAGATTTATAGCTCATCGGGATTCCTCCTCCTCCAGTCTAAATACAATGATCCGGATTATTCTAAAATGATATCGGCCCACGTGGTTGAGCTGCTTTCGTTTGTGATCGCTGCGTCGCTTCTGAAAAAAAGTCTACACAGCTCAGTGGGACCTCACACCTGGTAACATAAACATGTTCTTGGTTCTTTCGGTAAAGTCACGTAGAAGGGGAATAATAAAATAATAAAAATAAACATAATAAAATACAATTCTCACGACGTTTCGGCCACAACGCAAGCAGCCGTCCTCAGGTGAAGAACAGGTCTGTCGGAAAGACAGACCTGAGGACGGCTGCTTGCGTTGTGGCCGAAACGTCTTGAGAATTATTTTATTATGTTCTATTTTAATTATGTTATTATTTCCCTTCTACGTGACTTTACCGAAAGAACCAATAAGATAAATCCCTGCAATCACGAAATCTTTAAATCGAAACATAAACATTATTTAGTTTCAGCCTACAGGCTCATTCCGTAGAGACCCATAGACTCATCACACAGAGACCCATAGACTAATTACATAGAGACCCATAGACTAATTACATAGAGACCCATACTCATCACACAGAGACCCATAGACTAATTACATAGAGACCCATAGACTCGTCACACAGAGACCCATAGACTCATTACACAGATACCCATAGATGCATCACACAGAGACCCATAGGCTCATCACACATAGACCCATAGACTCATCACACAGATACCCATAGATGCATCACACAGAGACCCATAGACTCATCACACAGAGACCCATAGACTAATTACATAGAGACCCATAGACTCGTCACACAGAGGCCCATAGACTCATTACACAGATACCCATATATGCATCACACAGAGACCCATAGACTCATCACACATAGACCCATAGACTCATCACACAGAGACCCATAGACTCATCACACAGAGACCCATAGACTCATCACACATAGACCCATAGACGTGCAAAGTGTCTGTCTGCTGTTGTGAACGTCCACGTGATGATGATGACGATATCAGCCACGTGATGATGATGATGATGTTGATTTAAGCCACGTAATGATGATGATGATGATTTCAGCCACGTGCTTGGGCTGCTATCGTCTGCGAAGCCCCACTACCCAGCAGCTGGGTGGAGCTTGCACCTGCTAAGAAAGGCACAGCTGAGCTGCGTGTGTGAGTATTTGTTTGTAAGTGACTTGTTTATCTGCGATTTAAAGCTTTCGTGACTGCAGGGATTCATCTCCTTGGTTCTTTCGGTAAAGTCACGTAGAAGGGAAATAATAAAATAATAAAAATAAAACATAATAAAATACAATTCTCACGACGTTTCGGCCACAACGCAAGCAGCCGTCCTCAGGTGAAGAACAGGTCTGTCGGAAAGACAACGTCTGAATGGGCACCACTAGGCTTGGCAGCGTGCTCTTCACCTGAGGACGGCTGCTTGCGTTGTGGCCGAAACGTCGTGAGAATTATTTTATTATGTTTTATTTTTATTATTTTATTATTTCCCTTCTACGTGACTTTACCGAAAGAACCAAGAAGATTGTTTACCTGCTTTGTACTTTTCCCTGCTATCGTGTTTGTGAGAATTGTGTTGTTTGGACGTGTTGAGTGCCCCCGTGCCCTCGACCTGGACAACATCCGTGATTAAAGAGCTTTATAGCTAATCGGGTTTTCCTTCTCCTGCCAGTCGAAACACATTGATTCTGATTTCGCTACGTAACACAATTTTTGTTCCTGGGCACAAAGTGTTATTTTTTAATTGCTTATGCCTAAAACGTTTAGAACATGGCTATTATTCCGCACAAACTTTGCTTTTGTGACCAGGACTTTAGGTGCAGGAATGGCAGAAATGCACACCACGTTTTCACAGTGAAAATTAGGTACATTTAAAAGTATCAATGTCCTGGTCACAAAAGCAAAGTTTGTGGGAAACAATAGCCACTTTCTGTACTTTTTAGACAAAAGCAATTAGGAAATATTACTTACTACCCAGGGACAAAAAAATGTAAGAGATTTTTGTCACGCGCAGTTTTATCCTCGAATGGGATCGCCCCACTGTGTTGAACGCCGATCATTTGTGATGGACAGGTCGCTTCTGAACAATTAGTTCACACCCTCAGTAGGGGTCTTTGCCTTGTAGGATGGGGGATGGTTTAGTATTGTATCTGGGTGATTGTGTGTGTCTGTGTGATTGTGTGTCTGTGTGTATCTGTATGTCTGTGTGTGTATCTATGTGTGTCTGTGTGTATCTCTGTGTGATTGTGTATTTACCCATCTCGTACTTTGCACTGATATCGCGTTTGTGAGTTATGTGCTGCTGCTATTGTCATTGTTGTGGTGTAACCGCGACGACTTTCTCCGACTTAAAGATCTCCACGGCTCATCGGGAATTCCTCCTCTCGCCGCGTGAGCACCGTGCAAGTCTCTCTCGCCCCCCACCCTCCTCCTCCTCACCTGCGAGCGTGAGGATGATGCCCAGGTGAGCCACCACCGCCATCGTCACCATCGCCGCTCCTCGGAGTGGCGACAGTCCTCCTCTTGGGCCGTGAAGACGCTGGAGTTGTGAAGTGAGAGGTGTAGAATAAGAAGAAGAAGAGGAGGAACAAATGGCGTGGTGCCCTCCCTCCCTTCCCCCCCCCACACACACACTTAGTAGACCTCCCTCTGTGACAACATTCGGCGCTGCCTCTGCAGCCCGAGATGAATCCACGACGCGAATTGAACCGAGCGAGCTGTCACACGTCTTGGGGTGTCTCTCTCTCCTCTCTCCCTGTTCCCCCCTCCGGCCGCCGCTAATTTGCAATGATTAAAAACCAAAACGGAGACCAAAAAAAACCCCGAAAAAGTGTTTTCCGATCTACTTCGGAGGATGTGAGCCACTGGTTCGCGAGGGCATGAAATTGCCAAATGTGCCCCTGCTCTGATGGGGCCAATGCCTCTCCCAGTTGACCCGATGATGGTGGTGGTGGTGGTGGTCTGAGCCACGTGCTGAATCGCGGTTCCCCGTGCTGCCTTTGGCTCTCCTGTTCACTTCTGTGAGACCTTCCCCTCTGCTATTCCTCTTTGTGTACGTGAGAGTGTGTGGAGGCGTGTGCGTGTGTGTGTGTGGAGGCGTGTAAGTGTGGAGGCGTGTGTGTGCGGAGGCGTGTGCGTGTGTGTGTAGGCGCGTGTGTGTAGGAACGTGTGTGTGTGTGTCTCCGGTAGTCACCCTCTGTGCGTGTAGGCGTGTGTCTGTGTGCCTCTTTCTCCGGTAGTCACCCTCTGTGTGTGTGTGCGTGTGTGTGTCTCTGGTAGTGTAGCGGTTAGCGCGCTGCGCTATGAACCCGGCGACCCGAGTTCGATTCCCGCTCACGGCCAACACCAGTGACGATTATCTGAACCGGTCCCGGGCCTCCCCTAGGTCGACTCAGCCTAAAATGAGTACCTAGTGCGATGTGTAAACATCGCCGCTAGGGAGACAAAGGCGGCCGGGCGTGGTGTTGGCCACCCACCCCCTCGTGTGCCGTGCCGGCCTTCATAGGTGCTCGCTAACAGCACCTGCCCCTACAGTCTGTTAAGGCTATACGGGGGATCTCTGGTAATCACCCTCTGTGTGTGTACGTGTGTGTGTCTCCGGTAATCACCCTCTGTGTGTGTATGCGTGTGTGTGTGTCTCCGGTAATCACCCTCCGTGTATGTGTGTGTCGCTGGTAGTCACCCTCTGTATGTGTGTGTGTGTCTCTGGTAGTGTGTGTGTGTCTCTGGTAGTCACCCTCTGTGTGCGTGTGTGTGTCTCCGGTAATCACCCTCTGTGTGTGTCTCTAGTAGTCACCCTCTGTGTGCGTGTGTGTGTGTCTCTGGTAGTCATCCTCTGTGTTTGTGTGTGTGTGTCTCTGGTAATCACCCTCTGTGTGTGTGTGTGTCTCTGGTAGTCACCCTCTGTGTTTGTGTGTGTCTCCGGTAATCACCCTCTGTGTGTGTGTGTCTCTGGTAGTCACCCTTTGTGTGCGTGTGTGTGTCTCTGGTAGTCACCCTCTGTGTTTGTGTGTGTGTGTCTCTGGTAGTCACCCTCTGTGTGTGTGTGCGTGTGTGTGTGTCTCTGGTAGTCACCCTCTGTGTGTGTGTGCGTGTGTGTGTGTCTCTGGTAGTCACCCTCTGTGTGCGTGTGTGTGTGTCTCTGGTAGTCACCCTCTGTGTGTGTGCGTGTGTGTCTCCGGTAATCACCCTCTGTGTGTGTGTGCGTGTGTGTGTGTGTCTCTGGTAGTCACCCTCTTTGTTCGTGTGTGTGTGTCTGGTAGTCACCCTCTGTGTTTGTGTGTGTGTGTCTCTGGTAGTCACCCTCTGTGTGCGTGTGTGTGTGTCTCTGGTAGTCACCCTCTGTGTTTGTGTGTGTCTCTGGTAGTCACCCTCTGTGTGCGTGTGTGTGTCTCTGGTAGTCACCCTCTGTGTTTGTGTGTGTCTCTGGTAGTCACCCTCTGTGTGCGTATGTGTGTGTGTCTCTGGTGGGCACCCTCTGTGTGCGTGTGTGTGTGTCTCTGGTAGTCACCCTCTGTGTTTGTGTGTGTCTCTGGTAGTCACCCTCTGTGTGCGTGTGTGTGTCTCTGGTAGTCACCCTCTGTGTTTGTGTGTGTCTCTGGTAGTCACCCTCTGTGTGCGTATGTGTGTGTGTCTCTGGTGGGCACCCTCTGTGTGCGTGTGTGTGTGTCTTTGGTAGTCACCCTCTGTGTGTGTGCGTGTGTGTGTGTCTCTGGTAGTCACCCTCTGTGTTTGTGTGTGTACGTGCCACCCCGTAGTGAGTGAGAGACACACACCTGAGAGACACAGACAGGTGAGGAATTTGAAGGGCCACCCTGCCTGCCCTCTGTAAAAAAAATGCCACTACGCAATGAGTTTTCTTTTTGAACAGATCGCCTCTGGCATCTTCCAAAAAGGCAACTAACACCTTCACCACCACCACCACAATCATCATCACGAACGCACACACACACACAGAGTACGATGACCCTCTGGGGCTTGCACAGACACACACACCACCCTGTTCCCTGATCGATCATCGATGGATTTACAATGGAAATTACAATGGAAATTACAATAAATACCCATCGTAGTTGAATTAATTTATATGATTTGTGTTGGATTGCATTGTATTTATAAGTTCACTCGGTTTGTTTTCTACCCGATGACGATTGCTTGTGTTGCAATCGAAACGTCGTATTCTATTAATCTAGATTTGAAGTTTTCGTGACTGCAGGGATCCATACTCTTTAGTTCTTTCGGTAAAGTCACGTAGGTAGAAAATGAAATGAATAAAATCACGACCTTTTGGGCGCAACACAAGCGTCCGTCATCAGGTGGGACAACCACAGCAAGAAACAATTGCTGAAGTGGGCAAAAAATTGTTTCTTGCTGTGATTGTCCCGGTTTGAAACACCTACACACACACCTACACACACACCTACACACACACTTACACACACACCTACACACACACCTACACACACACACACACCTACACACACAACAACAACAACCGTCATTCGCCACTAAGTGGCGGTGACGTCACCACGACGCTTGTGCCAGGCCATGTGCACCTTGAGACCACGTGAAGTGTCGAACGCCCGCTGGCAGGAGGTCACGGGGAACACCCAGGTGCCACGGGTCGACTGACTGAGATGACCGAGTTGGCTGGATGATGCACCACCTGTGCCCCCTACTGTACCAACTTGCTGTGCTTTAGCCACCCGGCGCTCCGCTCGTTGTTGTGAGCGTCGATCCTCCACCCTCCGTTGTTGTTGGAGGGCGACTGCCTCCAACTGCCAAGTAGCGTCCTTCACGAACCTCCTCCACAGTGGCCGATCTTGACACCGCTGGTACCAGTCATCGGCAAGTCCACTCAGCTCCACGTCCTCCTGTACCACATCACTCCATCTCTTCTCTAGCCCGTGCCGCGCCCGTTTAGCCCCCTCGATTCGGCCGACCTACACACACACACCTACACACACACCTACACACACACCAACACACACCCCTGCACACACCTACACACACACCTACATACACACACCTACACACACCTACATACACACAAACCTATACACACCTACACACACACATCTACACACACACCTACACACGAGGTAGTTTCACTGTGAGTTGTCCCTTGACCACCGTTCCCCGAGGCTCTTTGCCAGCCACGCAGCGTGGTGGTGATGGTGACGTTGGTGGTGGTGGTGACGGTGGTGGTGGCGATGGTGGTGGCGATGTTGGTGATGACGGTGATGGTGGTGGTTGTGGTGGTGGTGACGGTGGTGACGGTGGTTGTGGTGGTGGTGACGGTGGTTGTTGTGGTGGTTGTGGTGGTAGTGGTGACGGTGGTTGTGGTGGTGGTTGTGGTGGTGGTGGTTGTGGTGGTGGTGGTGGTTGTGGTGGTGGTTGTGCTGGTTGTGGTGGTGGTTGTGTTGGTGGTTGTGGTGACGGTGGTGGTGGTTGTGGTGATTGTGGTGGTTGTGGTGGTTGTGGTGGTTGTTGTGGTGGTGGTGGTTGTGGTGGTGGTGGTGGTTGTGGTGGTAATGGTGGTAGTGGTGGTTGTGGTGATGGTTGTGGTTGTGGTGGTGGTGGTGGTGGTGGTGGTTGTGGTTGTGCTGGTTGTGGTGGTGGTTGTGTTGGTGGTTGTGGTGGTGGTGGTAGTGACGGTGGTGGTGGTTGTGGTGATTGTGGTGGTGGTTGTGGTGGTTGTGGTGGTTGTGGTGGTTGTGGTGGTTGTTGTGGTGGTGGTGGTTGTGGTGGTAATGGTGGTGGTTGTGGTGGTAATGGTGGTAGTGGTGGTTGTGGTGATGGTTGTGGTGGTGGTGGTGGTGGTGGTGGTTGTGGTTGTGCTGGTTGTGGTGGTGGTTGTGTTGGTGGTTGTGGTGGTGGTGGTGGTGGTGACGGTGGTGGTGGTTGTGGTGATTGTGGTGGTGGTTGTGGTGGTTGTGGTGGTGGTTGTGGTGGTGGTGGTTGTGGTGATTGTGGTGGTGGTTGTGATGATGTTTGTGGTGGTGGTTGTGGTGGTTGTGGTGGTGGTTGTGGTGGTGACGGTGGCGGCCTCGCTTGGGCGTGAGAGGAATCCGCGCGGTATTCGCTGACCGAGCAGATTTCTCAAGAATGAAGTTGACATTTTGAGATGTCCACGTCTCTGTCTCTCCTCTCTCTCTGTCTTTTTGTGTCTCTCTCTCTGTGTCTGTCTCTGTGTGTGTGTCTCTCTCTGTGTGTCTCTGTGTGTGTATCTCTCTGTGTCTTTCTCTTCTCTCTGTCTGTGTGTGTGTGTTTATCTCTCTGTGTCTCTGTGTGTATCTCTCTGTCTCTGTGTGTGTCTTTCTCCCTGTGTCTCTGTGTGTATATCTCTCTGTATCTGTGTGTATGTCTCTCTCTGTGTCTCTGTGTGTGTCTCTCTCTGTATCTCTGTGTGTGTTTCTCTCTCTCTGTCTCTGTGTGTGTGTCTCTCTCTGTCTCTGTGTGTGTCTCTCTCTCTGTCTCTCTGTATGTGTCTCTCTCTGTCTGTGTGTGTGTATCTCTCTGTCTCTTTCTCCTCTCTCTCTGTCT